TCTCTTCCAGAGCTGGGTGGTTTGGAACATCAATGATAACTTAATACTTTACCAATAACAGACATAGCGTACGGGTCAGTGTTTTATTTATTTATTTTTTTAGCACACTTGCTGAGCACAGGCCCAAGGTCACGAAACGTCGAGCAGTCATCAACAAACGGCACGATCCAAAGTTGTAATAGTGTAAGAGTTAACATGTTTATTGATTTGAGCAAAAGTTATACGACCGTGACCTGCAGTGTGGTGGGTGAGTGTCGCTGTGACCTCGGGAAGCGGTCGTGTAGCGGTCATCGCGCTGTGCTACGAACCGGGCCATCGCTAACGGTCAACACCGGTGACGATTATCTGAAACGGACTTAGCTTCAAATGAGTACCCGGTGTGGTGTGTAAGGGGCCGTCTATAAATGATGGTACGTAAAAATGCGCAACTTTTAATAAATATAGACAACACGTTCTACTTAATTCAATATACTTTTTAATAAATGTTTTCTCTACTCTTTGGTTCTATTCGGTAAAGTCACGTAAAAAACAAAAAATAAAAAATTCACGATGTTTCGGCCACAACACAAGTGGCCTTCATCAGGTGAAGGGACCAGACTGTCTAGAGGACAGCGCTGGAGTGAACACAGCCAAGCTCAGACCGTGACCTTTAAGCTGTGTGAGAGGAAGCAGAGCGCCTTGACAAAGGAATTAACATAAAAATTAGCATTTAATTGGCGGACTTAGCATGATGAACGATATACAGGGTGGGAGCATGTGCAGACCTGCGAGGGGGGGAGGGGGGGGGAGTTTACATATTGATGGTGTGAAAAGCGAAATTAAGCAGCTGCGAAAGTTTGGGATACTACTACTTGAAAAAATATACTGTACCATTGGAAATTAGTTTAATGTTTGGTTTGATTCAGAACATCTTTCCAATGGTTGCTTAATTTGAAACCATCCTCTCGGTTGAAATTGTGTCTGTGTTTGTAAATCTGAATTGCCTCGTGAACAAATCTCTGATAAAAACCCGTGGGTTTGCAAAGAACCTTCGTATCGGAGAAAATTATATCGTGATCACCCACAGTGTTGTAACAGTGATCAGCTACGGCAGAAGAATTCGTTCTGCCGTGTTTCAAATCTGATTTGTGCTCGCGAATTCGGGCAGAGACATGTCGTTTCGTCTCCCCGATATAGCAGTCACCACAGGTGCAGATCAATTTGTAAACTCCGGGGTACTGTAAGTCAGGAATGACATCCTTCACGGAAGGGATCAGGTCACGGATTTTGTGTACTGTATTGAACCGGACCAGGATCTTGTGTTTGTTTAGAATTTTGGAGATCTTTTTAGTAACGCCTGCTATATATGGTAGTGTGATGGTTTTGATCGGAGTATCAAGTGGTTGTTTCTGTATGGAGGGAGAAACAGCTTGGCGGATGGTACGGTCAGAGTATCCATTCCTTTTTAGGGTCAGATGTACATGCTTTAATTCACTGGTCAGGTGGTGTTGGTCCGAAATGCAATGAGCCCTGTGGTATAACGTTTTGATGAGAGAATTCTTTTGCGTCAGGTGATGGTGGGAATCAGGTTTCAAGTAGGAATCTGTGTGGGTGGGTTTCCTGTAGACAGAATGTCCCAATGAGCCATCAGGTCTTCTCTCAAACAGAACATCCAAGAATGGCAGCTTGCCATCTTTCTCCACCTCCATGGTGAATTTGATGGCGGGGTGTCTGGAATTAATGTGGTCTAGGAAAAGGTTCAAAGCCGGGAGGCCATGTGGCCAAATGACGAAAGTGTCGACTACATATCTCTTCCACAGGGAAGGTCTGAGGGTGGAAGTCTGGATGGCGTCTGATTCAAATTTCTCCATGAAAATATTGGCTATCACTGGTGACAAGGGGGATCCCATGGGGGTACCCTCATTTTGTTTGTAGAAGGAGCCATTCCAAGTAAAGTAGGTATTGTTGAGGCAGTGCCTAACCAGTGCAGGTGTATCGGGGTCTAGTCCATGTTGGACCAAATTTTCAATTATTTCAATGGTATCAGGTACTGGGACCTTGGTGAACGAAGAGACCACCGAAGCTGACAAGGATATCGTCAGGGGACAGTACAACGTCTTTGACCATAGAGACCAATTGGGCTGAGTAAAGTACTGCTGAGGCGGTCTTGCCAGTGAAAGGCAGCAAGGTATCTGACAGAAAACGGGCTAGTCTATAGGTAGGGGAGTTGATCGTGGATACGATGGGTCGTAGTGGGGTGCCTTCTTTATGAATCTTGGGAAGACCATAGAATCTAGGGGGTCTTGCAGCAGAAGGTTTTAGGGAGGGACGTTTAGTTGGGTCGATTAGGGAGGTCGAACTTGTGATAATCTTGTAGGTTTTTATTGCTAGGCTATTAGTAGGGTCATTTTTGATTTTTGAGTAACTTCCATCGTTGAGCAGATTCTGGATTTTGTTGTATGAATCTTTATCCATAATTACAGTAGCGTTGCCTTTATCGGCTGAGAGGATGACTATATCACTTCTGTTTTTTAAATTCGCGAGTTCAGAGCGTTCATTTTTGCTGATGTTACTAATGGGTTTCTTAGTATTCTTAAGAATAGTGGCTATTTCAGCTCTCGCAACGTCTGCTTGAATGTGTCCTACGCCTTTGAGGGCTACATCGACCTGAGAGATGATATCATCTACCGCTATGTGTTTTGGGGTGACAGCAAAATTCAGCCCCCTAGCCAGTACTGTTTTCAGATTGTCCGAAATTGGGGTGCTACTCTGATTAATGACGATTTTGTTGATGTCTAGTTTTGTTATATGTGGAACTGGGTTCTTCTTTGATAGGTGGTTGAATTTAGAAATCAGGTTAACTTTACATTTGACTGCCAGTGAATCAGCAGAAGAAGCAGTCATGTTGTCTACGTGATTCAAATCAGAAGGTGACATTTTTTGTGTTAACATTAAATGAGCTTGTAGGAGAGTCCTGTTCACGAGGCAATTAAGATTTACAAACACAGACACAATTTCAACCGAGAGGATGGTTTCAAATTAAGCAACCATTGGAAAGATGTTCTGAATCAAACCAAACATTAAACTAATTTTCAATGGTACAGTATATCTTTCTAGTAGTGGTATCCCAAACTTTCGCAGCTGCTTAAATTCCCTTTTCACACCATCAATATGTAAACTCCCCCCCCCCCCTCCCCCCCTCGCAGGTTTGCACATGCTCCCCCCCTGTACATCGTTCATCATGCTAAGTCCGCCAATTAAATGCAAATTTTTATGCTAATTCCTTTGTCAAGGCGCTCTGCTTCCTCTCACACAGCTTAAAGGTCACGGTCTGAGTTTGGCTGTGTTCACTCCAGCGCTGTCCTCTAGACAGTCTGGTCCCTTCACCTGATGAAGGCCACTTGTGTTGTGGCCGAAACATCGTGAATTTTTTATTTTTTGTTTTTTACGTGACTTTACCGAATAGAACCAAAGAGTATGGATCCTTGCAGTCACGAAAGCTTTAAATCTAGAAATGTTTCCTCCTACAACATCAGAGTGCAGCGGCACATTAAATACGCACTACAATGACAATAATTTAAATCGATTTGAAGCATGTTTTATTTTTTTGGGGAGGGGGGCAGAGCTTTGTGACGTCATATTTGAGGGGGGGGTTTGACTTTTTGTGACGCCGTGTGACGATGGGGGGGGGGGGGGGTGGTCAAAAATCGTCAAAAATCGCGTGACGTCATTTATGGACGGCCCCTAAGCATCGCCACTGGGGAGACAAAGGCGGCCGGGCGTGGTGCTGGCCACCTACCCCCTTATGTGCCACAGTGCCAGCCTTCATAGGTACTCGCTCACAACACTTGTCCCAACACTCTATTAAGGCTAAACGGGGAATCTTTGTTTTTTCTTTGTTGTTGTGACCTGCAGTGTGGTGAGTGGTTGTGTGTGTGTTGTTGTGACCTGCAGTGTGATGAGTGTGTGTGTGTGTTGTTGTGACCTGCAGTGTTATGAGTGGGTGAGTGTTGTTGTGACATGCAGTGTGATGAGTGTGTGTGTGTTGATGTGACCTGCAGTGTGTTGAGTGGTTGTGTGTGTGTTGTTGTGACCTGCAGTGTGGTGAGTGGTTGTGTGTGTTGTTGTGACCTGCAGTGTGATGAGTGTGTGTGTGTTGTTGTGACCTGCAGTGTGGTGAGTGGTTGTGTGTGTTGTTGTGACCTGCAGTGTGATGAGTGTGTGTGTGTTGTTGTGACCTGCAGTGTGATGAGTGTGTGTGTGTTGTTGTGACCTGCAGTGTGATGAGTGTGTGTGTGTTGTTGTGACATGCAGTGTGATGAGTGTGTGTGTGTGTTGTTGTGACCTGCAGTGTTATGAGTGGGTGAGTGTTGTTGTGACATGCAGTGTGATGAGTGTGTGTGTGTTGATGTGACCTGCAGTGTGGTGAGTGGCTGTGTGTGTGTTGTTGTGACCTGCAGTGTGGTGAGTGGTTGTGTGTGTTGTTGTGACATGCAGTGTGGTTAGTGTGTGTGGTGAGTGTTGTGACCTGCAGTGTGTTGAGTGGTTGTGTGTGTGTTGTTGTGACATGCAGTGTGATGAGTGTGTGTGTGTTGTTGTGACCTGCAGTGTGGTTAGTGTGTGTGGTGAGTCTTGTGACCTTGCAGTGTGTTGAGTTGTTGTGTGTGTGCTGTTGTGACCTGCAGTGTGGTGAGTGGTTGTGTGTGTGCTGTTGTGACCTGCAGTGTGGTGAGTGGTTGTGTGTGTGTTGTTGTGACCTGCAGTGTGGTGAGTGGTTGTGTGTGTTGTTGTGACCTGCAGTGTGGTGAGTGGTTGTGTGTGTGTTGTTGTGACCTGCAGTGTGGTGTGTGTGCTGTTGTGACCTGCAGTGTGGTTAGTGTGTGTGTGTTGTTGTGACCTGCAGTGTGGTGAGTGGTTGTGTGTTGATGTGACCTGCAGTGTGGTTAGTGTGTGTGTCTGTGTTGTTGTGACCTGCAGTGTGGTGAGTGGTTGTGTGTGTGTTGTTGTGACCTGCAGTGTGGTGAGTGATTGTGTGTGTGTTGTTGTGACCTGCAGTGTGGTGAGTGATTGTGTGTGTGTTGTTGTGACCTGCAGCGTGATGTTTGAACACAATCGCATGGGAGAAAACAGTCAGTGTTGCAGACCGAGTCCTCAACCATGGTTTACGGATTCAACGCGTGAAGTTCACGGGGGAATAGTAACCATGGCGTTGGCTTTGTGTTGTAGATCTTGATGCTGCTTAGGGCATGCTGCATCGTTTGGGCTGCTGCTGTAGGAGGCCGCATCCAACAGCGAACAGAGCAAGGGACGCGGCGCGCAGCACGAACGTGAGGGTCAGGTAAATCCACCTGAAACACAAAAACGCCATCGTCGTTATCAAAATCGCCGGGATCATCATCATCATCATCACCCGTCGCAATCACAACATCACCACCACCACCACCAGCAGCACATCGAACATCCCTTTCCCGGAGTGTAAAAAAAAGTAAATAAACGCTTTATTTGAACAAATGTTGACATTGCAAAAATAGCATAACATAGTAATATATCGGTATTTTAGTAACATAAGTATAGCATGAAAATAAACTACTGTATAATACTGGAATATAATGTTTATTTAAGTTTAGTTTAGTTTGAAAATTATATTTTGTTCAACCAGGAGACCGAGATAGACTAATTTGTCTCAATCAAGAGATAATCTGAATCAGATTATATTGGAGGAATCCGATAAGCTATGATGCTCTTTGTTTTACAGATGTTCAGTAGGGGCGGGTCATAACGTTAAAACAACAAACAATACAAAAAACAGATAGAAGTGCAAATTATGAACAAATAACTTTTAAAAAACATGCAAATAAAACGAAACTATTTTTAAAAATCTTTCCAGATAAAAGTCCACTGAGCTATTATCTTCTCCTTTAGAAGCGACCTGGCCACAAATGATAGCTCAACGAAGTGGCTCATCGTGTGGAAACGCGTAGCAGCAAATTCCATCTAAATCTAAGCAATCAAGATCATACTCAAGACCTTAGCCAGGGAACTGAACCTGGATTGAGAGGTTCACAACACGGCACGCGAACCACCGCCGTCACTGCCACTTTCTCCCGCGTTGCTGCCGGCGTGCGGTGGGCTTCCTCACCGGAAGGCGTCCGTGTCGTAGAGCTGGCACACGCCGCTGAGGCCGCACGTGCCGCGCCCCCACTTGGTGCACGAGGAGTCGATGGCGACCCCGTAGAGGATCGGCGCGGGGATTCCGGCTGGGCGGCATCGGAGAGAAGCCAAGCGCCAAAAGGTCGCGCGCACGCAGCGGTCAGCCGTGTAAACAACCCCAGTGATTTGTCAATTTTGAGGATTATTATTAACGTCGCACGCTTTGAAAAGCGCCTCCGGTTAGCTCGGTTGGCTACGTACGGTGCGAAAGAAGTTCAGCGTACATAGTGTGGGGTAAGGAAATCGATGTTTTGTCAATAGCGGTACAATGATTCATCACCATTCCTCCGATCCCAGGTGAGTCGACAAATGGCGTGTGTCAAAACTCACTGTTAAAATAATTAGATTTAGCCAGGAAAGCCTCACTGAGTCTCAACATTTTCATAAAGGTTCCTGCTATATTGGGATGTTTGACCGTGAATACTGTTAACGAGAATTTGGCTTCGTGTGGGAGGAAAGCGGAGAACGTTTCGAAAACCCACCACGCATACGAGGGGGTGACAACTCCAGCAGGGATCATCTCCTGGCCACAACCTCGCGGGCTCATGCCTCCAACACTTGGCAAGCGCTGGTGGTCTACCATCTGATGGCCTCCAATCGAAGTGCTGACCAGCCTGAAAGCCTCTTAAGCTTCTATATCTTCGATGTAGATTATGGGGCATTCAGGGTGATGTGGCTGCAGGACGATGGAAATCAGAGTATAGGTTTATTTATTGAACTCGTAGGCTTTTGCAACCAATATCACCCATAATACAGGTTTTTGGGGGGGGGGGGTTAGATCGCGTAAATATATAAATGTGTCGTTAAACCCGCCACCACCGGACACAGCCAACCAGTAAGATTTGTCACGTAAACAGAACGTGCCAATTCGCTACTAGTACAGCACACCGGTTGTGTGTTGGAGAGCCAAGCCACAACATTTACAATCTGAGTACGACGTTATCCCCACTTCGCGCAAGAAGAACACACCACAAGTGTTGTTATCACATCTACGCCTCTATTTATGGAACAAAACAGGACTGCACAAATCTGGCTGTCGTCTGATGAAGCTAGTGGTAATTACTGGCGAAACGTCGTACTCAATATTGTAAATGTTGTCCATTGACTCTCCAATACACGGGTGTGCTGTACTAGTAACGAATTGGCCACGTTCTGTTGACGTGACAACCCTTACTAGTTGGCTGTGTCGGGTGGTGGCGGGTTTAACGACACATTTATATATTTACCCGATCTAACTCCAAAAAACCTGTATTGTGGATATTTATTTATACTGGAGGAATCCATTAAGCTTCAAAGCTCTTTTTTGACAGATGCCCAAGTAGGGGCACAGGGTCACAACGTTACATAAACAAACAATACAAAAACACCTTAGGCGTGCGAAGTATGGGGAAGGTAAACAAATCACAACAACATTGGAAACCTCATTTGCCAGTAACAAAATATGATAATTGTTTTTTTACCCTTTTATCTGGCAACAAAACTGACACCTTTTTTTACAAGGAGTCATGTTTACATTGACCACAATACCTGCGGTTGGAATGCAAACAAAAAACAACAACTCTGATAATGAATGCACTGTCCTTGAAATTGATTGGTCCACACCCGAGACAGTTACTGGCAAATGAGGTTTCCAATGGTGTAAATGCTTACACCCGAGCTCTCATACTCTGATGGTGCATTGTCTTTGAGTTGAGCGCCTTTTGGCGTCTTCTGGTCCAACACCATGTGAGACGAGGCTCTAAAGAAAGCTGTCTCGGGTGTGGACCAATCAATTTCAAGGACAGTGCCACATACATTATCAGAGTTGTTGTTTTTTGTTTGCGTTCCGACCGCAGGTATTGTGGTCAATGTAAACATGACTCCTTGTAAAAAAGGTGTCAGTTTTGTTGCCAGATAAAAGGGTAAAAAAAACAATTGTCAAATCACAACAAAATGACAAATAAAACGAAACTATATTTTTTTATCTTACCAGGTAAAAGCCCACTGAGCCAACGGCTTCTTTCGCAGAAGTGACCTGGCCACGAATAATACCTCAACGAAGTGGCTTATTACGTGGGATATATAGCAGCTTCTATGTCGATGAGGGTCACTTCAGTGTGATGTGGTTGCAGGGCGATGGTGAAGGTGCCACTCACCCAAGGTGCGTGTAACCATGGTCTGCAGCCCCAGTGCAAACGACTTCAGCTCGCTATTCACGCTCCTGAGCAAACGATAGACGGCACAACGTGGCTTTTATGCAGCGGCGTTCCGAGGTGGTCTACAATAAAAGTCGCAAAGCCGCGTGCCGATCAATCTTGATCAAAAAATCTTCATCATCATCAGTCATTCATGATTAATCCACTGCGAATTTGAACTTCAAACAATGGTTGATCGAGTGAACGACCATCTACCGAACTCATTCCACAGAAAACACCTCTGAAATTCAATTCCCATCCCCCAAAGATCTTGACTCGACTGAATATCAAATCTGAATTTCATCATGAAAATCCTGCTATTCCTACCCCCCCCCCCCATATGCTCCCCCCTTTAATAACAAATGATCATTCTAGATTTGAAGTTTTCGTGACTGCAATGATCCATACTCTTGGTTCTTTCAGTAAAGTCGCTTGTGTTGCGCCCGAAACGTCGTGATTTCATTTATTTTAATGTTTTCTTTACCTACGTAATAAATGATAATTTCAACGTATAATGTGCCGCACAGTATTCGCTCACCCAAGAAGCGAGAGAGTACTTGGACACATGAGGGACCGCAGGCAAGCGGAAGGAAGTCAGGCAATCGGCTGGCACCGCTCAAGCTCTGCGGTCCTCTATATATTACTGGACATCTGTGAAAAAGAGCTTCATAGCTTATTGGATTCCTTAAATCTAAATAAAGAATCCTGATATTGACGTATAATCAGCCAATTGATGAGTGCTTACATGCGGGTGGAATCTGGAGCACCCGGAGAAAACCCACACGTGCGAGGGGGCAACGCTCTATCCCACGCAGATGGAAACGCGTTGGGGGGGGGGGGGGGGGTCCACATTTCTGCTGTAGCGCCTTCTCCTGGCAGGCCAGGGTACGGCTCCACCTTGACACCCACAGGGAAGGCAGTCGCACAACGTTTAGTGCGGCGGTCCACCAACCCCTCGCCTCCACTGTGCTGGATTACAGGCGTGCGCCACCGCCACCGCCCGGCTAAAAACCGCGGCTACACTCTAAGGGCCGCACGGATCTCGCACCGGAGAAATATGAAGTAAGCCGGCGTGGAGCCCAGAGCGTAGATGAACGACGACGCCACCGTGACCCCCAGGAACATGTGGAAGCTGCGGTCGCAAGAGGCGGTGCGAGCGCACAGCCCCGGCGTGGCTCGTCCTCCGCTACCACCAACACACGCGCAGTCCGTGAATACCTGCCAGCGGTGGGGGGGGGGGGGGGGTTGGGGGGGTACACGCAACTCGGATGTAGAACGTGCTCCCTTCCTCCAGATCCACAGGTTTCGCCACAACTCACGTGGAAATGGGGTTTAAAAAAAAAGAGAATCACGCAAATTTGGAATGGACTGCACGCATTTTCGTTTTGCTTCCGAGAGAAACTAAAACGACTTGGATACAACGCGCATGATGTATTTAAAGAAACACATTTGTTAATAACGCGGATCTAAATTGGATATAACCATACCTGGCAACCCCTTATCAGTGCCCTACCTTATTACAGACCAATTCAGACCTTATTGGTCACACCGTGCCCCTTATACATCTCAACGTTCATCCTACAAAGTCCCATCACAAGGGAGAAACACAACACAAATAGACACAAATAATTATAATTTTTTTGCCCGTATTGAAACGGCCGTATGCCGTATGGACCTGAAAACTCACTTTCCCTCTACAATAAAATGGGTAAACTGTATGGGTTGACAGACATGATATAACGCGATCGAGTGAACAGAAGTACATCGCGCGAGTAGGAATAAGCGGTTGTACGGCTGCCTCGGCACAGCAGCGCACAAGGCGGGATGCTGCTGGATTCTTCTAGAAGTTACCCACGCGCCTCAGTCTTTGTTCAGCCTGCGGACGCACCTGTCGTGTCATCACGAACTGTGCTTTACCCGCTATGTTATATATCATTTATTATAACGCGATTTTTCCACAACACAATGCTCTTCAGGAACGCAACTACTACCGCATTATAGGAGAACAGACTGTACATATGTGCACGAACACACGTGCGTGCGTACGTGTTCCCCGTTCACGTTACGCACTGCACGTACGCACGCGCTCACCGGCGCCGTTCCGCCCTGGGTGGAGATGCCGGCGACGGTGGCATTACATCCGGCCAGGCACGGCGAGAGGTAGGAGAGGCCGTCCCAGCCGCACACGGGCTCCCACGCGTCCCCCCGGCACTCGCATGCGCCGGGGCAGCCGGTGGCCCGCGCTCCCGCGTGGCTAGCCAGCAGCGGCCTGCGGGGGTCGGAGATCCGTAAGAGCCCCTCTCGACGGCGTTCCCCAATATCCACACGGCATTGCCTAATCTTCACACGGCGCTCTGTAACCTCCACACGGCATTCCCTAATAGCCACACGGCATTTCGGAGTATCCACACAGCGTTCCTTAATATCCACAAGGCGTTCCTGAATATCCACACCGCCTTCTCTAATATCCACATGCCATTCCCTAATATCCACACAGCGTTCCTTAATATCCACATGCCATTCCCTAATATCCACAAAGCGTTCCTTAATATCCACACAGCGTGCCTTAATATCCACACAGCGTTCCCTAATATCCACATGCCATTCCCTAATATCCACATGCCATTCCCTAATATCCACACAGCGTGCCTTAATATCCACATGCCATTCCCTAATATCCACACAGCGTTCCTTAATATCCACAAGGCGTTCCTTAATATCCACACAGCGTGCCTTAATATCCACAAGGCGTTCCTGAATATCCACACAGCGTTCCTTAATATCCACATGCCATTCCCTAATATCCACACAGCGTTCCTTAATATCCACATGCCATTCCCTAATATCCACACAGCGTTCCTTAATATCCACATGCCATTCCCTAATATCCACACAGCGTTCCTTAATATCCACACCGCCTTCTCTAATATCCACATGCCATTCCCTAATATCCACACAGCGTGCCTTAATATCCACAAGGCGTTCCTGAATATCCACACAGCGTTCCTTAAAATCCACATGCCATTCCCTAATATCCACACAGCGTTCCTGAATATCCACACAGCGTTCCCTAATATCCACACCGCCTTCTCTAATATCCACATGCCATTCCCTAATATCCACAAGGCGTTCCTGAATATCCGCGTCACCCAGCGCGCCGCGTAACGCGAGGGGTGTGCGTGGCCCACGTGCGGGTCAGGCCGACGACGCTGGGGCCGTCGCAGCGCAGCGCGTAGAAGGCGAGCGTGAGGGCCCAGGCCACCGAGCCGGACGCCAGGGAAAGGCGAGCGGCCCCCAGGGGTCCCAGGGCCAGGCAGCGCATCAGCAGCCCACCCCCGAACATGCCCAGCGCCACCGAGGGTACGTTCACCGCTCCTGTGCAGTGGGAGGGGAGGGGGGGGGGGGGCACACAGGGAAATGGAAGTACAAGATGAATGGGTTCACATAATGCGCATGCAAAATGTACGTTGATTCGTTAATCCCCCCCCCCCCCCATTTTGCGCAATAAGAACACACGAGTGTGGTCACCACATCTACGCCTCTATCAGGGATGTGCGGTCAGGGGAGGCAGGGGAGGCAGAGCCTCACCTGTCGTACTCCAATGAAAATAGCTGTTACGAAAAGTAAAAAAAAAGAATAATCAAATAAAATAAATATTAAGATTTTTCTACTGATCTGTGTTATAAACGTCATTTCTGTATGATTCCAATCATTTTTATCGTCAAAATCGCCAAAATTTGCGGAGCTCCGCTGCAAATACAGGAAGAGACGAGAGGTGAGGCAGCGACGAGCTCAGCCTCCCCTCTGATTGCGCAACCCCTCAGTACCTGGGTGGAGCGCGGGCAATAATCGCGTGCCTGTTACTATCTCAGTATGTCACCAATGTAATGTTTGTAGACCCCTTCATTTCATGTCCTCGCCTTCCATACTCCAGGTAACTTATTTCACGTATGTGTATGAAGATATTTAGGCTCGCTGGTCTCGTCATTAAACTGCAATGAAAAAGCACCAGGTGAGGCAGCTATCACATCTGCCTCACTGAGGGGGACGTGTCTAACACGCCCCCTCCGTGAGGACACGCCCCCTCCGTGAGGCCACGCCCTCCTCCGTGAGGCCACGCCCCCCTCAGTGTGTAAATCTGGTTCTGACACTAGCCAGTGCCTCCCCAGCCATTGACCTCACCACACGTCACTGGCCTCTATATAAGGAACGAAACAGGTGGACTTCTCCACAAATCTGGCTGTCACCTGATGAAGCTAGTTGTAGTTACTGGCGAAACGTCGTACTCAGATTGTAAATGTTGTGCATTGGCTCTCCAATACACCGGTGTGCTGTACTAGTAACGAATTGGCACGTTCTGTTGACATGACAAACTTTACTAATTGGCTGTGTCGGGTGGTGGCGGGTTTAACGCCACATTTATTTTATTTACGCGATCTAACCCAAAAAAACCCCTGTATTATGGAAAAGTTCACTTTCACTTCCCGGAGAAGCTCCCAATTGTCGAGCGAAGCCAAAAACACCGAACGCAGTGCCGAGCGGTGCGCGGCACAGGCCAAAAGCCGTCTACAGCACCGCTGCAAAAACCCGCGCAGGTATTTGGGAAAGGCGGTCGCTTGTCTGAGTGAAAGTTCGGAAAAATAAATAGGATGGATAACATTTGTACGCCAAACGGGATCTTTTTTTTTCAACGCACATTTCGTGGTTGGCAATACACACCGATTACAGAGCGTTATTATTCACTCGGCATTACGCTTTTCTTAAAAGAACTCTGACCTGCTCTCATCCGCCTCTTCATTCCATCATTTTGGCCCATGGGGTTGGCCTTCAATGCCTGCCGCCCCTAGGTGCGTCCAAACTCTGGTGAACCTCCCGGTTGCGTCCCTCTGCCAGACAAGGCTCCAGCCATCATTGCCAAGGATCGAGCCCTGCTGCCCGTTTCCATCGTTGCTAGTGCTTGTCCAAAGACAAGACTTTGTTCTATTAGAGACGGATATTTTTTTGTTTGCAGCCAAGCCCCGCGATTGTTGAATGTCCTTCTCTCGGTCCATGAGGGCATCGGAGTCTGTTATCATTTTTAAATGGAGTCTTAAAACTGATTTTACTACAGGCTTTCTCCAGCTTTATGTAAAGTGCTTTGAGGCCCGTCCGAAAAGGGCTATAGAGAAAACCGAGTTTATTATTTATCATTATTACATTATCCGTGTGGCCGTTGGCGTACTCCGCGTGTCACCAGCGGCCACGTGCCTGTGTGTGTCGCCACCCAGCAGGCCGGCGTGCCCATCCATGTACGTATGCACATTGAACTTCTTTCGCGCCGTACGGAGCCAACCGTGTTAATCGGAGGTGCGGGAATCAGAGGTACCCATGAACATGTTCGCCTCGGCCGCCGTTTTGCCGAACTGCTCCTCCATGAACTTGGGCTTAAACGTCACGAACCCGACCAGCGACATGACCTGGAGCACTTGGGAAACGAGTAGAGCCACAACGAGCGGTTGGCAAAGCACCCCGTGCAGAGACGCAGTCACTCCTGCACACAGACACCACCGCGTTAGCCAGCGGGGGACACAGCACCCCGTGCAGAGGCAAGGTCATGCAAAACATATTTACTTGTATATTTGTGTAATATATATTTAAAAATAATAATAAAGCAATGTAAAACAAAAGGTAAACACACCAGGGACACCACGAAAATCGCAGGCCAATTCAGTAATGCGCATTGCCATGCCACGGAGGCTCCTGTGCAGTGTGGCAATATGTGGGATTTCTCGTGCAGCGCAGAGACGCAGCAACCGACGAGTCCGCGTTGCTTTGCTCGCCATTGGTGCTTTTTGAGCGTCGGAGGTGAGATTTTTTTGAAAAAGTTACCTTTAAGTGAGTCCCACTGCATACCATCACACAAACTCCGGTCATCCTCGCAGCAGCTTTTGGATAAACATCAGTCGCTGCATCGCAGGCTTTCAGATGTGCAGCCGTCTGGAACGCTCTTCCTTCTGATATCAGGAAACCACTGGAGCTGTGCATTGTTAAATCATCTAGAGTGAAAAAGAATTTCTTTAGAACTGCTCATCACCGTCAACCTCCTTAACCGGTGTTGCTGCTGGTTAGAGTTTGTGGGTAGTAACGAGTCACAGTCTCGTCAAGGAGTGTAAACCATCACCACGTGAACTCTCCGGTCATCCTCGCAGCAGCGCCTTTTGGGCCAACCATTGAACAAAGACCGCTCACACCGCATCGCGCGCTTTAAGATGCGCTTATGCGACCGTCTGGAATGCTCTTCCTTCCGATATTAGGAAGTCGCTGGACTACTGGAGCTGTGCACTTTTAAATCATCATCTAGATTGAAAACTCATTTCTTTAGAACTGCTTTTTTTCTGTTTAATTTGTTGTCCTTCCCCCCCCCCCCGCACCTCTGATTAGCATGGCTGGCTACGTACGGTGCGAAAGAAGTTCACCATACGCACCTCTGATGAGCGACGTGGGAGACGTCGATAGCGTCGAGCTGTGCGACCCTCTCCTGGGGAAGTCCGTGGCACATTCGTCCTTGTCTCCTGTACCACGGAGACAATGATGATGACGACGACGATCGCGATGACGATCGCGGGAAGGGTTAAACCCGCTCGTTCTGTACAGACAGCCCTGCAAGCGTTGGTGCTGGGGTTGGCGAGATGTTAACGAACTTGCCTGGTATACAGGAGGTCGTGGGTTTGATACGGACCCTGACGCCTGCTGTATATTTGGAGTTTGCGTTTCCCTTTCCCCGTGGTCGCGTGGATTTTTCTCCAGGTCCTCCGGTTTTATCCCTCCACATTTAGAATCAAAATGCGTTTATGGTATTTGGCTGCTAGAAATGTCCACGTGATAAGGCACTTCATTGGCCACTTCATTGGCCTATCATTTGCGGCCGAGCCATTTCGGAAAAACAGCTACATAGCTCAGTGGGGCCTTACTTGGTAAAATAAAAAAGAAAGTGTTTTTTTTTTACTTTTCATTCAGTCTGCCAGTCAAACACTGCACCAACGTTCCGCGCCTCCTCCCCCCCCCGCCGCCGCCCCGCACAAACTGTGATCACGGTGGCACGATCCCAAGTGAGCGGTGAACGTGGCCCCCAAGTGAGGTCACCTGACGTGAGCAGAATTTCCTTGACGGGCATCGAGTTCATCTCCGACGATCGTCTCGGCTCCTTTTCACTGCTCGGGACAACGGCAGACAGACCGGTTGACAAACGGATAGCACCGCACGCCGCTGCCACGTTAACGCGTTCGATGCAGCATAGTCATGTGTTCACATTCAATTCCGTTGAGGCAATACAAAATATCCATAATACAACACACAACCGGTGTGCTGTACTAGTGACGAACTGGCCACGTTCTGTTTACTTGACAAACCTTACCAGTTGGCTGTGTCGGGTGGTGGCGGGTTTAAAGACACATTTATATATTCACGTGATCTCACCCAAAAAAACCTGCATTATGGATATTTGTCGCGAAAGCATACGTGTTAAATACAACACACATTTATTAATTTTGTATTCATTTGTATAGCTCATGGCTCACCCTAAACCGCATCCGCACAAACCGGGGCAGTCGATACGGTTACTTGATGCGCACACACACACACGCTCGCACACAAAGAGCAGTTCCAGGGAGACCGAGTTTTCCGATCTTGATCCACGAGTATTTGTGCTCACCGAGGGAGGTTGCGTGGGAATGCCCAGAAGGGCAGCGAGGCGAGCAGGCTGAGAGCGCCGGCGACGAGGAAGCCAAGCCACCAGGCACCCACCCAGCGCTCGTCCTGCACGTGCAGGGACACCCGGTCTGCCAGCACCAAGGCGTGCGGCGGGCACAACACGGCGTCCGCCGGCGTGAGCTTCACGTCCAGCTGAGCCGGCGCGGCGGCTACGCCACTGCGCACGTGGCTGCCTTTAAAACCAGCGCTGTGGAGGTAGCGGCGAGGATTGGTTGATCGCCGCGCACGAATGTTGCGCGAAGCTGCCTCCCCGCCGGCGTCGAGGAGGTGGTGCTGTAGCCCCGGGTCGCGGTACGGCAAAAAAAATGTGGACTCCGCCTGTTCTATCTGTATGGGATAGAGCGTTGGCCCTCGCACGTGTGGGTTTTCTCTGGGTGTTCCGGTTTCCTCCCACATGTACAAACCCTCGTTAATTGACCGTCAACGCCTTCCTGTATATAGGGTCGCAGAGCTTGGGGGTGGGAATTTTGTGCTGGCTACCTTTCCTACCCCTTTTTTTAAAATTTTGACTCGAAACTTTCGCGACTGCAGGAATTCATATTCTATGGTTCTTTCAGTAAAATCACGTGAATATAAAAATAATAACAATAAAATAATACAAATGAAAATAAAGTGATGTTTTTTTCTTTTTTTAATATCACGTTTCCATCGCGACGCAGGCGGTCGTCATCAGGAGTTCTTGCTCACACCTCTGAGGCGTTCTCTCTCAACGCGAGCAAATACTTCGTGGTGGTGGTGGTGCATTCCAAGATTAAATCATCATCTCCCGTCGCCGCCGCATACTCTGCTGCTGTAATCGCTCCACGCACATCGCTGAACCCCTCAAACCTCACAAGCGGCGCAGTGGCCTTACGTCATTATTACCGATGCTAAGTTCCTATTAGCTTGAATATAAAAGTGCTGTGACATGGCGGTACGTTGATTCCCTGTGCAATATATGATCCGTGATCATCAAATTATCCTCGTTTACAAAATGTCATGGCTATCGCTCCCGCGCGTAATTTGTTTCAATATTTTATCGCCGGATGAAATATTTAAGGAATGAAAAGAGCGCGATCCGTTCAAGTTAAAAAATATATATTTTGAAAACTCCGTTATCAAATAACGACCCAGCAAACATGCAACGTTGTGCCAAGGTTGGTAGTCGTTGGATCAACGTTGGTGTTCTTATTGGGGGCCTGGCGATGCAAGAGGAGGCGGGGGGGGCTAGGGTGGGGGTGTGCTCAGACCTGGGAAGTTGACGAAGAGTCGGGAGCACAGCGATCCCAGCAGGAATCCCAGCACCGGCCCCACGAGTCCCATCGTGTGCACACAACCTGCAGGCACAGCCACCGTAAAAACCACCCACCGCTCTACAAAGACAAAGATCTCCCTCCGTGTAGCCTTAACAGACTGCTGGGGCAAGTGCTGTTAGCGAGTAGCACCTGTTAAGGCCGGCACTGTGGCACACGAGGGGTGGGTGGCCGACTTTGTCTCCCCAGTGGCGATGTTTTTAAACACCGCACCGGGTGCTTATTTGAGGCTGAGTCGACCTAAGGGAGGCCCCGGACTGGTTCAGATAATCGCCGCTGGTGTTGGCCGTGAGCGGGAATCGAACTCGGGTCATCAGGTCCGTGACGCAGCGAGATAACCACTACACTACCGCTCCCCCCCCCCGCACAACCATGCCCTGCACAACCACCCCAACGCACAACCACCCCAACGCACAACCACCTACCACACAACCACCTACCACACAACCACCTACCACACAACCACCCCACCGCACAACCACCCCAACGCACAACCACCCCACCGCACAACCACCCACCAAACAACCACCCTCTAAACAACCACCCTACCACACAACCACCCCACCACACAACCACCCACCACACAACCACCCACCACACAACCACCCACCAAACAACCACCCCACCGCACAACCACCCACCACACAACCACCCACCACACAACCACCCACCACACAACCACCCACCAAACAACCACCCCACCGCACAACCACCCACCACACAACCACCCACCAAACAACCACCCTCTAAACAACCACCCTACCACACAACCACCCACCACACAACCACCCCACCGCACAACCACCCACCACACAACCACCCCACCGCACAACCACCCCACCGCACAACCACCCCACCGCACAACCACCCCACCGCACAACCACCCCACCGCCCGTTCGGGCAAGGTAGTTAACATCTCCCAGCCACCGTGGCGCCCTCCACCTGTGCCCCAAGCCCCCGCCCCCCCGCCCCCCACGGTGAGCCGGACTCGGGCAACACGCGTGCCACGTGCTCCGCCGCGTCTCACCGAGGTAGAACGCCGAATCCTCGCGGCGGGTGAAGTCGTCCAGGTAGGAGACTCCGAGCGGGGTGACGGGCGTCTCGCCCATCCCGCGGAGGATGTTTCCCGCAAGAAGCAGCATCCAGAGCCGGGTGCCCGAGCCTCGCGCGCAGCCTGCGGGTGAGCGTGGCGGCGGTGGCGGAGCGCCGCAGCAGAAAGGGGGTCACGACGACCCCCGGCCACCGCTGGGTCCTGTTTCATTCCCCAGAACTGGGGGGCGGGGGGGGCGCCGTGCCAGCCGTGCCCCCCCCCCCCCCCCCCCCACCGTCAACGCTAGTGGCCAACGAAAACCCACACACCCAATACACGGTGTAACAAAAATTATATAGTTAATAATAGAGGGGTTTTTTTGGTTTAGATCGCGTAAATATATAAATGTGTCGTTAAACCCGCCACCACCCGACACAGCCAATTAGCAAGGGTTGTCACGTCAACAGAACTTGGCCAATTCGTCACTGGTACAGCACACCGGTTTGTTGGAGAGCCAAGCTACGAAATTAGTACAATCTGAGTACGACGTTTCGCCAGTAACTACAACTAGCTTCATCAGGCGACAGCCAGATTTGTGGAGAAGTCCACCCGTTTTGTTCCTTAAGTAGAGGCGTAGATGTTGATGATAACACTCGTGTTCTCTTCTTGCGAGAAGTGGGGGGTTGGGATGATTAATGAATGCATATAAATGACCATGGGCATCCATTGTCGTTTCAGTTATTTCTATATATACAGTTATCGCCTACATATTATTGCGTACGGGTTAAAAACATCCATAGCTATTTCAGTAAGAAAGGAGGCGGGGGGGGGGGGTGTCACAGTCGTATCTCGCATACCCCGCCCCCTCCCCCTGTTGAAATAGGTCGCTGCGGCCCCTGCTCTGGCACAAGTTTATTGATGTGCTTGCACGTTGAACTTCTTTCGCACCGTACGTACGTAACCCAAACCGTGCTCATCGTACCCGCTGGAGGCGCGCCAGTCTCGGCCGCCGCCTCCGCCGCCGCTGGCCGGGACAGGCAGTGCGCGGGCAGAGCCCCGGCCGTCCGGTTCGCCTGCACGTGGCCGTGAGCCTCGTGCTCATTGTACCTGTGTAGGGGTGTTGCGGGAAGGTAACGCACAGCCACACCTTGGTGGCTACAACCACGTCCGCTACAGCCCCGCCCCTCAGGGGTGTATGGGTATAAAGGGCGGGGAGCCAGAGGAGCTAGGGGCAGTGTGTTGGGGCCAAGAATGAAGAACCAGCGAAGAAGGAAGGCCGGTTAGATAGACCCTGGGACTTCCCTGACCGCTGTCCCTTTGAGGGTAAGCCGTTGGTGCGACCCCAGAGCCTCAGAGCCGGAGCCCTTTTAAGGGTCGGTCTGGTTGGTGGGGTGCCGTGATCTGTGCTTGACCAGGGCCAGATCAGATAGCCTCCCTCTAGCGCCTGTAGCTGGAGGAACTGGGAGCACAGGAGCTAGGCTAGATAGCCTAGGGGGTGTCCCAGAGTGTATACGGGTGAAGGGGCCGTTACCCCTTCCAGTGTAACCCTTGTTAAGCTTGAATAAACAGTGCTGCCTCTACTCCACCATCTCCGTGTCCCGTGAACCCACTACACCTGGGAGGGCAGAGCCAACGACAGTGGTGGTGTGGTGGTGGCTGCAGTGCGGGGCATGTAGCATGATGTTATAAAGGGGCCCTAAATTTGTAAAAAAAAACACGTAAATATTAAAACACAAATGTTTTACTTGCACAGTAAAGTAATTGTATTTTCTCTTTTGCTATACAGCCAGATAATACGACAAATCGCTAACCTTAAACACCAAGTCATTTGTAAAAGTTGAAGGCGGTATAGTACTATAGTAATAGAGCAAGTGCAGAATCGCTGAACCGGAATTGATAGCTTGAAAGCATTTAGCGCGGGGCCCTTGAAAGTGCGGGGCCCGTAGTAGTAGTAGCTACTTGTGCTACTAGGATAATTCGGCACTGGGTTAGGTGGTGGTTGGCCGACGATGGCGAGGAAACGCAGTGACAAAATTGCCCCGCTGGGGAGAAAAAAAAACAGCGTAACCGTACGTATGTTGATGTACTTTCCACTACTGAAATGTTTTTGCATTGTTGTTGTAACGTCGTTACCCGCCCAGACTGGACATCTGTGAAAAAGAGCTTTACACCATTGGAACCTCCTTTGCCAGTAGCAAAATATGATAATTGTTTTTTTACCCTTTTATCTGGCAACAAAACTGACACATTTTTTTTACAAGGAGTCATGTTTGCATTGACCACAATACCTGCGGTCGCAATGCAACCAAAAAACAACAACTCTGATAATGTATGCACCATGTGAGACTAGGCTCTAAGGAAAGCTGTCTTGGGTGGACCAATCAATTTCACGGACAGTGCCACATACATTATCCGAGTTGTGTTTTTATAGCTCTTCGTATTCCTCCAAGTATAAATGTTCTGATTCTGATGTTGAACTTCTGTTGCAGTGCACGTAGCCAACCATGCTAATCGGAGGTGCGGCGGGGGGGGGGGCGACAACAAACTAAACACAACAACAAAAATCTAGATGATCTAAAAGTGCATAACTTCTGTGGCTTCCTAATATATTGAAGAAAGAGCGTTCCAGACGGCCTCCAAAGCGCGCGATGCGGCGTGACCGGTCTTTATTCGGTGGTTGGCCCAACAGCCGCCGCTGCGATGATGATCGGAGGGTTCGCGTGGTGATTGATGGTTGATGCTCTTCGATGAGGCCGTGACTCGTGGCTACCCCACAAGCTCTCACCGCCAGCAACACTGGCAAGGAGTCAAAACGGTGATGATGAATGTCTGAGAACGAATGTACCGGAAACGGCCCTTCATGTTGCTATGAAAAAGGACCGTTTCCCGAAACATCGCCAATTATATATATTTTTTGTTTATTCTTTTAAGGCGGTGTTGTTGACGAGTGTGTTGAGTTGCCTATCACACAGAATCACTGCTGCTGCTGCCAGTCGGTCACATTTGCTCGAGTTTACTTTGGACGTTGACCCAAGGCAAGGGGACCACGATGCAGTGCTTCAGAAACTTGCTGATGGTTTTTATTTAGTTATTTATTGCTCTTGATGAAATTTTCCCATCTCCTTTGAAACTCACGCTTTTTGCAGCCTGCCACTATCGTCATTCATTATTATTATTATTTTGTATCCTTTATCATTCTTCATCATCTTCTTCTTCTTCCGTCATCATCGGATTTTTCTCACCGCCGCCCGAGCATCCGAACTCACGGCTCCATGAAGAAGTGCGGCAGGGCCATGACGAACGTCCCCGCCGCCATCACGGTGGCGCCGACGGCGATGAGGCGCGGACGGTGAAGCCGGGAGCCCAAGTAGCTCACCACGAGCACCACGAGGAGATTGCCTGCACACGTGGGGGTGGGACGGTGGTGGGGGTGGGGCGGTGGTGGGGGGCCCACAACGACCACAGCAGCCACGTTCAGTCCCGTTGGCTGGGAGGAGACCCAGCAAGCCCATCGCCAAATCCACCAGCAGTAAGCAGGTGGCCTGCATGTCAGAGGTGATGATCGTCAGAGGCGCCACGGTTGGCGAGATGTTAACTACTTCGCCTGGTATGCAGGTGCTCGTGGGTTCGATGCCGGCCCTGACGCCTGCTGTATATTTGGAGTGTGCGTGTCTCACTCTTTCTCCCCGTGGTCGCGTGGATTTTCCTCCGGGTCCTCCGATATTTCCGTCCGCATTTAGAATCGACAACATGTGATAAGAGTATTTGGCTGCTAAACATTTCCACGCGATGATAAGCCACCTTATTGAGCTATCATTTGCGGCCAGGTCACTTCTTAAAAAGAGCTACATAGCTCAGTGGGACCTTACCTAGTGACATAAAGTGGATTAAAAACTTGACTTGGTGCATTCGTGACTGCAGGAATTACCCTTTGTTTTTTTTCGGTAAAGTCGCGTAGAAATAAGAAATAATAATACGTAATTTTATTATTATATGTAATTTTATTATTTCTTATTTCTACGCGACTTTACCGAAAAAAAACAAAGAATAAAGTGGATTAGTTTTAGATTGGTGGAAATATTCTCTGGGAGAAGCTAAATGTATGTTTTGATTGAAGGTGTGGGGGGGGGGGGGTGTAATCAATGTGTAATGAATGAAATTTTATTGTGGCTATGCAACCCAATTATAGATCAAGTAGTAAACCCATTGAGACTCACAGAGATACACGGAGAAACTCGTAGAGATAGCTAGATATCCGTAGAAATACATTATAAGGCGAGCCGCAGCATTGAGATTGTGGCCACACAACTCAAACTATGGACCCATACAATAAACCACTGGAAGTCTGCGCTCCTTCAAAAGAGGAGGAGCAGCGACGGTGAGCCATTGTTGTTATTGTTGCGGTGTGGAGCCCACCCATCTCGAAGCCGCCATCGATGATGCCTGCGAGAGAGCTGGACAGGGAGAAGCGCCTTTCGATGGCGGTGATGGCGCCCTTCATGTAGGCAGCCGTGAGCGCCTTGCAGAAGTACAGCAGTGACAGGCTGGCCAGGAACGCCTGCCAAAGACAAAGACCCCCCCCCCCCTCCCCTGTGTAGCCTGCACAGGCTGTTGGGGCAAGTGCTGTTAGCGAGCGTCCGTGGAGACCGGCACGGTGCACGAGGAGGCTGTGTGGCGAGCACTACGCCCGACCGCCTTTATCTCCCCAGTGGCGATGTATGTTGAACTTTTTTTGCACCGTATATAGCCATCAACCATGCTAATCGGAGGTGTGGACGTTTCCACACTGCGCCAAGTACTCATTTAATGCTGAGTTGACCTCGGTCGTCGGATATGCCCAGGTCTGGTTCAGATATGTTAAGAGAATTTGGCTGCTCTAAATTTCTACGTGATAAGCCACTTAGTTGAGCTATCAATTGTGGCCAGGTCGCTTCTGAAAACAAGAGCTATATAGCTCAGTGAGCTTTACCTGGCTTAACACGTAGGCCTTCCCGAACCAATATCGCATAAATATATAAATGTGTCGTTAAACCCACCACCACCCGACACAGCCAACTAGTAAGGTTTGTCACGTAAACAGAACGTGGCCAATTCGTTACTGGTACAGCACACCGGTGTGTTGGAGAGCCAAGCCACAACATTTACAATCTGAGTACGACGTCTCGCCAGTAATTACAACTAGCTTCATCAGGCGACAGACAGGTTAGTTGAGAAATCCTCCCGTTTCGTTCCTTAAAAGGAGGGGTAGACGCGATGACAACCCAGGTCACCAAAATCGGCGGCGCAGCGTGCTCACCGCTAATGCCACTTCTCGTCCACAAACTGCACATTCGCGAAGCCGGACCGGCCATGATCCATATTCGCTGCGAGACGAGGGCCTGGGGAAGCCGTCGCCAATTCTCACGGCCCCCCGGCGATGCAGCAGCGGTCCATCTCGCTCCCGTTCACGAGACGGGAACCTCACCTTAATGCTGGCATACCGGGGCAGTTTAGCATCCTCTGAGCCTGGGCCTTCTCCAAGCCAGCGTCCCTTCCCCATAATCTGGGTCCTGCAAAATAACGACCTGAATGTTAATGAACAAAAAAACATTACTCAGGTGGCTGGGGGTGCCTCGCCTCAAAGGTCACGGGACTAAGCCGGCACCGCTGAGATCTTGGCTTCGAATTCGGGGTCCAGCCGCCCGTAATCAGACCGGGTTTTCAAGCGTAGTGAGTTCGATGGTCTCAGCCCGGTCAACAATGACCGCGCGCAAAATAAACTCCGATCACAAATTTGGTTAAATTGCAGCTTTGAGAATTCAAAACGTCGGTTCGGCATGCGACAAACGTGTCTCTGTCGGGGGCAAAATTGTGGGTAGAGAGGTCACTGAAATGGATCTCAGAAGCGGTTCTGTGATATCAGATTCTGATGGCCGTTTTTATTTTTTACCACGCGGCGTGATGCGCTGCTCACTCTGAGAGTCCCGAACGGACACAACTTCTTGTCGGGACACGACACCGATGGCAGAGTTATAACTGAATTGTAGCAAAAGGCAACGGATAGACTCATACATATGTAATAAAACACTTTGACGATGAACGTTGACTTGCGCCTTTCTTTCTTTATTGCTATGTTGGCTGTACAGCTCCGCGCTTCTTCTCGGATGGTAACCGATCTTTTTATTCTCTGGGCGGCGCGTGTCGACTCCTTCCCGCGCACGGCTCGCTCACGCTCTCCGCTCCTGCGGAGCACCGCTGGCTGGCGGCGCGCAAGGAGACGTCCCTCGGACCGCCATGTGGCCGCTGGCGTTCCGAGGGGGCGAGACGTCGTCCCGCTTCCAGACTTCCCACACTGACCACGAGCCTCTTCCTGCTTCCCCTTATATCCATCTCACGCGGAGCCAAGCCCCGCCTCTAGCCACGCCCCCTCTAGAACCTTCCCGATAGTTCTCACGAGCACCCTTGAGCTCCGCCCGTGAACTTTGGCCCAGGTGAACCCACTTAATCCTGATTGGCTTATGACTGATGCAGCGGAGCCAATCCAGCCGGTCGGCGTCCGTCGGTGTACTCTCTCATTACACATGTGAACACGCATTTCCTCACCAACTTACACACTCACACACGTCTAACACAACACCTGCGGTCTGTCACTCAATTAACTGACGTATGCAACCTCTCCCTTGCTTATCAACAACCCATACCGCGTCAATAAATAACAATGAAGATTTACAGAGCGTCTACATGCGAGCGCATTGCAAAGCGCTACACGTTATCAGTGGAAATAATCATTATGATCACGACCGTCACCATCAAATTAAGCGGCGTGTAATAAATGTATGACGAAATGTCTCCGGCTTATCAGTGTTAAATTCATCGCTGACGTAGTTGGTGCATCCGAGAAGTCTGCTGTCCAGTGTTCACCACCACCACCAGCACTATCATCACCACCAAAGACAAAGATCACCCGTATAGCCTTAGCATAATGTAGGAGCAAGTGCTGTTAGCGAGCACCTACGAAAGCCAGCACGGCACACGAGGGCGTGGGTGGCCAGCAACTCGCCCGACCGCCTTTGTGTCCCCACTGGCGATATTTACATACCGCATAAGGTACTCGCTTGAGGCTGAGTCGATCTAGGGGCGGCCCAGGAACGGTTCAGATAATCGTCACCGGTGTTGACCGTTAGCGATGGCCCGGTTCGTAGCGCAGCGCGATGACCGCTACACTACCGCTTCCCGAGGTCACAGCGACACTCACCCACCACACTGCAGGTCACGGTGGTATAACTTTTGCTCAAATCAATAAACATGTTAACTCTTACACTATTACAACTTTGGATCGTGCCGTTTGTTGATGACTGCTCGACGTTTCGTGACCTTGGGCCTGTGCTGTTATTGGTAAAGTATTAAGTTATGATTGATGTTACAAACCACCCAGCTTTGGAAAAAGATGCACATGGTATGAGGTCAATTGAAGGGACCTCAGGTTGTAGTTCTGTGCTAACCGCTACAATCCCACTCCCCATCATCACCACCACCACCACTATGCTAATCTCGGTTTAAATTTGCAACAACAAAATAATAATAAAATTACCCACATTATTCACAGAGCAATCAGCGTCCCCTAGTGGCACCGGGCAAGGTGCCGAGTCACCGCGGGCCGCACAGGGGCAGCTGCCAAAAGGGGAGCTCTGAGCTCTGAGATGTATCGTGAAGTGACAGAGAGAAACATACAAGACGCAAGCTCATTCACTCACTGGCACATCCACCGTCATCACGCCATTCATGGATTACTGAAAATATTCTCTCACTCACCTTTGTTAAGCGAAATACCGACGTAGCACGAGTTGGTCCTCTCTTCTGCCAGTGACACACTAATTAATTATAAAACCCAACATCACCAAAGACAAAGATCCCCCGTATAGGCTTAAGAGACCGTTGGGGCAAAGTGCTGTTAGCGAGTAGCACCTATGAAGGCAAGACAGATAGGCGCACATCCATCCGTACACACACACAGGCACACCTAGACACAAAGACAGAGATCCCCCATATAGGCTTAACGGACTGTTGGGGCAAAGTGCTGTTAGCGAGTAGCACCTATGAAGGCCAACGTGGCACACGAAAAGTGTGGGTGGCCAACACCACGCCCGGCCGCCTTTGTCTCTCCGATGTCGATGTTTACTACACACCGCACCAGATAATAAATTGAGGTTGAGTCGACCTAGGGTGAGGCCCAGAACCGCTGGCGATATTCGTCACCGATGTTGAACCGGCGACGAACGCCACCGCGTCGCGTTAGGCGAGACACAGCGCCTCGCAAATGCCGAAAAGATTCTCACTCACCGACTGCCGTTCACTTCCAGACGTGCCACTTGCCGGAGTTTATAAAAAATAAAATAAACAACAACGCCAGCAGCACCACGAGGCAGCAGGAGCAGCCTCAGCAACCTCAGCAGCCTCAGCAGCAGCAGCAGCCTCAGCAGCAGCAGCAGCAGCCTCAGCAGCAGCAGCCTCAGCAGCAGCAGCCTCAGCAGCCTCAGCAGCAGCAGCACGTGTTGCGGCCGTTTTGCCCCCCGCCACCCTCCACCCCGTCCCACAAACCCAGAATTATGTTACAAAGTGGTTCTTTCACAGCAGCTCAGCCTGGCTGGCGCACGGAACGCAACGTTTTACGCTGCGCTCCGCACGTGTCAGGAATGCCACTCGGAGCCGATTAAAATAACTCTCACCGTGCAGCAGCACCAAGGCCGTAATTATAATATATTATATTGGGAGGGGGGGGACACATCCCCCCCCCTCCCAATATACACATCCCCCCCCCTCCCAATATTTAAATATGCTCAAAATGTCCCCCCCAATATATTTCTATAAAACAGATTTCTGTTTATATGATTGTGGATGTACTTTATTAATCCCTAATCTTTGCCATTACATACAATGAAACAAGAAAAGGTAAAACAAAAAGTGAAAACAGAGAAATGTAATACAATACACTATTAGACAATATTGTTAAAAATATAATGTCCATCCCATGTGTTGGTGCATTTTTTTATATTTTAGCCAGGAAATGGCAGGAAAATCTTTTCAAATTTAGATTTTTTTCTTGGGGGGGGGGCCCAGACCCCCTGGAAGATTTGGTCCCCCCCCAATGTTGACTCCATGGCTACGGCCTTGGGCAGCACCCACCGATAACGTCTCCCCCCCCCCCCCCGACCCCCACAACCCCGGGGCAAGAGGTCGGGAAACCTGCGGCTCCGGAGGCTCATGCAGCTCTCTTTAATGAACCGCCTCGTGGCCGGTTCATTTATTTATTAAGGACCGCCGTCTCGTACTCACCACCGTCTCGTATTCACCACCCTCTCGTATTCACCACCATCTCATATTCACCACCGCTGTAGTGTCGTATTCACCACCACCGTCTCGTATTCACCACCGTCTCATATTCACCACCGCTGTAGTGTTGTATTCACCGCCGTCTCGTATTCACCACCACCGTCTCGTATTCACCGTCGTCTCATATTCACCACCGCTGTAGTGTCGTATTCACCACCGTCTCGTATTCACCACCACCGTCTCGTACTCACCACCATCTCGTATTCACCACCACCACCGTATCGTATTCACCACCGCTGTAGTGTCGTATTCACCACCGTCTCGTATTCACCACCACCGTCTCGTACTCACCACCATCTCGTATTCACCACCGCTGTAGTGTCGTATCCACCACCGTCTCGTATTCACCACCGTCTCGTATTCACCACCGTCTCGTATTCACCACCACCGTTTCGTATTCACCACCGCTGTAGTGTATTCACCACCGTCTCGTATTCACCACCGTCTCGTACGCACCACCGTCTCATATTCACCACCGCTGTAGTGTCGTATTCACCACCACCATCTCATATTCACCACCGCTGTAGTGTCGTATTCACCACCATCTCATATTCACCACCACCGTCTCGTATTCACCGTTGACCGGGGGGTTGTTTGTTTGTTTACCGCATTCGAAAAAAATTGCTCCTTTTGTTATTTTGGTTGCCCCCTCCACTGGCCCTGCCCCTGAGTTTCCCACTGCCACACAGGGCCTGAATATTGGCCCCTTTATGGCAAAGCGTAAAGAAGAACACCGAGAAAACGGCCGCGGAACATCAAGAACTTTACGAAGTGCGATGGACTTGGTTGTTTCTGTTGTTGCTACATTTTGAGTTTGGATCAAGTTTTCCTTTCGACGGTGTGAATAGGGGGGGGGGGGCGATGGCGCAGTAGTTAGCGCACGGTGCTGTGAACTCTGCGAACTAATCTTGATTTGAAGCTTTCGTGGCTGCAGGAATCCATACTCTTTGGTTCTTTCGGTAAAGTCCACGTAGTAGGTATAAAATAAATCACGACGTTTCGGGCGCAAACGCAAGCGTCCGTCATCAGGTGAGAAAGCAGTGACGGACGCTTGTGTTGCGCCCGAAACGTCGTGATTTATTTTACACCTACGTGACTCTATCGGTGAACGAACTCTGATTCCCGGCTACGGTTAACAATTAGTGGCAAGCGATATCCGGACCTGTGCTTGGCACCCGCTCTACTAACCAGCGTGGCGAGGTATGGTCAAACAGCCCCCACGACCGACACGGTGTGGGCAGGCCCTCGTCCAGCAGTGGATTGACAAAGCGGTGTGAAATGACTAAGCAATGTCTGTAACGGGACCCTGGACCAGATACAAATAAGGAAACATGAGCTCCTGTCCACAACAATGGCATGGGACATCCTCCAGATCAGTGTTCTTCATCGCAAGGCCCGTGGGACACCGGCGACCCCTGACAATAAACACCAACGTGAAAATACTCCGCCAGTTAACATCATCATCATCATCATCGTGCCGCTGTCAAACCCCCAACGGTTTTAAATGTGTAGCGGTCCTCACACTGATGATGTCTTATGGGCGAAAGTGACACCCCCTCTGAAAATGAGTGAACACTGATACAGACGGTCCTGTGGTGGTGGCACCAATGTCACGTAAAAAAAGTCCTGCTGAGGAAGGCAAAGGGGAAGCCATCTCATCACCTCTCCTTCACTAGCCATGGCTCCATAACATGAGTGCAGGGTGTGTTGTACATACTAGTATTCGCTGCGGAGGCGAGATGTTAACTACCTCGCCTGGTATGCTGGAAGGTCGTGGGTTCGACCCAGACCCTGACGCCTGCTGCTGCTGTATATTTGGAGTTTGCGTGTGTGTGTCTCTCTCTCTCCCCGTGGTCGCGTGGATTTTTCTCCCGGTCCTCCGGTCCTTGCCTCCACGTTTAGAAACACGCGTTTAGAGTATTTGGCTGTTTTAAATGTCTACGTGATGTAGCCACTTTTTTGGGCTACCATTTGTTGGCTAGGTCGCTTCTGAAAAAGAGCTGCATCGCTCAAGTGGTCCGTACCTGGTAACATAAAAATAGTTTCGTTTAAATGTTCTCATAATTATCATCGGACATGGTCCATCCACTCCTGGATGACAGCCTTCCAAAGCCGCCAATGCCGTCGCCTCTCACGGTTCAGCGAGGCAATAATCATCTCCTCGGCGTCCTTGTTACATTCCTTGGTCGCCACTCCAATGATATTCTTGGCCATCGCTCAGTAATAACAATAATATACTGTACACTCCTCTAGCGTGTTTTTGTATTGTTTGTTTGTTGTTGTTGTAACATTCTGACCCGTCTCGACTGGACATCTGTGGAAACAAGAGCTTTATAGCTCATCGGATTCCTCCAGTATAAATATTCTGATTGTGGCATTTTCGAGCGCGTGTCCTGCTGCAAACACCCACTCATTTTCTTAATCGTTTGGATCATGGCAATAAACCGAGTACATTCTCTAATTCACGTGTTCCTCTTTCTGCCCTTACAGTTTTTTGCTCCACTTTCCAGTTTTTAGTCCGTATTTTTCTCCTTCTGTTAACCGTGTTTCAAAACAATGTCAAAATCAGGTAGTCGTAGTACAGTACGCACTGATTAAATACACATTTCAATATAAACAGATTACAAATGAAACCTTGGAATGATGACGCTGTTGCTTGGGCAGGGCTCCGCATCCTGGGTCCAAATCATCACGAGAACTACCGGCGACAAACGGGCCCATGTGGCCGAGCAGAGTCCATCTCATGGTCAACCCTCGAGGCATCGAGGAAGGCTAGAAAACAGTCACGGCAACTATTCAAACTAATCTTGATTTGAAGCTTCCGTGACTGCCGGAATCCATACTCTTAGGTTATTTCGGTAAAGTAACCACGTAGGTAGAAAGTAAAAGAAATGACGACGTTTCGATCTGACATGCTGTCAGCGGTTGTCAGCAGTTCTCCTGCTGGATCTGTTGCACCTGATGACGGTCGCTTGTGTTTGCGATCGAAACGTCGTGATTTAGTGTATTTTATACCGACGTGACTTTACCGAAAGAACCATAGAGTATTAAAACGAGTTTTGTTTGTTTTACCAGGTAAAGTCCCACTGAGCTGTATAGCTCTTTCTCAGAAGCGACCTGGTCACAAGCGATTTCTCAACGAAGTGGCTCATCGTGTGGATATGGATTACAACAAAATACCCCAAGCGCCGCATCTTTCCAAAAATGTGGAGGGGGGAAACGGAAGGACCCGGAGAAAAATCCACAAGACCACGTGGAGAACGTGAAAACTCCCAAATATACAAGCGTCAAGGTCGGGGATCGAACCCACGTCTTCCTGTAGACTAGGCGAGGTATTTAACATCTCCTAGCCACCCGGTGACGCCACCCCCCACCCCGTGGCCAAAGCAACAAGCTGGGGGCCCTCTTGACAACCGCCATACTACAGCGCTGGAGTGGCTGCATTATGCCAAGAAGGAGCGCCCATACAGCGTTAAAATGTTCCAGACCGTGAGCGTAAAGACGATATGATTCGGCAAAAAGTAGCCGCGATCTACAATAGCCTTGGTGGGATCGTGCGAGACAAATCGAATATTGGGGACCCACCTGACCGATTGCCGCACACCCTGAGCTGATAATGTAGTTACGCCACTGCTATAATAGGGACCGAACATTGAAATCTGAATACCAATTGAGCGCGTGTGTATCTTTTAAAGGATGTCATAAACTTGTAGTATTCAAGTGTTCACACAAAAATTGGCAAATTGTGAACTTTTATAAAAGTATCTTTTTTTTAAATCTCAAATTTCACAATTGTACTTGGAAGTGAGGTGCAAGCGAATTCCTCCACGGGATTACGACCTTCTCTTCCCGTCACCAAGATGCCGAAGCTGCTTACTAAGCCGCTTACGAAGCACAGAGAATTAGCCAATGCGGGAACACGGTTACGTGTCCACAGAGCAAATCACGGCATTGTGATTTGGCCAAAGTGTAGTTATGTAAGTGGAATAATAACATTCAACCGTGCTGATGAAATGCCAAACTTGGCCACTAAACTTTGTTGGATTAAAGACTTCAAATCTGCATTTTTAAGTACGAAGCAAAATTTCCTGAAAGCTGTAAAAGGTAAGGGTGCATCCCGGCCAATGCAGCACTTGTTCACGCCACTGCTAGCTAAAAGGGCCTCCACTAATTGGCCAAATATTACACGCAGGCCATACGTATTGGATGAGGTTGCAGCTCCAATTAGCACGGTTGGCTATATACGGTGCGTAATAAGTTCAACATACATGCAGGACCTAGACTTTAACCCACCACACACAATCCTGATCCGACATAATTGTGCTGTATTCATACTGCTAGGTGGATGGAGGTAGGGGGGGGATTTTAGAAACTTGCGCCGTGATTTTAACTACCGCGTGGGGAGATCAAACTGCGATCTCTGGATTGCAAGTCCAGTCTACTAACCATTGCACTATGGCAGCATCTAAACCTTTTAGTGCAGTATAAAGGAATGTTTTTTTTACAGTATGGTATAATATACATCGGTATTGCTTAATATGGTAACATTATTAGTTAGATTCCCCATTAAAACCTCCCCGAGCCTCTATACATTTTTTTTCAAGAGGGTCCTGCATTGGCTATTTCCATTAAGGAATCGTAATCGGTTTCTTTCGGGTCAGATCGTGTCAAAGTCATGTCGATTTCTAACGATAACCCTCCACTACCCGACAGCGCCAATCAAATCAAGTTGTCACGTGGGCAAATATGCCAAATTCATGTTAGTTAAAAACTAAACATTGTACCAACAGACCTGAACCAAAATTCATAATTAATCATATTGTACCGTAAAAGCCTTTATCAGGGGGGAAACCACACGAGCTGAGATTGAAAAGTGTGCCAGTTTCGCACGGCGCGACCACTGGGATGTCAATAAAAGACAACCGCGACATTTTTTTTATGACCAAATAGTTTATTTTGTTAAAGATCTATTGCGTGTAATTAATGCGGTAGCTTTAAAAAAACAAAACAAATTTCTCCAACTCGTGTCGTATCGACGAGATTCCACAACGCGCTGTTAATGCATTGCCATGTCTGTAACGGGAGACGTCACAAGCGCCGACAGACACGTGATCGTAACGTTGGTTGAAAGCACACAAAAGCTCGACACTAACACACACTTCGTCATTACATTTTTTTCTACAAACTGATGCCGGACACTGCGATGAAAAACAAACGGCAAAAAAGTAAATAAGACCGCTACATTCATAACTGGTAAAGCATAACGATTATGTGAACTAAAGTTTGCTTCTTAATGTGGTATTCAAGGGTAAAGTTTGGAATTATAGCTAAGATTGAGGAACATTTTTTTTTTACGACTTACAGCCCTTGCCATTCGACTGTTGGATAAACGCCTCCCCACACGTGATTGGACGTGGGAGTTTGTTTGGCCATACTTCACCACGCCAGTCAAAACCGGGGTTGGTGGAGGTGTGGGGGCAGGGTTTTCCAGGTCCAGCTCAGGTATCACTCGCCAACCGACGTTAGACGGAATTCAACTCGGATGGCCGGGTTCGCAGCAACTCGCTATCCACTGCATCACCACTCCACCCTAAGGGCATCACCGCCATCATCAACGGTCACGATCAGGGGTCAGAAACCTGCGGCTCCAGAGCCGAATGCGGCTCTTTGAGGGCCACTTCACGAGACGTTATTTATTCAGGACCACCGTCTCGGATTCACATGCATTTAGCAAATTCGAAAAAAAAGGTCTCTACTTGTTATCTTGGTTTCCCCACCCCTGGTCATGAACAATCCACTACTGGATGAAGGCCTCTGAGTATCCACTATAATATAAACATTGAGACACAAATAGTCACTACTGTTGAATCACATTTTTTTTGCAAATTACTACTGCTCTTTGCTTGATAGCATTCAGTATACTTCTACGACCGTTGCGTAGGATTTCGTGGATGTGCCGTATGGTTCCCTTGTGTTTTCAGATTGTGCCACGCGCACAATCCTAATCACACATCAGAGAGCATTCAGTACTGTTGCAGCGACTCTTACTCAAGTGAGAAACATTTGCAGACAAGATATTGCTGGGAAGACACTAAGGCCCCTTCTTCTTTGTGCTTTCAAGCTGCACGTCACAGCACGGATTCGATGTCCTTGCTATGACTGCAACTTTGCGCATGTACTGCAGTGAGGCTCATCGCTGCATCTTATTCACGATTATCACTTTACCATAGGGTTTTTTTGTTGTTGTAACCACTGCATAAGTTTTTCGTGGTTGCGACGTGCAGCTCTCCGATGTGTTTGGGGGTTGTGCCGCCCGTTGTTCTGCACAATGACGTCCTAGCGCGTGGCGCGAAACGTCGGACATCGGAAAAAAAAGATGCGGTACAACGCATTGAAGAGCTCTACGTTAGCACAATCCCAAAAACCTACGTAGCGGAATAGCTTTATATTCACCAAGCATTCAGACTCACTTGAATTTCTGGTTCTCCGTACCGCAACGTTGATCGGCACGATGAGCCCTAACTGAATTCAGTTCCTGACGCTCCCAAAACACAACCAGAAAACACATGGGAGAGCTCCTTGTTTCTTTCGGCAAAGTCACGTAGTAGGTATAAAATAAAATTATAAAATTATATTTTATACCTACTACGTGACTTTACCGAAAGAACCAAAGAGTATGGATCGCTGCAGTCATGAAAACTTCAAATCTAGATTAGAGCTCCTTGTTTTTCCCGTTTAAAGTGATCATTAACAGAAGCTACAGGGGAAATGTTCAAACTCTTTTTCACGAAGGGTAGAGGCGGAGATCACTTCAACGGCTTCACCCAGCTCGCTGGAAATCCTTCATCTTACTGTGAAGACAGCATAAGAAACATCATCATCATCATGTATGTAGAACTTCTTTCACAACGTTCATAGCGAACAGTAGTAATCAGAGGTGTGAAAATCGTCGTCGTCATTATCATCGTCTTAAGTTATCTACCCACGGACAGGTCCAAGGCTCCCTCCCACTCTACACGATTCCACTCATCCCTCTCCACCGCGCACCACCCACGCTCTGCACAGGGGATTCTGTTGAGCAACGACTCGCGAAGGATAATCGAGGGTGGCGACTTCTCCTTGCCTTCCCTCACCCCGTGTGTGTGTGTTTAGGTGACTTCAATCATCGGATGCGGTGTTACATTTACATGCACGGTGGAACACAGGCCGTCACGATGACACGTGTTCCGCAAGCGTTGGGCTTGTGGAAGGAAACCAGAGTACCCATGGATAGCCCACCAGGCAATTAAAGGGGATAACATTCAAAGCTCCACGCAGATGGATTTACAGACACATTTATGCATTGCCATCTTCTGGCCACCCAGTAACCCAAGTCTACAATGGCTGGTATTTCCAGGCAGTTTAGAATTCAAGTCTTAAACAAGGCTCAATGATTCTTAGCTTGAGATCTGACAAGTTGGTCTTTGGAATTTGTTGTTAGAAATGTATTTTGTCGATCTGCTCACCTGTCCCGTTTGCCCTTTTGGCATTGCAGTATTTGTTGATATGCATAGCTTTCACCTTTAATATTGATGCAATTATTTAAAAAAAAAACACGCCAAAGTCAGACAGCAGTTGAAACAGAGTGGCAGCCAGAGAAAGGAAAGCGCCCCACAGCACGTCCATCACGGAGACGGAGTGACAAAATCAGCTCGTGTCCGGGAACTGGAAGGAGTGATCCACTGGGAGATCACGAGAGGGGAGGCCTTCACACAGCAGCGGATTGATCGTAGCTGACGATGACGATGACATTTTATAATGTATGAAATAAACGTTACCTCACCTCTTTCCATTTCATAAACACTATTTACAACGCAGTACTTACACTTCGGGGTTTCTTGTTTATTTTCCACTCAAATCTGCAACACAATGCAAAAGCAACAAATTAGAGCCCTTTAACGTCCCCACGTGGCTCGTTTCTCCATGCAAGAAAAACCTACCAGTTGTTTACGCGACTCGAATCACCCTGTAGTTATATGTATGTTGAACTTCTTTCGCACCATACGTAGCCAACGAAGGGGGAAAATGACGTGATTGGTGTTTGCCGATGGCTCTTGCTCATCCACCAGGTTCCCCTCCACACAGGCAGACACAAGCGAGGGTTGCCCTGCGCGCGACTGCTATGCCAACCCGCGTGACCATCACGCCACCCGTGCGACTACCATCGCCGGGGGCTGTACCACGCCAGCACAGGCAGTCGCACACAGTGGCGGCGTCAGAGCGGTCACACCAGCGGCGTACCGGTGCCGTGCTTTGTGCTTCCTCTTCTTGTGGCTGCCGTGCGGGGCAGTGGCGGCTGCTGCTGCTGCTGCTGCTGCCGCTGCTGGAGCGAGCTGCTCGGGCTGGCCGCCAACGCCGCCTCCGCCGTCCGTCGGCTTGGCGGGCGAGTCGCTGGCGGCCTCGGCTTCGCCGGGCTCCGGCTCGCACTCCCGCGCCACCGCCGCCGCTTCCTCCTCCACCGGCGCTGGCTTCACCTTCTCCTCGCGGCGCTCTTCCTTCTCGAGCTTCTCTTCTGCGGCAGAGGCGAAAGCGATCGCGTCGGTGCTGAAGCGCGCGGCAAGGAGAACGAGGGTCAGGATTTGCATCTAGAGTTGGCGCTCTTGCCTCCATTGCTCAGCAATTCAAGGCGCGTTGCGCCGCAGTACAACCACGGGGGGGAACCCCCCCCCTCGTCAACTATCCCTGTGCATCACAATGTGTACACAGCACCGGCGCGCAAGTGGATACTTGTCTGCCAGTATGACGAGCTATCGCTCTGCAGTTGCTTTTCCTCCAATCATGCGGGAGCATAGATGCACTGCATGGATATTGATTTAGCTGCGCTGACATGTGCTGCCTATGAACATGGCCCCACATTAGCGTGCCACTAAAAATTCGAGTTCGTTGTTTTCAAGGTTTTATTAATGTGCCCGTTAAACAGCACCACTACGAGTTCTGGAGACAACGCCTTGATATTTATCGCGACTCCTCAATGGGATTGAGAACTGCACACTGGGCAATGCACATGGAGAGTGCTAGTTGCAGAGACACAGACGTAGAGAACACGGGAGCCTGAGCAACCTGTAAATATGAACAGACTACATTGGGATTCTCAGCCGTTGACTTTTACACCAAACATAACAAAGAGGCTCTGATCCCAAAAAACTGAAACTTTCCTTTTCACTTTGCATATTGAGTGGCACCCTACCCCACAGTGATGCATCCGGACGGCTGTACTTTAACATGGTAAGGGCCTTCTCCCACCTCTTAAGAGCCATGAGGGTTACTTGACCAGACTTGACCCCGCTGGCGAGTGGGGATTGAACGGGAGTGGCACAGGTGTTGCAGCATAGCAGTGCAGTTGAGCAAGTCCTCGCTTTAACGCGTTTTTTGCTACAACACGGTTCTTTGCTCGTTGTTTTTTTTCGGTAAAGTCACGTGTGCGGAAATAAAACCGAATTTAAATAAATAAAATAAAATTAGATCAAAATAAATCGCGCCGCTTGCGAACGCAACGCAAGCGCTCATCGTCAGGTGTCGCGTTCGCGAACGTCGTAATTTATTTTAATCGAATTTTATTTTGTTTTGATTGAAAGCTTTCGTGACTGCAGGATTTCATATTCTTGGTTCTTTCGGTAAAGTCACGTAGAAGGGAAACAATAAAATAATAAAAATATAAAACAATAAAATTCTCACGACGTTTCGACTGCAACACAATCAATCATCATCAGGTGTGAAAACCACAGCAAGAAAATTTGAAAAAAGTGACGGGTTATTTTATTTTATTTTTATTCATTTCCACACACGTGACTTTACCGAAAAAAACCAATGAGTATAGTGATTTCTGCAGTCACCAAAGCTTCAATTCCTAATTAACATGGCTCTTCTACGAGCGAACACTTTTCATGCAGCTTTTTACGCAGCTTCTGAGCGGTCGACGATGAACTACTGGACATCTGTGAAAAATAGCTTTATAGCTCATCGGATTCCTCCAATATAAATAAAGATTCCGATTGTGACTTTTTGGAGCTCGAGTGCTTTGGGAATTCTTGGTATATGTGCAGAGTGATACAATATCCTCATCTCAGTTCTTTGTCCCGCCATCTTACAGTAACTCCTCGCTGAATGCGTTTTCGCTTCACGTGGCACTTTCAGGAACGCATCTGCTGCTCGCGCGTTAAACAAGGACTTGCTCTACAGCAATGGATTTGGCTGTGCTGCCCTCTGCTGCCCACCGTGTAGTCCCACAGTGGGACTTTGGTTTAAAATAAACCCTTAAGAGCTGATGAAGGAACAACGAACACTCACTCTTATCTTCCTCTGCTCCATCTTGGTTCACAACTACACCCACAGCCTGCGGGGAAAAAAAGCAAGACGCGATACACGTTTTAAAACCCGATCGACTTTGTTCACATATACGAGTACTATTAGTCAGCATCTTTATGTTTAATGTTTGCAGCTTGGCTTTGTAACTTGCGCTTTATTCATTCTGGAGGTAATCTGCCCATTACAGTGCGCACTGCAGGGAATTATGTTTGCAATATTTTGTATTCCTCATCATGATACAGTTGTTATTGTTTTGACTTTATTATTTTCTATATTGTCATTTTGGTGACGCATGCCACTCCTGCAATTAAAACTTATCCTGGTCTCTCAAGTCTTGACATTTGAATGGGCATGTTTTGAGGTGTTCAGATAGTTAATGGGGCAAATGATGAATCCATTCAGAAATCTCACAGAACAGGGCATGTCCCCGAGTGTTAGGGAAGAACCCGCAGAAGCGGACTTTACAGAAATACTGCTGAGATCCCTATAGGTGACCTGGTAGGAGGCGCCACTTTCCCACTTGAGAGAAATGCACAAAAGGCAACCCAATACTTTCTCAGACCTGGAATTTAGACAAATTAATTGAATAAAAACAACAAATGTATTTTCTTTACGTGCTACTTCGAGTGAGTGCTCCAAAACATAAGAACCCGGTTTAATCATGGATGGTTGAAACCCAGACTCAAACTCATAAAATCAACAGTGGTGGTTCAGTATCCAATTCCCCAAGCCGTCCTCTGGCCACCTCCATCTTGAACATCTGTGACTTTAAAACGTTTTTTGAGACGCGGTGAATACCAACTCACGGCTGAGGATGTGACGGAGGATTTGCTGAACAATCTCTCTGCCTCTTTAAACCTCCGGCTCTTCCTCTCGACGGGTCCAGAGCCACCCCTGTGCAGCGAGCCAGGGAGCAGGGCACAAAAGAACAAAGCACGCGCACACACCAATCCCTTTACACGCACGGGACAAGGAGCATAAACCATCAGGCAAACTCCCGTCATCCATCCTCGCAGCGACGGCTTTTAGCTAGACATCGAACAAAGACGGTCACACTGCGTGGCACGCTTTCAGATGCACTTCTGCGGCCGTCTGGAACACTCTCCCTTCCAATATTAGGAAGCCATTGGAGCTTTACACTTTTAAATCTAGATTGAAAAGGCATTTCTTGATAACTGCTTTGTGTGTTTAGTCTGTTGTCCTTCCCCCCACACCTCCGGTCATCATGATTGTCTATGTACGGTGGCAAAAGAAGTTAAACATGCATACATACGTCATGCGTTTGTTTGAATAACATCCACACCCATCTTCTTCGCAGATATTAAACTATATATACACGCACACACATACAGTCCAACACAAAATTGTATAATACACAACTCAAAATAATCATCACTCCAAGAAGGCCGTGTTGCTTTTGCGTTATATAAGATATACTTGTTTTTTACGTGAAGGGACATTGTCTACTTATCTGCTTTGTTATTTATATTCTCCATGATGACACTCGTGATTGGTTTGAGTTGTGTGTTCATAGGGCAGGGCAACGGTGGGTGCCGGCTAACAGCCTGGCTGCTGCCTTCCAGCCCGTGTCTATGCCTCCTCAGAGAATGTTAGTTGCAATCTGCATGGACTACGATGACACGCTAACTAAAACTAAACCTTTATTACAATTATTACGAGAGCACACCGAAACCAGGACGGGTGGAATTCTACTACATCCGCCACCGCCTGTTGGGTGATGAGATATTAACTATCTCGCCTGGTATGCAGGAGCTTGTGGGCTCGATTCTGACCCGAAAGCCTGTATATTTATAGAGCTTGCATGTCTCTCTCCCCGTGGTCACGTGGATTTTCCTCCAAGTCCTCCAGCTTTTCCCTACACATTTAGAATCAACATGTGTTTAGAGTTATTTGTCCGCTACAAATTTCCACAAGATCAGCCACTTCGTTGAGCTATCATTTGTGGCCAGGTCGCTTCTGAAAACGAGTTATATAGCTCAGTGGGCCTTAACTGGTAAAATAAAAAAGTAGTTTAGCTTAATAGTTTAGTTTCGCTTGCCTCTGGTTGGAGAGGTAGCGGTCCCATCCTCTCACGATGTTGCCATACACCTGCGTGTCCTCCAGGTAGCTCCCCTCAAATGCGTAGATTTGCCGCTCAAGATTTTTCAGAGTCTCCTGTAAAAAAAACACAAAAAAAGAAATCAATTTCAAAAATAGAATGGATGCAAACTAATGTCATCGGACACAATTGCTAGGCAAGTCAACGAGCCTCGTGCCCAGGAGAAGTTCGCTCGAAGGGTCGATGTCAAGTGGAGGAGGGTGGCAGCCGAGGGATGGAATTCGACAGAGAGGACGTCCACCGGGAAGGTGGAGTGATGAGGTCAGTTCTTGAGCAGGTGCTCTGGATGCATAATTAAAGGCGGATTACGAGATGGTTGCGATTTGAGGAAGCCTTCATCCAACAGTGGAGTGACCCATAGCTGATGATGTCGAGTAGTTTCACATTCAACCGAGAAATGCAGCCGTGCCCGTCCGCCGTTTTCCAGGCCCCAAGCCAGTGGTGAAAATGTCACATTCCTATGGCAAGTACTTCCACAGGACAAGCATTGTTGGCTGTTCCTCCCAAAGCGGTGATCAGTTTAAGCCAGTGGTTCTCAACCGGGGTTACGTGGACTCCTTGGGAGTACGTGGCAATGTCCCAGGAGGTAACGTGAGGTGATTTATAAATGTATGAAATTAAATTATCTCATTATACCTATATTCTTGGTTCTTTCGGTAAAGCCACGTAGAAGGGAAACAATAAAATAATAAAAATATAAAACAATAAAATTCTCACGACGTTTCGACTGCAACACAAGCAATCATCATCATGTGTGAAAATCACAGCAGGAAAAAAACCCGCCACTTTTTTTCAAATTTTCTTGCTGTGGTTTTCACACCTGATGATGATTGGTTGTGTTGCAGTCGAAACGTCGTGAGAATTGTATTGTTTTACATTTTTATTATTTTGTTGTTTCCCTTCTACGTGACTTTAGCGAAAGAACCAAGAATGTGAATCCCTGCAGTCACGAACGCTTTACATCATTATACCTGTCAACCCCTTATCAGTGCCTACCTTATTACAGACCAATTCAGACCTTATTGGTCACCCTGTGCCCTTATAAATCTCAACGTTCATCCTACAGTCCCATCACAAGGGAGAAACACAACCAAATAGACAAAATACTTATTTTTGCCCGTATTGAAATGGCTGTACGCTGCATGGACCTGAAAACTCAATTACCCTGTACAATAACATAGGTAAACCGTATCTGCCAATATAAAATAACTACAACATTTAAATCCACATGGTAACCTAGAATAATATAAAAGACCTTCTATAAACTCACCGATCGTCAACAATGTGGGTTCACAAGAGTAAGCAGGGAACGCGATAAAATTACGTAATGCGTGCAGAGCGTCCGTTTAATTCGTTTTATTCGCTTGCAGTTTACTAGAAGCTAGTTAGGATACCTCACAAAATGAATTGGCTAAAATATTGACGTTCATTATTCATACATGTATTACCTCCGAACCACATTGGGTCTGGCGAGGGGGGGGGGGTATATAGGAGCCAAAACAAAACAAAGTTGAACACTGGGACCTTTTTTTGGCAGTGTCAAAGTATGAGATAATTTATGGCAATAAAACAGATGTTAAGATCTTGATTTGAAGCTTTCGCGACTGCAGGAATCCATACTCTTTGCGTATTAATTCATGTTTCAAATAAACATTACTTTAAAAAAAATCAATCAATTCAGTTTTAGATAATTAAATGCTAGTGGGGGGGGGGGGGGGTCACAGACATCTGGACCAACTAATAAATAATTATTTTTCTACCTACGTGACTTTACCGAGAGAACCAAGGAGTATAGGGTGTTAAGATGTTCAAACGCCAAATAGAAAACATTTTGCGAGGAATCAAGTTACTGCATTAACCACGCACGCGGTACTTGTGGTGAACGTGCAAACGAACATGGGCACCGTCTTTGAAACCGATGGCCTGCACCAGAGACAGCAGACTTCTTTACGGCCTAGCCTCAGCACCAGTGTCAGACAAGAGAACGCCACAAGGCGAACAGCACAAAGACGATGCACTATCAGAGAGAATTTATAGCTCGAGACGAGCGGCTACAACAAAACGGGACCCTTTTTTTGGCGGGAATCACAGTGTGAAAAAATACGAATAGGTCAAAAACAGCCTGGGTTTCTGCGGCGCTCGTGAATAATGCCCATTAGAGCCACATCCCGTTGTGGAGAAACGTGGAGCGATAAAAATCAGCCGACGTGCCCGAAGGAAGATCCTCTCTGGATTTCGGTATCGCGAGATGGCGACATTCCTGGGGGAGAAAGGCCTTCATCCAGCAGTGAATAGAGCCATACATGTCAACCCCTTATCAGTGCCGCTCATCTTATTACAACCCAATTCAGAACCTAATTGGGTCACCACGTGCCCCCTTATAAATCTCAACGTTCATCCCAAAAGAAAGTCCCATCACAAGGGAGAAACACAACGCAAAGAGAACACAAATGACCTTACGAATGATTTGTGTTCGTCGTTGCCCGCACTGAAACGGCTGCGCGCCGTGTGGACCTAAAAAACTCAATTCCCCTGTACAAGAACACAGAGTATTAAACCGTGTGGGTCCACAGCTTTGTGGGTTCTCGGCCACCCCCCTATCACCTAGGGCCCCGTTAACAACGTTGGGGACTACGTTGAGGACAACGTAGTCCCCAACGTTGAGGACTACGTTGGGGACAACTTTGGGGCAACGTTGGGGACTACATTGAGGACAACGTAGTCCCCAACGTTGGGGACTACGTTGAGGACAACGTAGTCCCCAACGTTGGGGACTACGTTGGGGACAACGTTGGGGGCAACGTTGGGGACTACGTTGAGGACAACGTAGTCCCCAACGTTGGGGACTACGTTGGGGACAACGTTGGGGGCAACGTTGGGGACTACGTTGAGGACAACGTAGTCCCCAACGTTGGGGACTACGTTGAGGACAACGTTGGGGCAACGTTGGGGACTACGTTGAGGACAACGTAGTCCCCAACGTTGGGGACTACGTTGAGGACAACGTAGTCCCCAACGTTGGGGACTACGTTGGGGGCAACGTTGGGGACTACGTTGAGGACAACGTAGTCCCCAACGTTGGGGACGACGTTGGGGACAACATAATGTTTAAAAACCAAATAGCTACATTTTGTGGTTAACGTAGAGACCAACCAAGTTCTCGGGAATTGTCTAAATCCATTAAACTTGATTCCTTGCAAAAAGTTTCTATTGTGGTGTTTTAACATCTTAACATAAAACATCTTCTTAATTTTTATTATTATATTTGCAGACATCATCACCATCATCACGTTATTACCAAAAGTAGCTTATACACACGATAACGAAACATAATTATTGTAACCTATTATACGATAACGAATCATTATTATTACTCATTACTACCTCATAAACGTGTGTTATGATGTAGTAGCAACTCAGTCGATCGCAAGTGATCTATAGTCGACATCAAGTGATCTAGTCTACATCAAGTGATCTAGTCGACATCAAGTGATCTATAGTCGATAGCAAGTGATCTATAGTCGACATCAAGTGATCTATAATCGATATTAAGTGATCTATAATCGACATCAAGTGATCTATAGTCTACATTAACTGATCTATAGTCGACATCAAGTGGTCTATAGTCTACATCAAGTGATCTATAATCGATATTAAGTGATCTATAATCGATATCAAGTGATCTATAATCGATATTAAGTGATCTATAATCGACATCAAGTGATCTATAATCGATATTAAGTGATCTATAATCGACATCAAGTGATCTATAGTCTACATCAAGTGATCTATAATCGATATTAAGTGATCTATAATCGATATTAAGTGATCTATAATCGACATCAAGTGATCTATGGTCTCCACAGTACTCTACGACACCGCACGCCGTGGCGCACTGCACTAAAGCAAAGGCAAAGATCCCCGTGTAGCCTGCACAGGCTGCTGGGGGCAAGTGCCGTGAGCGAGCAGCGCCGACGAAGACCACCGGCACCGTGGCACACGAGGTGGGGGGGGGTGACCAGCACCACGCCCGGCCGCCTTTGTCTCCCCCAGCGGCGACGTTTCACTCACACGCCGCAACCAAGGTTCTCGTTTCAGGCCGAGTCGACCTAGAGGGGGAGGCCCGGGGACCGCTTCAGATAATCGTCAACCGGGCGCGTTGTTGTTGTTGTTGGCGGCCGCGAGCGGGCCTCGAACTCGGGTCGCCGGGTTCGTAGCGCTGAGCAAAAGCGCCAAGGCCGCTTCGTCGTCTTTGCTGTAGGGTTTGTTGTGTTGTTGTTTAAGGCCGAGTTGACCTAAAGGAGTCGAGTGGGGGGTGAGGCGCGGTTCGAACAAATCGTCCCCGGTGTGGGAGTCGAACTCGTACGTGATACACAAACCGCGCTCACCGCTGCACCACCGCTCCCCACCCCACCACCCACACACACAACGAACGCGACTTACAAAAAAATAATTCATCGTCATCGATACTACGGCAGCAGTCGCAACGTTATTGTATTCACAACTAGGGCCCGGTGATGTGGTGGTGGTTGTGGTGGTTGTTGTTGGTGGTTGTTGTTTGTTGTGCGTCGCTGACCGCGATCTCCTGCTGCCTCTTGACCAGTTCGCTCAGCTCGTGCCTCGTGTCCGGTAGCTGGGGCGAGGCAGAGTTCTTGAAGGCCGCCATGTCGCCCTCTCTCCTTCCTTCTTCCCTTCCTCCTCCTCCTCCCTCACCAACCTGCTCCTGCTGCTGTGTGCATGCGGGGATAGCGTGCCCTAGTGGCTGGAGCGCGCTAGTAAATCGTTAACTTTTCACGGTTACAGATGCCCCAAACAAGGCCCCCCCTCGGTTAAGTTGGCACCACGTGGGGGGTGGTGGGGGGGCACAGACCACGGTACCGTTTCAGCTGGTGACCACCCGAGTTGAATAAACTTGAGATTGTTTATTTGTTTATGTGACCCCCAAGGCCGTAGCCGTGGGCGTCAACATTGGGGGAGGGGACAAAATCTCCCAGTGGGTCCAGTGGGTCCACCTACAGAAAAAAAGAAATCTTAATTTTAAAACTCATTTCCTGCCAGTTCATGCCTAAAATATAAAAAAAACAAATTCACGAACACATGGGATGGACTTTTTATTTACTTTTTTTACAATGTCTAATAGTGTATTGTATTCCATTGCTGTTTTTTCTTTTTTTACCTTGTTTCATTGTATGTATCCCCCCCCCCCATATTATAATTACGGCCTTAATGTGACCAACAGCTTTAAATTACCAATCGCCTTCACTCACCTCCTCCTGTGTGCGTGAAAGACACCGAGGGAGAAGCGAGATAGTGCCCCTAGTGGCTTGAGCGAGCTAGAAATCGTAAACTCTTCACGGCTAAGCAAGCCCACAACAAGGTCCTCGGGAGTTGCCACGCACGTGGGCACAGACCACAGTATTTCAGATGGATAAACTTGAGGTGTATGTGACCAACAGACTTAACATTATATTCATATTCTTAGCTCTTTCGGTAAAGTCACGTTGAAGGGAAACAATAAAATAGTAAAATATATAAAAAATAAAAATTCTCACGTTTCGACCATAACACAAACGGTCATCATCAGGTGTGTCGGTTTGCATAAATTTATAAACGGCGTATTTATTTATTTAAACCATCAGCGCCACGCGCAGCGATTTCGCAGTTTATTTAGAAGGACGAGTCCATCTATGTTCTGAAAAGAGGGGGGAGACGAAAAATTAATGTATGCTGTCTGAAAGCCACCGTAAGCATGAACAATCAATTAAGACCTGAAATGGTTTATCAAATCTTTCCAATGATTGCTAAGCCAGAATCCATCTTCTCGGTTGAAATTGTCTCTGTGCTTGTATATGTGGATAGCCTCATGAACGAATCTCTCATGGTAGCCAGATGGCTTACAAAGAACCTCTGTCTTGGAGAAGTCAATGTCATGTGAGCCTACTGAATTATAACAGTGATCTGCCACGGCCGAGGTGTTGGTCCTACCGTGTTTAAGGTCTGCTTTGTGTTCACGAATGCGGTCCGAGACATGGCGTTTGGTTTCTCCAATGTAACTACTACCACAGAGGCAACTTAGTTTGTAGACACCAGGGTACTGTATGTCCGGAATCACATCTTTTACAGACGGAACCAGATCACGGATTTTATGTACGACCAGAATTGTGTGGGGAGCAATAGCGAAAAGGTTAGCGAGTTGCCCGAAAGACCTGGCGACCCGGGTTCGTATTCCCACTCACGGGCAACATCAACAACCACTATCTGAATTGGTCCTGGGCCCTCCCCTAGGGCGACCCAGCCTCAAATGAGTATCTGGTGCGGTGTGTAAACATCGTGCGTGGCGTTGGCCACCCACCCTCTCTCGTGTGGCGTGCCGGCCTTCATAGGAGCTCGCTAACGGCACTTGCCCCAAAAGTTTAAGGCTATACGGGGGAACTTTACCTTTTTGACCATGATTATACACCTTTTAAAATACCAGACACAAGTTTTTTTTTTGGGGGGGGGGGGGGGTTCGTCTTATTTTCTGAAGCGTTCTTTTTATCCAAAGAATACGTTAACGATTTACATGCAGGACGCGCGTGGTGGGAAAAGGTGAGTTCACTAAATTCTTCCAAGACGTCTGGCCATCGTGGACGAGTAAAGACAAATCCCTCTGGTGGGCTCTCTTAAGAGCTCCCTCCTCCTCTCGTGGAAGCCCAATCCGATAGCGGTGGTTAGCAGCGTCACAAGCGCGAGCATCGTCAACCGTGATAACCGGAGGTGCGGGTCATGGGATTTATTCCTAAACCTCACCACGCCGGTCATCGCGGACTGCAGGCAGCAGACGTGGCGCCCAAAGAAGTACAACGAACTTTGCGTGCACTGCCCTCTTGCTGCTCACAAGCTGTCACTGCAGCAGCCTTGTCACGTACATCGGTTGCACATCCAAGGACTGATGCAGGCTAAAACCCGGCTTAACTTTTGTCGAGATCGGACGCATTCCCGAATTGATTGTCAGAGGCATTATTGCAGGGCACATGCCTGCGTCATGTGTGCAAGTTTAATCAAATTGTGTGAAACACCGTGAGTGTGTAAACACTGTGAAACTTAGCAACGCAAGAACCACACAAAAAAACACATCGACAAGAAACATGCACAGTGCAGACAGTAGCTATGCGGAATTCCTAAATAAGGTGAACTCAGAAGCGCTTAATCGGGGATTATAGGTTTCAATTAACATGTTTTTTTCTCCGATACGACGATTTCTAATGAAAGATTCTAAATTATTGTCAATAGTTTTGTTACGTAAAATATGCTATTACTTTTTAAATATATAATTTGGTAGAGGCTTGTTTTGGACAATTTTCTTTCATAATTTTACCAATTTCTGCCCCCTCCGTGGATCAGGGCACCTCTTGCTGCTACTGCTGCTAACTGAATGTCGATTCCCCTTACAACAGGCACGGGGGAAGCTTTTCTTACTCAGGACTGAATAGGACTGGCGTGTTACATATTATGAACACGCGTGTTTCCAGAAAACAATGCGAAACATAACCCGCATCGCATATAAACAGGCTCTTGGCAAGACAGAATTAACCAAGATCAAATGAGACATACACGTGTTGCTAGGTCTAGGAAGTATCAAATTAACAAAACTCACTTGTCAATAACACTGCATTAAAATAAAAAATAGATATAAATATAACATTTTCAAACAAAAAATGCACATAATGTATTTTTCCTCTTAATAAGGCAGTTATTATTCTTGGTTCTTTCGGTAAAGTCACGTAGAAGGGAAGTAATAAAATGATGAAAATAAAACAATAAAATTCTCACGACGTTTTGGCCACAACGCAAGCAGCCGTCCTCAGGTGAAGAACAGAGCTGTCGGAAAGACGGTATGTATTAGGACGCTGTCTTTGCAACCGCTCTGTTCTTCACCCGAGGACGGCTGCTTGCGTTGTGGCCGAAACGTCGTGAGAATTTTATGATTATTTTTATTATTTTATTTCCCTTCTACGTGACTTTACCGAAAGAACACAGGAATAAGAATCCCTGCAGTCACGAAAGCTTTAAATCGAAATTTAAGGCAGTTATTATTCACGAATGCGTTTAATTATTTGTGCCTGTGCACCAGTGTTAAAGCAGCGTCACCAAGTAATCACCACGGCCAAGATTCTCGCAGTCATGGGTAAAGCGAGTTTGCGGGCCCGTTTCGGAGCGGTAGGTCTCATGCCCACAGACCCTGTCACATACAATGTACTCCATGGACCCCTATATTCCCCACCAAAGCTATAGGTCCTATACTCTGCAGCGATTTTCCAGTGCAGTCTTTACATCCCCCGTCAGTCGAAAGGCAATCGCCTCAATGGAAATGACTCTTACAACACACGGGGGTGTGTCTACAACCTCGCAAAGGTTCGTTTTCCTCATCGCGTTAACGCAGGGTTTTAAATCCCCTTCTCAATTACCTCCAATCTAATGGCGATGTGCGCAGTCCACAGCCCCTGCGAACGACAAAGCAGTTCGTTGGTTTGATAATCTCAGTAACCCCGCTAGAGACCACTTTCAACCGAGGTTAACAGAACCTACACTTGCATCATAATCGCAATCATACGTGTGACCGTGGCACCTAACCACCAACCTGAGTCATTGCATACGTAGTGTTTCATGTGAAGTTACTGACCGTTATTTAAGTGTCAAATTTGTGTTGACGTCTACTACGATCAAAAATTTGCAAAACATTTTACCCAATTAAATTAGTCATTCTTTACCCAGGGAGTTCACACCGAGACCCAGGAGTCTTTTTCACGAGGGTTGTGGATTGATCGGGACGTTTTTGCCAGTCCCATTAATAAGTGCTGGGGTTCATGCGGGACAAAACTGTAGTGCCCGGAAGAAATCATGAATACAAGGGGGTGAAAATGAATGAATATTCTCCTTAACAGATAAACCTTATTTCTGTGATACTTCTCTTACTGCATCACCTCACCACTGTCGCCCAAAAATCCAAAACTTGCATATTTCGATTTAAAGCTTTCGTGACTGCAAGGATTCATCTTCTTTGGTTCTTTCGGTAAAGTCACGTAGAATGAGAATAAAATAATAAAATAACACAAAATTCTCACGACGTTTCGGCCACAACGCAAGCGGCCGTCTTCAGGTGAAAGGTACAGAACTTGAAGCTCTGTCGTCCCGACAGTTCTGTACCTTTCACCTGAAGACGGCCGCTTGCGTTGTGGCCGAAACGTCGTGAGAATTTTATTGTTATTTTATTATTTTATTCTCATTCTACGTGACTTTACCGAAAGAACCAAACAAGTTGCATCATATTGCACACGTATTCTTTGGAATGAATCCAAACATGGCAGCAGGTTTATGCACCAACACAGAGATCGTGAAACATTTTTTTCTCCCGTCTACCTTAATTACATGATTAGATGTAAAATAAACAGCAACATATTCTTTCGTTTTTGCTTCTATACGCCTGCTGCACTATTGTTTACACTGACTGTGCAGAATACTTTTTCTCCACAATACGTTTAAATGTGAATCAGCATTGTATGATGAAAATTATGTTCTTTAATTACCCTTGTAAAGCCTCGCTGAGTCTCAAGACTTGTGTTCAGTAGGGTCATGCATTGGGAGGTGTGACCCAATTCTATTCGCTTGAGTTTGGCTTCGTAAGGGCGGAAACTGAAGAACTCAGAAAAAAATCCACCGCGCATTCGAGGGGGTGCCACTCAAAGCTCGACAAAGATAACTTATTAAAGATAACTTATTAAAGATAACTTATTAAAGATAACTTATTAAAGATAACTTCAATCCACGGATAAACTCAAAACTTTTCAATCCATCTGTGAATCAAAGAGATGTTGTGTTATGCCATCTCACTGCTACTTTTAAATCTTTGTAAGTATTAATATTTGGGAAAACACACAAACCGCGACGTTATGAGGTTTCATAATGCCGCTATAACGTTTTGTTACATGGAAAACGTTTGTGCGCTGTCTAGTATCTAAGATCCCATTTCCCCCCCCCCCCCAAAATAAATAAATATCCCCATTGATCTACAATCTATGCTCCCCAATATAACACTTTCCCACAGAAACATTCAATTTGGCTGGACCCCTGAAAACGACAAATCTTCACATCAGGGGTTTCACTGTACCCCCAAAATCAAACAAACTCCAACATGAGCCACACGTCATGGGACTCAACTACTGCAACGGAAATGCATGAGTTCCACCAAGCCCCACGCGATAGACTCCCAGCACGACAGAGATCCATCTCCAGCCGTGCACTTCAGGGGCACCGGATTGCAGTGCTTCTCAAATCCAGTCCTCACAACTGCCCCCCCCACCTCCACACTCCGGATTTTCGTGATTTTTTCATTCGTAGACCAAGTAAAGCCACTGTGATGTTGCTGCGGTGTGACGTGTAACGGTTTGATCTCTCTCCCCACCCCGTGCAAAAAGCTAAAATGGGTAGTTTTATTAAATTGCTCCCTCCGCCCCCCACCTCCTCACCTCTACCCACCCAATTGGGTGGACTTATGGCCAGTGTGGAAGAATCGGCCACTGCCAGAAGTGGCGGGAGGAAGTCATTGTTGGGGCTGCCACCCGTTACCACCATTTCACACTGCACAAATCTGATGGTAATCACGAAATGTGTACCGTGAGGGGGTCGCGAGGACTGGTGTTGAGAAACATTGCACGACCTCATGAGTCGCGAGGTGAGTACGGTGTAATTGGTCTCCAGGGAAAAAAAGAAATAAAGCATAACAAATAAAAATCGGGGCTTCGGTGAAGTGAAACTTCACGATTCTCTGTGCTCCTCGTGCACGAGGGCCGCTTTGTCGAGATCTTCTTCCCTCGCCGCCGTGGAGTCTCGGGTACCTGTAGGCAATCCGTCAATGTGTCAGCAAACCCAGCTGCCTCACGTGTGAACACCTATAATGATGAGGACAATCATTTACAGCCCCTGTTAATCAACTGGGTGGAGGAAGACCTCCCTATTATGCTGGTCAGTGCGGGTTTGGCAACCGGTTCATATGCCACGCACCACTGATGTTAGCCGTGCACTGGCAATTTAATTGAAGGTGATGAGCACCAACAGCGCAAGCTCCTGCTGGTTCTAGGCCAGCACCAGGGTGGCCGTCTGTGGCAGGCGGCAGCACGGGGAGCCGCCCTGCCAGTCCAGTGCACGAAATACTACTCTACCCTGCGTGGACGTCCAGAAGAACAAAAATAACAACACCACTACGAATGAGTTATTGGATATGTGGTTGTTTTGCATTCTGCTTATAACTCGAGATTCCAAGAGTAGCACAGGGATGAGCAATAAAAAAAATATAGTGAATTCAAATCCTTCCAAATCGCAAGCTCGTTTTTTATGAGGTGTGATCTGACCTGGAGAGTGGGCACAACACATCAGCAGAGTAATTAGTGGGTCGCGAATGTATGAATATTGAACTTTTTTCACACCGTATGTAGCCAACTGCTCATCGGAGGCGCAGGGGAAGGACAACAAACTAAACACAAAAAGATATGAGCGATTGACCAAGGGCTGAATAACAATATTTTTCAAATCATCAAAAATCTGTTAAAAGTTATTTGTTTTAATATGCATCATACCGCTAATGTATTCAAATAAGTTTCTATCAGTCTGCTTTAAGATGACCAATTCTGTGTAGTTTCCAAGGTCTGAAAAAATCTAACACATTCAGGGTCAATTGATCGTGTTGCCTCTGATCATAAGACAATCAGAATCTTTTACAGCTATTTAAATCTGCCCTGGAAACTCACCTCTTTAAAATGACCTTTCCCCCATAGCTTTGGTTATTTACGCCGACTCCGTCTTATTTCCTGCTGTCCATACATGGCACATTGGGATAATTGGATGAAATGCGCCTTACAAATGTAAATTATTATTGTGAACGACCATTCCTCGCAATTCCCCTACCCAGCTGCTACAGCCACAATGTATTTCACGTCGCACACCGGCACCGGCATCCTCACCTGAACCGTCGCTGCAGGACCCGAGCGAACTCCCGCACTGTCCCGTCAATTCGGTGCCGTCGTCCTGAAAATCCATCGCGTCGATCGCCGTGAACGCGATTCTCTCCACCAGCATTTCCCCCGCGCACTTCGGTGCGCCGTCATCAACGCCGTGCTCTCCGTGGGATGGGCACGGGCGATCGGCGCTCGACCCGAGAGGCGAGCAAGGCCAGGCAGGGCGGCCATCCATGTCGTCGTCCGGTGCAACGTGGCGCTCGCTAGAACCGGCGGGGGCTGCGCCGCTGGCGCTCGCGTACTGGCTTCCCGTCATGTTCCCAGAGTGCCCTACGTAGTCCGACACGGGGTTACCGCCGGTCACGTGATCCGCGGACATCTGGCGAGGAGAGAGGCAGCTACCAGAGCCACTGCAGTCCGCTGGCTGGTAGTAGAACTGAGAAGCGGAGGCGGGGGTGGAGCTTGCCGGGAGCTCCTGCCACATGAAGGCACTACCACCCCCACCACCGCCATCTCCACCACTCAAGGTGCATTGTGTGGGCTCCGCCAGTCCCACAGCACAGGAAGTGGACACCGCCAGCCCAGGGGACTTCACGGCGGCGTCGCACCTGGGATTGAACTGCGTAGCCTCGTACTGCAATGTGCCGGAACCCTGCTCGTCAGCGGTGCTCACGAAATACGTGTTATAGATGAGAGGGGTCGGGCTCGACACCAGCCGCTGGCCGTGTTGGAACGCGTGCATGGGGTGAACTGACTGCACGGACACGGGCAGAGGGCTGCGGCTGACCGAGTGGTTCATTTGTGAAGTGTGGCTAAATGGGGCCACGTTGTTGGGTACGGCCGAGTGGTGAAGGAAAGCAGAGTGGTTGTAGTTGAAAGAAGGCCGAGGGAGGGTGGGGTGGTGATAGTGAACGGGGTGACTGAGGTGGGCCGAGTGGTTCAGTTGAGCAGCGTTATTGCCGTGGACGGAGTGGCCAAATTTCGGGACGTTGTTATACAGGACAGGCTGGTTCGAGACGGGCTTATAATTATAGGTGCGTGGATACCTGCAGCTCACCGAATAATTCAGACAATCTGAGTTTTCATGTTTGAGAGCGTGATCAGCAAGGCACGAGCGGTTGAAGTGAGTTAAGTAGCTCAGCTGTCCTGCTTGGCTAATCAGGGGCGCGTGACCGATGTCCACCCTGTGGCCGGTGTAAAACGAGTGTCCAGAGTCAGCGGAGTGGCCGACGTTGGCTGGGAGAATCGGGAGGGCCACGTGATTTGCCGAGAAGGTGAGCGGCTGACCAAAGTGGCTGCTGTTGTCACCGTACGAGCTGTGTGCAGCATTTCCGAGCGGGTACGTGCCAGCTTCGAGGGCAGCAGTCTGTGCAGCCTCCATGCCACCCTGACCACTGTCCATGGTGAGACAGAACCCATTTGGGACTCCGCTATGCACCACCTCCGCCCCGCCACAGTCGTCAATTTGACTGTGGACGGCTGTCCCATAGCCGTTGTGGAGCTGCTGTAGGGCAGTCAGCGTGTAGCCAGGCAGGTAGGACTGCGTAAGCAAGTCCCTCCCGGCCGGTATTCCGTAAGACTTGAGGTGCGCCTGCGTGCATGCACGAAGACAAAGACAGAGATCCCCCATATAGGCTTAACAGACAATGGGGCAAGTGCTATTAGTGAGCACCTGTGCAGGCTCACGAGGGGGTGGGTTTCCAGCCCCACAACTGGCCACTTCTGTTTACTAAGTTCTGATGTTTACGCACCGCACCAGGTACCTAAACCCAGGGGAAGCCCAAGAATGGTTCAAATATTCGCTCCTGTTAATGGTCGTGAACAGGAAACGAACTCAGATCGCCGGATTCGCGACTCAGTGCGCTAACCGCTTTACCATCACTCCCCATGCACGCACGCATGCACACACATACACATGGAGGGGAGGAGCAACCAGGGGATTGCATTGAATATTACAAATTATATACCGGATGCTAATGGTGTAATGGTTAACATACTGGACTTGTAATCGAGAGCTCGCCCGCTCAATGTCCCCGCAGTGGATTGACGTGTACATATATATGAAAGAGAGATTCATCGGTTGCTGATTATTTTGATGAGGCCTAGCAGAGCAGGGCTAGCCCACATACCTGTGTGCGCAGCCCATCGCTAAATCCAGCACTGTCACTGTTCGCCTTGTGTTGAAACAGCAGCTCAGAAGTGGACCCAGTCTTGTACATGGAGTCTTGCTGCAACGCTGCATTGGGCGAGAATGCAGAGTGTTGTTGGTCACACTGTAGGCACAGGCTTGCACTCCCAATCAAAACCACGCTAAACATCCCTCAAGCTTACATCAATATTGATGATTATCATGATGATGATGCTGACGGATTGCATTGATGATTCAGCCTATTATCCACACCTTTGCACAGATGAGAGGTCCACTGACCTGGAGGAAAAACTCATCCCATCACTCGTATGCAACCACGGATAATCGTGGCTAACCGCAGATAACTGTGCATCGCCACACAGCGTGCCACGGCAGGTGGCAATACTACCCCAGGTGACGCCGCTGCTTGCTTGTCGATTGTACCGTCACAGGGTGGTGGGGCATGCTTACTTACTTGAGTAGTATTGCTGCTGCAAGGGCGATTGACGCAACTGTTGCTGGTTTCGCGAGTCCTGCGTGGGCCCCAGCTGGCAGTGACTCCTGGCGCCGCTGGCCGACAAAGACATTAAGCTTTCCAGTGGCTGGCCGTGGCTGTGGAGGTAGACCTGGCTGGCGGCTGGGAAGGGCGGCATGCTGAGGCTCGGCGGGAAGGAAGAGAAGCAAGCAGTGCAGCAGTAGTGCATGGGCAGTCCCTGTCCTTTCATGTAGGGCAGCGGCGGTGGTACCCCGTGCTGGTAGGGAACACACGGTGACTCTCAACTCAGATTAAATCCAACAACTTTCACTTGTAATGCGCCCATAACGTAACACGTTATCTCAGAGCACAGAATTACATAACGGTGAATGGGAGGGAACGGGACAGACCAAGAAAAGGAAGAAGAAGCATTACTATACTGCCAACTCCTGGCCACCCCGCAGCCCCAAGCCAACCATATTTGGTATTACCCAGTGTTTTCCCATCAAAGTACGAACCAGCTTTGAAAGTCTGCTAAACTTTCAAGGTTAGACGATCAGGAATATTCAGATTAATCGGTTGTGCAGGTCCTCACTCATGCTGACATTTAATTGGGGGAGCAGTAGGGTAGTGTTTAGTAAACTCCACTCTAAGCCCAGTGATTTGAGCTTGATTCCCAGTGAGTGATATCTGAACTTGTCCTCCCACCCCACTGCCCCCCGTTCTACCCCGAAGTTTGACAAGTTTACTTTAATATAGGACAAACATTAACCGTGTTGGTCCTAACGGCCTGCTCAGGATGTGCAGCGTGCTGGATACCTCTGCGCTAGCTGGTGGCACCTGCTCCCCTGCGTAGGCTACGCTGTTTGTGATGATGCTGCCTCGCGGTTTGGCCAGGAATGTGTGCGGGTGGACGAAGCCAACTCCACTGGGCCTTGCTTCCACCTCCTCCTGTTTGTCCTCCCAGAAGGTATTCCTGCACAAGGTAAAAGTAAGATAGATTCAGCAGTCATTCAACTGTTACTCTAAGAATGCAATACAATTACAAGGCCAATGTGGCAATGACACTATCGTGAAACGGCGCGATGACATGGCCCGTCGGGAATGTCGTTCGCCGCTTGTTTCAGAGTTTTGTGGTTCAAATCTGGCAGGCCACCCTGGTTAATACTGTGCTTGTATTAAACGTAATACATGTGCTGTTTGCTGCACAGTGGACGTTTCAAGATCCTTTGAAGTTATTCACACATTATGTGCCAGCATCATGGTCCAACTTAAAAAAAATACCTGCAAATTACTCGATCAAGATTTTACACAACCACCTTGCCCCCGACAGTGAAAACTACCGAGGACTAGGTCTGTGAAATGTAGCACCTTCACGACAGCCTTGCATTCGAAGATTGCTGCTAATACTCAATGTACCAAAGTATTAACAGATTATAATTACCAGTGACAGTCACGCACAAAGGAAATCTATAACAACGGGTATGGTTTGCAACTTCAGTTAAGATTGTCAACCTCCTTGTCCGAATGCAACAAGGTGTCTATGATCATGCCACGACACATCCTTCGCAGTCGATGTTAAAGATTTGTAAAACACAGGACACGTGTATGGAATCACACGTTGGATTAGGAATCATACGCGAGTTAAGAGATATCACATTGACCTGACTGTTAATAAAAGTGAGTTTGGGCACGATACGTCGCTAAGAAGAGGCTGACAATAACCGATGGTCTAGACTAATGACTGATGGTCTAGACCAATGACCGATGGTCTAGACCAATGACCGATGGTCTAGACCAATGACCGATGGTCTAGACTAATGACTGATGGTCTAGACTAATGACTGATGGTCTAGGCTAATGACCAATGTTCTAGACTAATAATCGAGCAGAAGTCAAAGGAGCGCATCCACCCGAGAATGTTCACCGCAGAGGAGCAATGCGAATTTCAGTATCACAGGAACCACGAGGGATGGGGACGTCGTTGACGCGGCCTTTATCCAAAAGTCAGCAGACCATGGCTGGTGATGATGCCGACTCACGAGTTTGCTGTCCTGTAAACCAACTTGCCTTTGGCCACTGCCAACGTTGCAGGGGATCGCAGGCGCGTGCTCCGGTCCGTTCTGCTCCAGCGGCACGACGTGGGTCGCAGGCATGACCGTGTGTAGCGGCGAGTTGGCGCTGCGCTGGATCGGAGGTGGGCTCATCAACTGCAGCGGCAGGGTGACTGTGGCCATCGATGTAGCGTTGGCGAGGGCGGCACACCAATTGGCCACGCTGCGCGGCTCTTTGAGGAGCGTTGTGCCTGCTGTGGCCCCGTCACTGCCATCGCTGCACTGTGGTCGTGGTGGTGGTGAAGACATCCTTTTCATCTGTGTCCGAGGCTCCAATCCTTGGGGGCGGTGAACACATCACCACACAGCGTTGTATGATTCTCGTTCCTTGTCTGGACAAAATACAATTGTGGTTGTAGGGCGAGGGCTTTGCCTTTTGCGTCATGCACATTTGGACGTATGCACAGTCGTCCCTCACTTAACGTTTTTAATCCGTTCCACGAAAACTGTTAACCGAAATAACTGTTAATCGAATTCACTTATGAGTTGAAAAATAAATAAAAATCACTGAGTCTGCAAGAGAGCTGTTTCCATAATCAAAACAGAAAACAATGTAAACAAATCCAGTGGAGGTCTAAATACTCAAAATGTTAACATTAGTCGAAATCTATGGGAGCCGAAACGTTCCCCGAAAAACCGTTAACCGATGTCACTGTTACCCGAGGGACTACAGTATGTTGAACTTCTTTCGTACCGTACGTATCCAACCGTGCTAATCGGAGGTGTGGGGGGTAGGACAAACTAAACACAAAAATCAGTTCTAAAGAAACGAGTTTTCAACCTATATTTAAAAGTGCATCGCTCCAGTGGCTTCCTAATATCGGAAGAGCGTTCCAGACGGTCGAAGAAGCACATCTAAAAACGCACAATGCAGTGACCACCTTTGTTCAATGGGCAGCCAAAAGCCGCTGCTGCGATGAGAATGACCGGAGTTCACGTGACGGTTTATGCTTCCTTGACAGGATCAAATTGTGCCCATTATGATTATTTTTTCGAATTTGAAAAATGCCGCACCCTATCACCACGTGGCATATAAAGATGCTTTCCAATGCAACTGGACCTCTAGCATATTGAGGTTCACAAGCAAAAGGTAAAACGTTAAAAGTCCAGCCGAGCAATTACTTCCTCACGCCACCGCTGGCAGAAGGCCCTCCATGAGAGGGAGTTCTAGACAGCGCATGTTGAGGCTATTTTGCCCACTCCTCTACGGTGGCCAGACATGTTTGCAGAGGTCAGAGTACTCAGACTTTACCCCACTACGTGGACCTGCCAAATCAATTAATTGAGGTGTACCCATTGTACCGTTATGATATTTCACGTAAAAACCGGGACCTTGTCTGACTTGTGGGATCGCCGCTTCGGTGTGCACACCCACCTGGCGTGCAGACGAAGCTGCAGTACGTTCCGGACAGAGGCTGCGGCGGTACCGAGAGGGCAGCGGTTGAGCAAGGCAGGCTCGATGTGGGCAGTCGGGGGCCACTGCTACCCACCGGCGCCGGTGACGTGGCGCAGGCTACTCCCTCATCGGGGCTTTGTAAACGCAGCCCGCGGGAACCCGGGGGGGCACAGCCAACGTTACCCGGCATGGACCGCGGTGGCTGGGTCATAGGGCGGGGCGGCTGCTGGAATACGAAGGTCGCGGGACACTGAGACACTGAGCCCGGTCCTTCCTGTGGCAGGCTGCCGTCGAGAAAACAGACAAGATACACACTAGGGTTGTTAAACCCGCTTTTCTTTCATTACTGGCAACCATTGTGAAAGATGTAAAAATGGTTTCTGGTTTGCTGTACATACAGTAATGTATAACAATAAACATTAATGTGCAACCCTGCGTGTTTGTGTCTGTTTGTCATCTTATATGCGGTGTAATGGCAAGCACACTTGACTTCCTACACAGAGTGGTTAGATCCCGTCTCCCGGCTCAGCAAATGAAACAATGGGGGAAGTCTCTTAAATATGCTCGCCTCTGTCCACCATGCAGAATAATGGGCACTACACAGATCGTCAAATGGCAGGTCTCCTGTGGTGGTGTAAAGTTTGGTGGTACGCTCAGGTCCTCTCAATATGTCTTGTCAGCGTGGAAGAGCAGAATACAAATAACTTCTCAAGAGCTCCCTCCTGTTGAGGCCCTTTCGCCAGCAAGCAAGCAATCAACCGCAGCCCTGTCATAGGCAGAGGTAATATGAGAAGGCTGCCGCCGGCCAATCAGAGTCGCACGCGCCGTGCGGAGTGTATGTCTGCGAGTCCTACTGGTGCATTCATTCGGAGTGTTCCACAGGAAACGGTTGCCGGCTCCTGCCTCTTGGAACCGGTAATACGAAGAACGCTTGCCGGCTTACCGTCTCTCGTTAAATAACCCAAGTATATACTAGGTACACGCCGTTTTTTTGGTTAAATCCGAAGCAGTGTCATATGGCATCATTGCTTCTTAGTCTGCCACCCCTGACACCCGCCCCACCCTCGGCTAGGGTGAGTTCCAGACTAGGGAGGTCAGGGGCACCTCCCTAGTCTGGAACTCCCTTCCCCCCCAGCCGTTTGTGCTGTCAACCCCATGCCCCTGCTCAAATCCAAGCTCAAGATTGGTGTTCCTTCTTTCCTCTGCACACGACCCACTGCAGCTTTCTATAATTAAAAAAATCCCCCACTCCTCTGCTTCTGTACCGATCTTCAGATGCGGTCTCATTTAGAAGCTCTGTAAATCCACGATGTTTTGATTGTATTCTAAACTCGTACAGAAACCCATAGACTCGCGCAAGAAACCCACAGACTCGCATAGTGACCGACACCAAGATGAGGTCGAAGGCTATATAAATCCACATCGTTACGTATAATTAAACTGTAATGTGAATGCAAAAAAAACACAATGACGTACCGGCTAATTGCGGTGGTGGCCGTGATGGTAGTTTTGGCTGTGGTGGTGGTGGTTGCCGTGGCTCTGATGGTACATGGGGGTCTCTTGGCGTCCATGGCCTGCGCTTTCTGCCGCTGCAGCTTACGTAACTTGGCTCGTCGGTTCTGGAACCACACCTTCACGAAGCGCGGCACCATAATGTGTGTAGAAAATTGCAGGGTCCAACATATAAATCAGCAGTGTATGTGTCATCAATGGTAGATTAGTAGACAGATGGAGTATGGACTCGTGTACACGTCAATCACCTGCTGACAGGTTGAACTGCAACCTCTTGATTACACCTACAGTGTCATAACCGCTACACCACTGTGGCAGCTGCCTTCAAATCCCAATTAAAAAGAAAAACATGTTTTGTATATTGCTAGACATGTTTATATGAGGAAAAATTGGTAACCGTTTTTTTTTTTTTCATTTGGTTACTGGTCCCCTATCAGTGCCTACTTTATTACAGACCAATTCAGACCTTACTGGTCACCCTGTGACCTTATGAATCTCAACGTTCATTCTATAGTCCAATCACGAGGGAGAAACACAAACTGACCAAAAAAAAGTTGCCCGAATTTAAACGGCTGTACGCCGTATGGACCTAAAAACTCAATTTCCCTTTACAAGAATACGGGGTAAACCGTATAGGTGGACAGATATGCGGTCCCAAATCGATTTTAACCACCTTATACCGTACTGAATAGTAACTGCTATAGAAATTGTGAGTTCCAGCAGTGGTTTGTGATTTTCGGTGGTTTCAATGGTGTTTGTTTCATCCTTTTACATTGCTTTTTATATTTAGAATATTAAGAACCAATGTTATATGCAAATGCAAACGTTTTCTTAAAGGAACAGGGCTTTGTTTAGAATCCAGATATATGGGGAACCCCACTCCTGAAATATCCCAATCGAGGACATGCTGGACACAATTATCATAATGGGTTGAAGTTCGGCGTTTACCACGACTCGCTGTGGTGAGACTTCGATAGCAGAGGCGATGAAGAGGCGTCGCTCATGGTCAGGGTAGCGGTCTTCCAGGAAAACCTTCTCCAACTTATCCAGCTGACCTACACTCAGAAAAGACAAATATCCCCTGTATAGCCTTTAACAAACTGTTGGGGTAAGTGCTGTTAATGAGAACATATGAAGGCCGGCACGGCACACGAGGTGGGTGGCCAATACTATGCCCGGCACCACGTACTTATTTAAAGCTGGGTTGACCTAGGGGAGACCCACCCACACTGAGCAGTGTGAAACATGGTTAAACAATACCCATGAATGACAAGAATAGTGGGAGTCCTTCATCTATCAGTGGATTAACAAAGGGGCTGAAATGTATTCTTACTTTTTAGACAGATAGTTTTGTTTACAGCTCCAAAATCAGGGACTGAGAACATCTTTCTTTATAAGGGCTGAATCGGACTCTCAAGTAAATACCTTTGGCATACATCTTGACTTAAAGCTTTCGTGACTGCAGGAATTCATATTATTTGGGTCTTTCGGTAAAGCCACGTAGATAGGTTCAAAGAAAATAACAAAAAAACTATGACGTTTCGATCGCAACAAAAGCGGTCATCAGGAAAAGGGGGTTAACCTCTAAAAGCAAACTGTTTATAAATGTTTGAAATTGGCGTATCCCAAGTGTCATCAGCATGGGTGGGGCAGCTAATGTTAATGTAAGTGATGGTACTCGTAGAGGGCAACCACGGCACTGGTGGTGGGTTTCCACCAATTAAAGGGCTGCCAAGTAATCATTGCACCTCGCTTTACACACTCACACTGCTAGAGGTGATGGTAGTAGTGGACAGTGATGGTCCCAGTGGTGGGCTTCCACCAATTAAAGGCTTGCCAGGTCTAAAATGGAAACATTATAGCCAGTTATGACCTAAACTGGTTGATCACGTCCTTCCAGTGATTGCTGAGTTTGTACCCATCTTCTCAGTTGAAATTGTGTCGATGTATGAATATATGGATGGCTATATATATGGATGGCTTCATGAACGAATCTTTGTTAGTGGCTATCAACAAAGATATAACTTTACCGAAAGACCCAAAGAATACCTTTGGCATATCACACATTTACAGACACTTTAGTCACTTCTGTCATTTCAAAATGCCCTAGAGGTTCCCCACCCTTGCCCTCGCCAAATCATTCTGTTCCACGTACACTGAGTGTAGAGGGTCCTGATTTTTTTCTTCGGAGGCTCGGGAACTGCAGGCTCGGTCCAAATCTCCAAACCTCCGCGGGAATCACCCGAGCATTCTTCAGCGGGCACAAGCGGGCATGGAAACATTGGCTGGCTCGAGGGTGCGGGGAGACCGGGTGGAAGCGTTGGGGGGGTGGCATTGCAGCGGCTGTTTCCAGAACTCCTCCTGAAGCCGCTGGTGCTGCTGACTCATGTCGTGCGAGCAGTACGAGAGCTCTATGTTGAGTCCCGAGTGTTTGCACTCTGCCAGGCTGACTGGAGGAAGCGTGTGGCCTGTGTTCTGCTTGTCCTGAAAGTTGTATGCCACAGAGGCACCCGAGAAGGCTTGCGCTCCAACAGCGTTCACCTTTTGATGCACGGACTGCGACTCGTGGTGCAACTTGACCTTGAGCATCTCCCGAGTGAGCACGGCTTGACAGGGGGCACTGCTGCTACTGCTGCAGCAAGGCTGTACTGGCTCCGAGCAGGCGCTGCGGTAAAGTGGAGTACCGTGCTGACTTGTTTGCTCAGACTCTGTGGAAGTGATGGAGACTCGGCCGTCAATAGCGTCCCGTTCCGTCTCCAAATTCCACCGGAGTTCACCCGCTCGCATCCCGCCGCACGGTGCCGAGACGGACGAGGAATCAAAAATGTCACCGCCAACTTCTTTGGTGACGCTCCAATACATTTTGTCGGTGTTGGTGTTCTTGAAGAGAGATGTTTTTTGGCAAGCGTCGACCAAGTTGTCCAAAGCAACAGGGTCGTGGCCACTGTCATCAACTGCTCCGTCGTTTTTATCAACGACATTAGATTTGCCCGCATGTTGATCAAGAGAATCTCCGATCACCACTTGAATCATCATGTCCGCGGGGCTCTGCCTGTGCTGCGTCTCGTTGCTGGGAAACACGTCGTGCTCCAAGTGCTGATATATGTCCGATCCTTCAGAGTCGCGAGGAGACATGGGATCATCCAAGAGCACTATGTTCATATTCACACACTCCTCAGGATCGGCCTCGCTGTGCAGGACGTTTTCTGAAAAAGAGAAAATAATTTTACCCGACTCCATCAAAGAACCTTCTTCGGTTACATTCTCATTGCTGACAGCCTTCGCAGGACGTCCCCCAAAAGGTGATGATCTCTCAGCAGGGGCAGTCTCATCCTTCTGAAGGGCTTCTTCCTCAAGGTCATCTTCAGAACACAATAAAGTCTTATCTCCAATCGACTCTATAGTAGAGCATTCACCACCATCGTCTGCCTGATCCAAGTCAGCAGTGCCTTGGGTGGCCTGCAGAGTTCCACACGGTCCAGCACTGTGAGTGTCCATACCCTCCAAATCATCACACTGGAGATGCTCCTCCTTGTCCAAATCATCACAATGGATATCCTCCTCCCCCTCCTCTTCCTTCTTCATGCAAATATCTTCCACATAAATGGGATGCTCGGGTATCTGGAGACATGTATCCAAATCGCTACAGCTTCTCTTGTCTCTCCTTCGATCAGGGATGACACGCTTTTGACCGCGTTTGTTATTCTCTGGGAGATCCATCGCTTGAAATTTATGACATTTTTAATTCTCTGTTTGCAAAGACTGTTAGGAAAGAAAACAGAATTAGTCAACAGCTTTAACATCAATTTGAAATATGACAGCTTCTACAACTGTACTACTATTGATTTGGTGAAAATGGGAAAATATTTGTTTAGGTTGGCGCCTTTGCAAGCAACTCATTCGATTCCACGAAGGTCATTGGGAAAAGTTCAACATTAACACACGGTACATGAGCTCAGGAGAAAATAATGGAAAAATGCACACAAGTCAGAAGCATATAACGTTGTACAGGTGCAGCCCTTGGCCAATCAAGTGCTGGCAGATGGGCTTCCCCATGCCACGTGGGTCGCAGTGCTTATTTGACCTAACTTGACCATGCTAGTCTGTGCCTATTGGTGTAGGCGAGGGGGGCACAGTCATACGGTACAACAGTGGATGATGATGCTGCATTGCCATTGTGCTGCTGGTAACATAGTCCACAGCAGCCGACAACACCTGTTTGGGTGGTTGTGTGGATTAAAGGCTCAAACCCAGCCTTGTTTACTAGATCTGGCCAGATCGGGCACATTGCAGGTGATTTGATCACAGGTGTCATACTAACATGATGCATATACTGTATTAAATACATTATTTCGTGAAGAATATTTTGTTTCTGTGCAATGAAGGGCTATTGCCTGAAACATCGTATGTATATTATTTTTGCATATGCCAATATTATTGGCGAATGTGTTGAGTTTTTAGTGGGATCTCTCTCTCCAATGTTCTGATACTTCCTGAAAGCTCTACGTGTGGCACAATGCAATTTGCTTCTCACCGATTCCACTTTGCAATGTTGCAGAGAATCATATAAACAATGAACATTACATAATGCATGCAATAACTTCACATACAGATGGCCGTGGAATGTCAAAAGACAAAAAAAAACAACGCAGGCAGCATTGGCATTTTGTGGTCCAAAGGCCATTTACCGCAAGTGAAAATCTTCCGGATCATCAGTAAAATTATTAAGCAACTACAAAGGTGGGAATGTAACCCAGAGGACCACCGTGGAGATGGAGCGATTATATCAGCTGAAGAGCAGGAGCCAGAGAGATTGTGGCGTATTATAAAGTACATGAGCACCGAGGTTTATAACTGCAGATTTGTCTTGGTATTTGGCTAAAGTGATGGATCGTGGCATATTAAAGAAGATTAAACCGAGGTAAATAACTGCAGACATTGCCTAGTATTTGGCTAAAGTAATAGATTGCGCTATATTATAAAGGATATTAAACCGAGGTAATGGCAGATGTTTACTATTATTAGGCTGAAGTAGCGTTATATCGGCAAAGTCAGCGTTTTTGTAAGATTGTCAATAGTTGGAAATTGGAACTCATTGAAGACTTCCTCCATATAAGATATTTAGCGATCCATGTATGTAAGTGGAGAATAAAAGTAGCCGATGTGACAACGTAGTTATTAAACGAAATTATTGCATAAGCGACAACATTGGCCACTTCAGGACACTGATTTTAACAACAAAAAACTCTCCGTAAACTTTGCCAATCTTTGGAGGTTTGGGCCTAGGGCCCAACTGTTGCAACCGAAGCCTGCGGTTAAACTAAATAAAAAAAAACGAAACTGCGGCGGAAATTAATTAGCAAATTGAATACTTAAAAATTAAAGATTCAAAATGAGGTACATTCACAATCTCTGGTTAAAAATCAAAACGACGGCGATATCTACTTTTAGTAGTAATTATAAGTCCATTATGGGGAGGGACCCCCGCGCGTCTCTACCAGCAACAATAATAACAACAACACCTTTGATGATTGCTAATTGTGCCGAGTTGTCCTTAACAACGTCCTCGACGAGAAGCGTTTGCGACAGACGTTCAATAACCCAAAGTTAATTTGATTACAAATCGATCATCCTCCTCGGCTCCCTCTCTCTCACCCATCATGGCGCCCATTGACCACGTGGCATTTAAAAAACCGAAACATTTTACACAAAGCATTGCACAACAACAAATAACCTTTGCTTTAAACGAATATAATCCACCAAATAACTGGGTTTTTTTTAAATGCCCCCCCCCCTTCCCTCCATATAAATTAATACGTTGCAAGTCACGAGTACATTTTAACCAAAGTGCGGAATTAATTGCGCAATTTCCTGTTGTAAAAAGTTGATACGTACGATTTTTTTTGGGGGGGGGGTGGAGGTGTGTGTGGAGAAAATCGAGGCACAACTTCCCGCAAATTGCAGCGTGAAGAGATCACTTCCCCCCCCCCCCTGGATGCTTAGGAGCCACTCCCACAGCACAAATACATTTTACATTGCTGTTTAGTGGCCTTCAGCCAATCACAAAGTTAAAGCTTTGCCATCCCTTCTTCTCTGTGTGTGCCGCGTGTGTGTGAGATGATCAATTGGGTGCGAACTCGGCCACCTTCATCGTGTACCGTGCGAAACGGACACGGTTGTTGTTATTCTTCTCGCACGGGGAAAACTTGAATGTTTCACGTCCTTAAACGGCCGTACAGACGTTTTCAAATTGTTGGGTAACAACAACATGTTGTGTACTCTGTGGCTCTTTCGGTAAAGTCACGTAGGTAAAAAAATAAAATTATGAAATAAAATAAAAATGAAAACAACTATAAAAAATTAAATAAGACAAAAAATAAAACAACTATAAAATAAAAAAACAACTCCGTAAACTTTGGCAATCTTAGTTGTTTTCATTATTGTTTTATTTTATTCTTAAATTTCTACCTACGTGACTTTACCGAAAGAACCAAAGAGTATGGATCCTTGCAGTTCACGAAAACTTTAAATCCAAAATGTTTTGTGTTCTATTTGTGTTTCTCCCTTGTGATTGTGACTTTGTAGGATGAACGTTGAGATTTATAAGGGCACGGGGTGACCAAGAAAGTCTGAATTTGTCTGTAATAAGTCGGCAGCACTGATAAGGGGGTTGATAGCTATGTCAGCCTCAATTGAGTACCTGGTGCGATGTGTAAACATCGCCACTGGGGAGACAAAGGCGGCCGGGCGAGGTGTTGGCCAGCCACCCCCCCCCCCCAATTAATGTACCTCGCAAAGAGCACTTTGCCCCAACAGTCTGTTAAGGCTACACGGGGGATCTTTGTCTTTGAAGATCGATTTGCCAAAATCGCCACGGAATGTGCCCCATCTGGTCAGATCTCAGAAGCTGAGCAGGTTCTGTGTGGGGTGGGGGGCTGGATATTGGTGGGATGGGGCTGCTTTTAAAATGCATCGAAACAATGTGTTGCAAAGTAATGAAAAAATAAGAATAGATTTACCCTTTCTGGAAATAAAACAGGCGTTAAGATAAATTAGGAGGGTTTGCCGTGCTTGTTTGGTTCACACTTAACTTATAATTTAGCAATCTTTTGAAGAACGTAATCAACCAGGCTATGCGTTAACTGTGTGCTAACCGACTCTCTGTGTTGCATTGCATTACACTTCCTAATTTTATTAAATTTGCTTTCTACCGTGCTGGTTCCATGCTTGTTTATAAGTTCGTTCTCTCCTCCGGCCGCTATGGGCAGGAATCGCACCCAACTTACCTCCCCTCTCTTTTCAAGGCCTCGACACAGAAACGTTGTCTCTTCTGTGTGCCTATACAGAAGGCTGCGGTCCATCAGGACCAAAACCTCACGCCACAAAAACAGTTTCTTCCCATCCGCGGCTGGCCTCTTAAACAAGGCCAAGGGCTTACACTGACTTTAACATTTTATCTACAAAATGACACCTTGCCAATATTAACTATGTTACCCTATTTGTATTTTTTTTATTTATGTTAAGATTTATCTTATAGCTATTTTATATTCTATTTTTATTCAATTTTATATACTTTAGCCCCTTGGTGTTAGACTTTGAACCCTTATTATAGTAAGACTTAAATTTTGATTTAAAGCTTTCGTGACTGCAGTAATTCATATTCATAGCTCTTTCGGTAAAGTCACGTATTGTTTCCCTTCAACGTGACTTTACCGAAAGAGCTAAGAATATATAGTAAGACTTGTTTACCACTTATTTAAGATTTTAGATTTCTATATGTTGAATGTATGCACCATCCTGCCAAAGTAAATTCCGTGTCTGTGTGAACTTTCATGGCGAATAAAACCCTTTCTGATTCTGATATGTGTGTGTCTCTCTCTGTTTGTCTCTGTGTGAGTGTCCCTCTCTGCTTGTGTGTCTCTGTGTCTATGTTTTGTCTCTCTCTCTCTGAAATTTATAAATCTTTGGAGGAACGTATTCAACCAGGTGCAGGGGTGCTGACTGTTGTGTTGGCCGACTCTCTGTGTTTGATTGCATTGTATTTCCAAGTTCACTAGGTTTGTTTTCTCATTCGTTTGGGGCCATTCATAAATGATGTCACACACCTGGGGGGGGGGCGGGCGGGGTCAGACATTTGTGACGATGTGTGACGAGGGGGGGGGGGGGTTGAGAAATGTGACGTCACATCAAAATGCGTAACTTTAAATAAATATAGACAACACGTTCTGCTTTATTAAATAGACTTTTTTAATAAATGTTTTCTCCTACAACATCAGAGTGCAGCGCCACGTTAAATACGCACTATAATGACAATAGTGTAAAGCGATTTGAAGCATGTTTTTTTTGGGGGGGGGGAAGAGCTTTGTGACGTCATATTTGAGGGGGGGGTCTGACTTTATGTGACGCCGTGTGACGAAGGGGGGGGGGGCAAAATTCGTCCAAAATCGCGTGACGTCATTTATGGACTGCCCCTAAGGTGTCATCGTAATCGCGTGTCCTGGTAGATCAAGTATAGCAACAACAACAAAAACAGGTTACAAATACGTGCAGAAAAGATACCTAGGCACGTGATTAAATTTGTATTAAAGTGGGTCAACACTGACAGCGATAAATAAAATGAGAAATTAATTGGTGCTGCTGCATAGGCAATGGTGCACAAGCAACAAGAAGCTCAACACATTAGTCAAGAACAATGTAATGGCCACGATCTCTCATATCTCTCTGGCCTGCCCTATGTGCTATGAAGAAGGGCCATTGCCCAAAACGTCACCATGCTTTAGTCATTACCAGCAAGAAGAGACCTGCAATATATTCGAAGCGCTTTCTCCAGTTGAAGATTACATTCAATAGCCACAAAATGCGTGGACGTCAAAAGCGCTTCTGTGGCCAAACTTCTTGGTCGGGTATAGTGGGGAGTGGTAGTGCAGCGGTTAGCGCGCTGCGCTACGAATCCGGCAACCCGAGTTCGACTCACAGCCAACACCGGTGGCGATTATTTGATCCGCTCCTGGGCCCTCCCCTCGATCGACCCATCCTCAAATGAGTACCTGGTGCAGTGTGTAAACATCGCCACTGGGGAGACAAAGGCACCTGGGTATAGTGCTGGCAACCCACCCCCTCGTGTGCCGTACTGGCCTTCATAGGTGCTCGCTAACAGCACTTTGCCCAACAGTCTGTTAAAGCTATACGGGAGATCTTTGTCTTTGTGGTCAGTACAGGTCAGTACAGGTCGGTGAAGATCTTTAGAACAACTTTTGCGGTTATCGAAGATTTTGCCTATTACTCAATGCACCAGCTACTTTTAGATAACTACTGTATTCATACGCCTCTTAAAAAAAAAAACTGTTGATCATAAAACAAAAAAATAATCATTAGGCCCTATGGTGTAACGGGCAATCTCCAACCGTTTACTCTCTCTGACCTCACTAACTATGTGCTATGAAGATGGGCCATTGTCTGAAATGTCGAATATTATATTTCTTTCCTTTCAAGACCACAGTGTTTGTAGCAACAAATGTGTTGAGTTAAAAACGGACGGAGAGACCCAGTATCGGTTCAGTTATCAACAACCATTGACGAACTCGGGTTGCCAAATTCATCGGCTCGTGCCCCACTCCATCCCGAGGTGAATGTTTGTGTTGCTGTCACAGTGAGTGGCTCTGCTGTGGCAGAGTGGTTGGAATTCTCGACTCTGCACATTCTTTTCGTGCCAGAGAGCGATCGATGTCCGTGATTCTCGAGATCTATATGGAGTGAAAATCTTAAAATTGGCTCACACAAACTCTTTACAATTTTTTTTTATTTGACCAGGTGAGACCCACTGAGCTATATAGATTTTTTTTTCAGAAGCGACCTGGCCATAAATGATAACACAATGAAGCGGCTTATCAGGTGGGAAATTCATAGCAGCCAAATGCTCAAAAAATATTGTCGAGCCTGCTTGGAACTAAATATTTAAGTGAACATGACAATTAAGTCATTGTATTCTTTGGGTCTTTCGGTAAAGTCACGTAGATAGGTTCAAAGAAAATAAAAAACGAGGTTTCGATCGCAACACAAGCGGTCGTCATCAGGAAAAGGGGGTTAGCTTCTAAAGGCAAACTATTTATAAAGGTTTGAAATGGGCGTAGCCCAAATGTTAGCATTTTTTTAAATAGGCGTATGAATACAGTAGTTAGTTATCTAAAAGTAGCTGCTGCATTGAGTAACAGGCAAAATCTTCGATAACCACAAACGTGTTTCTAAAGATCTTCACCGACCTGTACTGACCTGTACTGACCACAAAGACCTCCCGTATAGCTTTAACAGACTGTTGGGCAAAGTGCTGTTAGCGAGCACCTATGCTGGCCAGTACGACACACGATGGGGTGGGTTGCCAGCACTATACCCAGGTGCCTTTGTCTCCCCAGTGGCGATGTTTACACACTGCACCAGGTACTCATTTGAGGCTGGGTCGATCGAGGGGAGGGCCCAGGAGCGGATCAAATAATCGCCACCGGTGTTGGCTGTGAGTCGAACTCGGGTTGCCGGATTCGTAGCGCAGCGCGCTAACCGCTGCACTACCACTCCCCACTATAGCAGTTTGGCCACAGAAGCGCTTCTGACGTCCACGCATTTTGTGGCTATTGAATGTAATCTTCAACTGGAGAAAGTGCTTCGAATATATTGCAGGTCTCTTCTTGCTGGTAATGACTAAAGCATGGTGACGTTTTGGGCAATGGCCCTTCTTCATAGCACATAGGGCAGGCCAGAGAGATGTGAGAGATCGTGGCCATTACATTGTTCTTGACTAATGTGTTGAGCTTCTTGTTGCTTGTGCACCACTGCCTATGCAGCAGCACCAAATAATTTCTCATTTTATTTATCGCTTTAAGTGTTGACCCACTTTAATACGAATTTAATCACGTGCCTATGTATCTTTTCTGCACGTATTTGTAACCTGTTTTTGTTGTTGTTGCTATACTTGATCTACCAGGACACGCGATAACGATGACACCTTTGGGGCCGTCCATAAATGACGTCACGCGATTTTGGACGATTTTTGACCCCCCCCCCCCTTCGTCACACGGCGTCACAAAAAGTCAGACCCCCCCTCAAATATGACGTCACAAAGCTCTGCCCCCCCCCCCCCCCCAAAATAAAATATGCTTCAAATCGCTTTAAACTATTGTCATTGTAGTGCGTATTTAACGTGGCGCTGCACTGATGTTGTAGGAGAAAACATTTATTAAAAAGTATTTCATTAAGTAGAACGTGTTGTCTATATTTATTTAAAGTTGCGCATTTTGATGTGACGTCACATTTCTCAAATCCACCCCCCTCGTCACACATCGTCACAAATGTCCCACCCCCCGCCCCCCCCCCCCTAGGTGGACGGCCCCTTACGCGGTGACACAACGGGTGAAGTATGGTGCACTGTCTTCTGAAGTATCAGGCATATGGCATTTCAACCACACCCACGTGTGTCATCCTACAAATTGTCACGATTCAAGCTCGCGATCCGGACGCAAGAATCAATTTATTTTATTGCGATGAACGGTTGCGTTTGGACTGCAGTGAGCAAGGGTGGGGGGGGAGGGAGTCACACATAAAACCTGTTAAGATCCCATTGCAGGCAACAAAATATAGGCAGCGAAAAACGTCAATTGTCACGCACGATTTGACACGTGCATTGAGCTCGAGCAGTCGATAACGGCAATGCATCATCACGCCCCTACGATGTATATGCACCTATGTGTGTTTAACTCATTTCACACCGTACGTAGCCGTAGCCAACCGTGCCCATCGAAGATGCATCAGAAGGTGGACGCCGATCCAAATCTCATTTACGCGGCGAGATTATTTACTTTGGCTCCAGCAGGAAATTGAGAAGATTTCCCAGAAACTTGGTAAGAACAGCAGCACCCTCGTCAGCCTGCGGGGATGTTTACAATGTTGCCTTTTAAGCGCCTTGTCGCACTTTCATCTCAACTAAACTTAACCTTCACTGCTTCTACAACTATTTCCCAGGTCCCACGAGCATCACAACTCGAAGTTGAACTCAAGTTGCCGTTCCAGGCAGCACGTTTCCGTAGTTTTTTTTTTATCAACTTGAAGTTGGTGGTGAAGTCTGGCCAAAGCCCAAATCTTTCAGGCTAATTTCACTCCACTGAAATTAGCCTGAATTCCCGCCGTCAGAATTCCGGCGGAGTGGAAATAGGTAAATCGTTTCGATTTAAAACTTTCGTGACTGCATGGATTCATATTCTTTGGTTCTTTCGGTAAAGTCACGTAGAATGAGAATAAAATAGTAAATAAAATAAAATAACACAATAAAATTCTCACAACGTTTCGGCCACTTGTGTTGTGGCCGAAACGTCGTGAGAATTTTATTGTGTCATTTTATTTATTATTTTATTCTCATTCTACGTGACTTTACCGAAAGAACCAAAGCAGAGGTAAATCGTTATAGATTTTTAGGTCAGATTGCCAATGCTTGTTGTACACCCTCCTCCACCTGATGGAGCCAAATAAATAAAGTTGTCAATTGAACAATAAATTAAGAATAATAAAATTGGTTGTGAAAGTTTGTGTTAAATGTACCCTCTACTGGGAGGAAATACATTACCAAATATGTTACGATAAAACATGTTTGATTGTAGGTGGCTGGAACATTTCATTTTAGATTAAAATTTTACGTTGAATTTAACTTTTTATCAGCACCAGAGTCTTGGCATTTGACTCTAGCCGAGTCTTACTCCGAAGTGTTTCCGGAAATAGCTGTCCAACTCGGTGATTACTTGATAACTCATGGAAACACCAATTTTCTTTAATCAACTTGAGCCGTCTTTCAACTTCAATTCTGAGAGATATTAGGCAAACTCGGGCCAACTCAAGTGCGCATTCTCCACTGGCACATCTGAGCTGAGTCAGCATGGGGTCCACTCACGGTACAGGTGGTTTTCCACGGGCAATCTGCTGTGCTGAGCAAGAACCAATCCGTGATACGCTGGCCGCACGAGACGTCCGAATCTGGCTTGGGGGCCGAGTAGGACCAGGGGCGGGGGATAATGTCGCATTCATCGCGTGTGACGTCGTCAGTACACTGTGAGGACATGGAATTACCCAGACACCTACATGGAACTTGACTCGCTCTTTCAGTGTGACGACAGCGGCATGTCTCGGCTCCTGCAGTGGAAAAATTACCTAACGCCAACTCAGCCATGCTGGCCTGGCTCAGCATAGCTCCGATGTGGCTCAATTGAAACAGTGGAAAAGTGGAACAGTTGACCGTCGTCCTCTGGAAACTAGGTATACGAGTTGCAGGAGCAGACAAAACGCCTTAAGGGACGATAAAAAATTATTACAATTATCCACTCAAAACACGCTATTTTATTTAACATGTAGTAACTACTATTGGGACAGTCAGCAACTTCATTATTAATATGATTTAAACACAAGTATAGGTTGATGCTTTATAAAACCAAATTGTACCATGTTATTTGGGCATGTAACAATTCACGTCGCACTCTTGACCCATTGATTTGATGAATTGTCACAATTCAGGATCGCGATTTGATTTCTCTCTCATTTTAAGCGTCTCTTTCTCTTCTGCCTCGTTTGTATAGGCATGTCCACTGCATTTACCTTAGCATTAGCATGCAATTTGAAATTATAATTTCCATTAATCGTGAATAATCTAATGTCACAAACGCGAAACTCAATGCAACGTACTGCAAGCATCATCATCGATTCCAATCGATGCATCGTGAACATGCATAGCATTACATCGCGCAAAGATGGGGCTAAAATAAAAAAAATAACGGTTGTTACTTTCATCGCGTCTCTGTGACAATGTGAATCGACTCGATCTCGCGGCTTCTTCACTGTTCCTCGTCAGACCTGGGGTTAATTATAATTACAACAGAATCGTTAGCCGAAGTTACAATTGTGAACACGGTTAACTTTCGATTGTCTGTGGGTTGATTGTCTGTTTTGCGGTTTTACCGCCGAAAACATACATATTCATGCGCGTGGCGATATAATCACTAGCTGCACCTCGCTCGTCGTGGGCCAGTGACGCAGTGCCCACGTGACTACAAGCACGTCGGCAAGTAAACCCCATTACTTTAAGAAGCAATAAAAAGAGCTCTAAAATAGAATGCACATTAAACATGTTCACCCCCAATTCTACTGAGGTAAACAATTACATACGTTTTATACCCTCATTTAAATATGTTATCCGTGCTTATGCTTTATCCGGGCCAGCCCTCCCACCTCCCTCCCCCCCCCCCCCCCCCACCATATTATCCTGGATAATTGAGAATTGACCGTGCTGTTACAATTAATTTACAAAAGAAACAATTACATTGTAACACAATCGATGCCAGGTCTGCCACCTCACACAGGTACCACGGTATTAAGGCTTCAAAGAGACACTCTCTCTCTGGCGAACACAAACGCGTTTGCGAGACGTGGGCTTTGACGGGGGTGCACTGCGTGGGCTCCGGGCATAGTTTAGGTTGACGGGTGGGGGGGGGGTGCTCTCCCAGAGAGGGGGGGGTGCTCTCTCAGAGAGAGGGGGGTGCTCTCCCAGAGAGAGAGAGAGGGGGGTGCTCTCCCAGAGAGAGAGAGAGGGGGGTGCTCTCCCAGAGAGAGAGAGAGGGGGGTGCTCTCCCAGAGAGAGAGAGAGGGGGGTGCTCTCCCAGAGAGAGAGAGGGGGGGGGGGGTGCTCTCCCAGAGAGAGGGGGGTGCTCTCCCAGAGAGGGGGGGGGTGCTCTCCCAGAGAGAGGGGGGTGCTCTCCCAGAGAGAGAGAGGTGGGTGCTCTCCCAGAGAGAGGGGGGTGCTCTCCCAGAGAGAGGGGGGTGCTCTCCCAGAGAGAGAGAGGTGGGTGTTCTCCCAGAGAGAGGGGGGTGTTCTCCCAGAGAGAGGGGGGGGGGGTGCTCTCCCAGAGAGAGGGGGGTGCTCTCCCAGAGAGAGGGGGGTGCTCTCCCAGAGAGAGAGAGGTGGGTGTTCTCCCAGAGAGAGGGGGGTGTTCTCCCAGAGAGAGGGGGGGGGGGTGCTCTCCCAGAGAGAGGGGGGTGCTCTCCCAGAGATAGAGAGGTGGGTGCTCTCCCAGAGATAGAGAGGTGGGTGCTCTCCCAGAGAGGGGGGGGGGGTGCTCTCCCAGAGAGAGAGAGGGGGGGTGCTCTCCCAGAGAGAGAGGGGGGGGTCGTCTCGGCTCAACTCGGCCCTTCACTCACACCAGCCCCAGCTCCTCCAGCATGCTGCGAGGTTCCTCGTTCTCCTGTAGGTGCAATCACACGGGGGGGGGGGGGGGGCAGGGGGTGGAGGGGGTAAGGGGGGGGCAACAGTGAGCATTGCCATCACCGGCCAACGTGCGTGCACAACTCTCGAGCGGTGTCTCATGGGTGCCATGTTTGTGAATCGTTACATTGACAAATTGTACGCACGTACGTTTGTATGTTGAACTTCGTTCGCGCCGTACGTAGCCAACCGCGGTGCACGAGTCACAAATGATGACGAGTTATATATTTCACGTTTTTCTTATTCGCTTCTTTCCGGAAATAAGTGCCGTTTCGCAGATTCAAGTTTATTGGAATATCGTGTGTGCGGTTTGTACTTGACCCCTTGTGTTTGACGTGTGTGTGTGTGTGTGGGGGGAGTGGTGTTGTTGTATTTAGCACACCCTGTTACAAACCAGAGTTCGATTCCAACCCACGGCCAACATCAGTGATACAAAATATAAAGTGTGGTAAAAATATCCATGATTAGAGCGCGTGGGGTGACCTTAATCCAGCAGTGGTTTGACATGGGGCAGAAAACTGTTGTAATGCCTAAACTGCTCCCAGGTCCTTCCCCCATGTCGATGCTGTGTGTAAACATCAGCATTGGAAAGACAAAAGTGGCTGGGTGTGGTGCTGGCCACCCACCCCATTGGTGCGCTGTACCGGCCTTAATAGGTCCTGCTTGCTAATAGCACTAGTCACAACAGCCTGTGTAGACTACACAGGGTGGGGGGGGGCAGGGAATCCTTATCTGTATTTTAGTGCAGGGGTCCCCAGCCCCCGGTCCGTGGCCTGTTAGGAACCGGGCCGCACAGCAGCAGGAGGTGAGAACGGTGAGTCCGTGCGTGGCCCGTCCCCATTATTTTATTATTTACCACTTCCGTCCGCGCCTCTTTCCCGCACTGCGCGCTCGTCTCAGTCACGTGGTGCTGGCAAGCCCACAAGCTAACCCCTAGTAGCCACAATGAGTAACAAACAAACGTCACTGGAGAGCTTCTTTGAAAAGCGGGGAAAGACCCAATGATGAAGCCCCCCCCACCCCCGCCCCCCCAGGTCCATGAAAAAAATGTCTTCCACAAAACCGGTCCCTGGTGCCAAAAAGATTGGGGAGCGCTGTTTTAGTGTGTCCGCACCTCCTGCAGTAGGTCGGCCTCCTCGATGGCTTTCAACGCCCTCTTCTTGGAGGTCTCCTGCACCTCCCCGCCCAGCAGGAACTCGTCCAGGATGAAATAGGCTTTCTCGAAGTTGAAGATGATGTCCAGCTCACACACCTGACTCACACGGCCACCAGCACGTCAGAGGACAATCCCACGTCGACGCATATTTCCCGGAGGTTTTTTATTTATTTTAGCAGGTAAGGCCCACTGAGCTGTATAGTTCGTTTTCAGACGTGACCTTGGCCACAAGTGATAACTCAACGAAGAGGCTTGTCATGTGGACATTTATAGAAGCATCCAAATACTCGAAACGCGTGACGTTGATTCTAAATGTGGAGGGAAAACCCGGAGAACCCGGAGAAAAATCCACGCGACCATGGGGAGAGAGACATGAAAACTCCAAATATACAGCATGCGTCAGGATCGGGATCAAACCCATGACCTCCTGTATACCTGGTGTGGTAGTTAACATCTCGCCACCGTGGTGCCCCGTGGTGCAACGCACATAGATGTGTGCAGTCCTCGTGTGAATGTCCGAACATTTCTATATTAATCGATTAAACGGTGCATTGGATCCACCAGTAAAACACAATGTGTCCCTAGAAGGCAACTTCCATTTTTTTTTATCATCATTATTATTAGACAGCAGATTTGGCCAGCAAGTAACTGTGACGTCACTACGGCAGGTGTGCCGGGCTAGGTGCACTTTGAGGGCAGATGATGTGTCGGCGGCTCGCTGCTGGCAGGAGGTACCAGGAAAGACCCCAGGTCTCATGGTTCCAACGACTGAGATAACTTGACAAATGCACCACCTGCGTTCTCCGCCGTACAAATCTTTCTTTAAATTGGAGGAATCTTATGAGCCATGAAGCTCCTTTTCACAGATGTCTACTCAGGGTGAGTGAGCAAGTTAATAACATAAAACTACACACGGGTGCGCACCCTTTATAGCAGTGTTCTTCATTGCCAAGGCCCGCAGGCCTCTGGCAGTCCCTGGTGGCCTTTAGCCTGGCCCCTGACGTGCGGGTCTCCGACAATAACCCCGATTGCGCTGTCAAACCCAACGGTTTAAAATGCGTGGCGGCCCTCACGCACTGATGATGTCTTATCGGCGAAAGTGGCCCCCCTCTGAAAATCAGTGAAGAACGCCGCTTTCTAGCATGCAGACGTTGCCGTATTCATCGCGTTTCAGAAACTGTATGCAGCAGTAGATGGTATCACGGCCGGGTGCAATGCCTCACGTTTCCGAAGTACTGGTCGAGCAGCTCCACGTAGCGGTGGATGAGCTCCAGCGACAGCAGTTCGTTCTCGTGCGACTCGATCGCGCAGCAGAAGTACAGACTCGCATAGCTGTACACGCAAATACACGGACAAAGATCCCCCGTATAGCCTTTACCGGGCTGTTGGGGCAAGCGGGCTTCAGTGAGCACCAATTAAGGCCGGCACGGCGCACGAGGGGCTGGTGTGGCCGAAACCCCGCCCGGCCGCCTTTGTCTCCCCGGCGCTGACGTTTACAAACCGCGAGCTAGGCAAATACGTTGACCTAGAGGAGGCCCAGGTCCCATTGTGATATCGCTCACCACTGATGTTATCCGTGCCAATTGTTGATGCGCACTTCATTACATTTCTACGCCGTGGGGACGGGGTGGGGGGGAGTGGGGTGGAGGGGGCCGCCTCACCGCTTGTAAACGAGCTTGAGGTCACGCCAGTCAAGGAAGTTGGAGGAGCGGGGCTTGCGCGTGAGCACCCCCTGCACCACCTCGCGCACCACCTTGCGCCGCTCGCGCTCTGCCAGCGCCACGTACCACTTCTGCAGGCGCAGCTTGCCCTGCCGGCTAAACAGCAGCATGAAGCGCATCTGCACACACACACACATGCACAAAGAAAGATCCCCCGTATAGCCTTGACACGACTGTTGGGGCAAGTGCTGTTAGCTAGTAGCACCTATGAAGATTGGCACGGCGCACGAGGGGGTGGGTTGCCAACACCACGCCCGGCTGCCTTTGTCTCCCAAGTGGCGATGCTTACGTGCCGCACCAGGTACTCATTTGATGCTAAGTCGACCTAGGGGAGGCCCAGGACCAGTCAAAAATATTTGCCACTATTATTGGTCATGCGTGAGAATCGAACTCAAGTCACCGGTTTCGTTGCGTAGTGCGCTAACTATTGCGCCACTGCTCCCCACACGCACGCACACACAAGGTGTACAATAACAGAAAGTAATATAATTATTGATGGTTATAAAAAAAAAACCCATAACACTTGCGTTTATAGAGAGCCCATAGCCTCACGAAAAATCTCAGAGCCCCTTGGTTTTAGCTTTGGGGAGAGACGCCCCGAATGGCAGCTCGTCCCTCGTTAGCCACAAGGTGACTCAGCACCGGCCTGCCAGTGGGCATTCTATTCTTGCGTACGCATAGCAGTACAGTACGTTCCAGAGCTAAGTGTTGGCCACGACGAGAGGGCTTCACGACAGTTTGTGGAGTGTTGCTGTTCCTCCTCCTCCTCCGTCAAAGGAGCGCAAGCTACAGTGGGTTTCCTGTGTGGTCCACGGTTTTGGTTGCATGGCCGAAATCACACTACTGTCGCTCGTGCCTCGATTTTGTCCATTCGTGAATGAGATGTGGTGCAGCATTGGGCCTGCCGATGTTCTCACGCGGTTGATGGTCACACCCGGTGTCTGCGAGGAGGAGGAATGTCAACGCCAGGAGGGGTGTGATATTTTAGTCTCTGATGAGGTGTTTATTCTGGACGTCCAAGTTGTTCCACTCTGTTTTGTCAGAGTACTTCCGGATCTGGGTGAGATTCTATGATGGTGATGGCCCGATCACAAGTGGGGGATCAGGACTTGTGGGCATTAGTTAGCCAGTAAGAGCCGATGATGAGTACTGCTGTGTGTAATCCCAATTTGTGAGATTTGCGTTGTAATTTTTCGAATTTGGCAAATTTGGACAAAAAACATGACCACCATCATCAGGAGACCCAGTGGTCTCCAAGTTCTCACCATACCAGGCGAGGTAACAACCTCGACTGGTATACTGGAGGTCGTGGGTTCGATCCCGACTCTGACGCCTGCTGTATATCTGGAGTTCGCATGTCTCTCTCTCCCCGTGGTCAGGTAGATTTTTCTCCTGGTCCTCCGATTTTTCCCTCCACATTTGGAAACATTCTATTTTTTTTAAATCACGTAATACGCCACTTCATTGGGCTATGATTTGTATCCAGGTCGCTTCTGAAAAAAATCCAAATAGCTGTGGGCCTTTCCTGGTAAAATAATAAATATATATTGGGTGCCACTCAGATGTCCGTCTGGGTAACTTGTCTTGCCCCACCCTGTATACGTGTCCCAACCCCGTCACAAGCTCCTCTTCGACTGCTGGCCATGTCCCTTACGACTAACAACATCAGCGGCAAGCGATATGTAAATTGGTCCTGGGCCACCCCCTTCACCAACCTCCATTGACCGGTCTGGTGAATTATGGTCAAACAACGTTCACGACGAACAGGCCATGGGGAAAACTATATCCTTTACATCACTGTCAATGAATAATCATTTATATATTACGTGTGACGTTAACCCCATTAAACCATTTCAGTCATTAAACATCGAAACAAATTCATGTCATAAGCAAAAAAAGAAATGATAGTTTTTGCCTGCCCAACATGAAGACTGGAATGAATACGAGTGTGTTCGATTCAGAATATGCCACAAATGTTTCTCCGCTACTGAAATTGTTTCGAAAAAATGTGCCTTCCTTACCGTGTATTGCAGTGGAAAGTTTAATAATTTTTGATATAGCGAGGTAAAGGCGAAGCCCTGCAATTCCCTGCTCACGCCACTGCCGGTAGAACGGCCCAATTAGACGGAGCTCTGGAGAATCCCTCTAGAAAGGAATTTTGGCCCAGACATCTCGAAAGAGGTGGACAGTAGTATGTTTAAAATCTAGATTGCAAACTCATTTATTAATAACAGATGTTTGTGTTTAGTGTGTTGTCTTTCCCCAGCACCTCTGATCATCACGGTCGGCTACGTACGTTGCCAAAAAGTTCAACATACATAAAGAGGCGAGGGAATTTAACATAAAGTAAAACCTGCCCCATTGCTTAAACTGCCGCAGCGGGACCTTTGAATTGTTTATAGAGAACAAAGCCTACAAAGGTTCATGTTTAATGCGGCTTGTTTAAATTGTTTTACATCTCCAAACAAGGTGTACGTACGAGTGCCGCTCACGGCGTGCGATTTATGAGCGTGCTTTTAATTAAACGTTCAGGTTGATAAATAATTTAACTTCCCACGTGATAAATAAAAAATGCAGGTGTCTCTGGAATATCTCTCTGTGTATCGCCAGGCAGCCTCTTTGATCGCACGCGGCACACGCCGTATGGATTGTGCAGTTTTCAGCAACAACATAATCATAACGCGAGACTCATTGACTGTGTTACAGCGCTGAGTTATAACGCGAGACTCACTGACTGTGTTACAGCGCTGAGTTATAACGCGAGACTCATTGACTGTGTTGCAGCGCTGAGTTATAACGCGAGACTTATTCACTGCGTTACAGCGCTGAGTTATAACGCGAGACTCATTCACTGTGTTACAGCGCTGAGTTATAACGCGAGACCCATTGACTGTGTTACAGCGTTGAGTTCTAACGCGAGACTTATTCACTGTGTTACAGCGTTGAGTTATAACGCGAGACTCATTGACTGTGTTACAGCGCTGAGTTATAACGTGAGACTCATTCACTGTGTTACAGCGTTGAGTTCTAACGCGAGACTCATTCACTGTGTTACAGCGCTGAGTTATAACGCGACACTCATTGACTGTGTTGCAGCGCTGAGTTATAACGCGAGACTTATTCACTGCGTTGCAGCGCTGAGTTCTAACGCGACACTCATTGACTGTGTTACAGCGCTGAGTTATAACGCGAGACTCATTGACTGTGTTACAGCGCTGAGTTATAACGTGAGACTCATTCACTGTGTTACAGCGTTGAGTTATAACGCGAGACTCATTGACTGTGTTACAGCACTGAGTTATAACGTGAGACTCATTCACTGTGTTACAGCGTTGAGTTATAACGCGAGACTTATTCACTGTGCTACAGCGCTGAGTTATAACGCGAGACCCATTCACTGTGTTACAGCGCTGAGTTATAACGTGAGACTCATTCACTGTGTTACAGCGCTGAGTTATAACGCGAGACTTATTCACTGTGTTACAGCGCTGAGTTCTAACGCGAGACTCACTGACTGTGTTACAGCGTTGAGTTATAACGTGAGACTCATTCACTGTGTTACAGCGTTGAGTTCTAACGCGAGACTTATTCACTGCGTTGCAGCGCTGAGTTCTAACGCGACACTCATTCACTGTGTTACAGCGCTGAGTTATAACGCGAGACTCATTGACTGTGTTACAGCGCTGAGTTATAACGTGAGACTCATTCACTGTGTTACAGCGTTGAGTTCTAACGCGAGACTTATTCACTGTGTTACAGCATTGAGTTATAACGCGAGACTCATTGACTGTGTTACAGCGCTGAGTTATGACGTGAGACTCATTCACTGTGTTACAGCGTTGAGTTCTAACGCGAGACTTATTCACTGTGTTACAGCGTTGAGTTCTAACGCGAGACTTATTCACTGCGTTGTAGCGCTGAGTTCTAACGCGACACTCATTCACTGTGTTACAGCGCTGAGTTCTAACGCGAGACTCATTGACTGTGTTACAGCGCTGAGTTATAACGTGAGACTCATTGACTGTGTTGCAGCGCTGAGTTATAACGCGAGACTCATTGACTGTGTTACAGCGCTGAGTTATAACGCGAGACTCATTCACTGTGTTACAGCGTTGAGTTATAACGCGAGACTCATTGACTGTGTTACAGCGCTGAGTTATAACGCGAGACTTATTCACTGTGTTACAGCGCTGAGTTACAATGCGAGACTCATTCACTGTGTTACAGCGCTGAGTTCTAACGCGAGACTCACTGACTGTGTTACAGCGTTGAGTTATAACGCGAGACTCATTCACTGTGTTACAGCGCTGAGTTATAACGCGAGACTCACTGACTGTGTTGCAGCGCTGAGTTATAACGCGAGACTCACTGACTGTGTTACAGCGCTGAGTTCTAACGCGAGACTCATTCACTGTGTTACAGCGCTGAGTTACAATGCGAGACTCATTCACTGTGTTACAGCGCTGAGTTATAACGTGAGACTCACTGACTGTGTTACAGCGCTGAGTTATAACGCGAGACTCATGCACTGTGTTGCAGCGCTGAGTTCTAACGCGAGACTCATTCACTGTTACAGAGCTGAGTTATAACGCGAGACTCATTCACTGTGTTACAGCGCTGCGTTGTAACGCGAGACTCATTCACTGTGTTACAGCGCTGAGTTCTAACGCGAGACTTATTCACTGTGTTACAGCGCTGAGTTATAACGCGAGACTCATTCATTGTGTTACAGCGCTGAGTTATAACGTGAGACTCATTCACTGTTACAGAGCTGAGTTATAACGCGAGACTCATTCACTGTGTTACAGCGCTGAGTTATAACGCGAGACTCATTCATTGTGTTACAGCACTGAGTTGTAACGCGACACTCATTCACGGTTACAGAGCTGAGTTATAACGCGAGAATCATTCACTGTGTTACAGCGCTGAGTTATAACGCGAGACTCATTCAGTGTTACAGCGCTGAGTTATAACGCGAGACTCATTCACTGTGTTACAGCGCTGAGTTATAACGCGAGACTCATTCACTGTGTTACAGCGCTGAGTTATAACGCGAGACTCATTCATTGTGTTACAGCACTGAGTTGTAACGCGACACTCATTCACGGTTACAGAGCTGAGTTATAACGCGAGAATCATTCACTGTGTTACAGCGCTGAGTTATAACGCGAGACTCATTCAGTGTTACAGCGCTGAGTTATAACGCGAGACTCATTCACTGTGTTACAGCGCTGAGTTATAACGCGAGACTCATTCACTGTGTTACAGCGCTGCGTTATATCGCGATACTCATTCAGTGTTACAGCGCTGCGTTATATCGCGATACTCATTGACCGTGTTACAACGCTGCGTTTTAACGCCGGCACGTGTCGTGTTAATCACGTTCATCGTGCGTTATACCCCGTTACAAAAGTATGTGATGATAATCATCAACAGCCGTCATCAATCTACTGTTAGATGGTCTCCCCACGCGTACAGGTGTCAAGCGCCGGTGAGTTATAACAGCCGACAGCTAGCTTCACGTTGCATCACGGACATTCCCAGCAGCAGCCAGGATCAATCCACTGTTGGATGAAGGCCTTTCCCACGTACGCACGCGCGTTATAGCGCTGGTGAGCGGAGTTCCAACGCGGAAGCGCGCTGCGTCAAGGCAAATGCGCGCGCCTCGTTGGCCAGGTAAACGCAGGTGAAACGGCATGACCGACCTCGATGGAGCTTTGACTCCACCATTCCTCTATCTCACTCTCACTCACTCACCATTGTCACAGCTGCTCCTGCTTTTGATGCGGCTTGATGATGATGATGAGGCAGGAGTTGATGATGATGATGGTGGTGATGATGATGATGTGGTTACTGGGGGAGGGCTGGCCGTGTCCGGCTGCTGTCTGAGAGAGGTTTCCGGGGAGGGCTTTGACCTTTGTGGGGGGTGGCACCCGAGGTAGGGTCCGCCCCGCAGGGGCTCACCTTCACCTGGCAGTCCTATCATCCTCCTCCTTCATCCATTAGCTCCCCTTCCTTATCCTCCTCCATCTCATCAAACCTCATTATGCTAATTAAAATCCTTCTCACCATTACCATCACCATCTACTTCAGCAGATGTGTGTGTGGCTTCGTATGAATATCATGCCATAGAATTCCATCCAATCACAATTATAATCGGTTAACGGCTGTAAAAAAAAATGCAGTGTGTAAGTCTCAACATAAGAGGCTGGCAGTGGTCACCATCAATGAGAAAGTTCCCTTTGGAACATGGCAAGTTACTCAAATCACTTCAATTTGAATTCCATAAGCTGAGTTATTTTCCTATTTAATGAAAACAAGGGTGTACATTGTGCAGGCACGAGGCGAGTAACGATGCATCGATTAATGGATTACAACAGAATTCGTAACCGCGTACGATGCCCTTTAAACAATTGCATGTGTACGGGTCTCCGAAGGCCTCCTTAATCAAATAAACAGCCCTGTCGTGTGATAGCTGTCAGGGGAAGGCGCACCGGCTTGGTCTTTTTCTCGTAAGGGGCCGTCCATAAATGACGTCATGCACCTAGAGGGGGGGGGGTTGAGAAATGTGACGTCACATAAAAATGCGCAACTTTAAATAAATATAGACTACACGTTCTACTTAATTAAATCGACTTTTTAATAAATGTTTTTTCCTACAACATCAGAGTGCAGTGCCACATTAAAATGACAATAGTTTAAAGCGATTTGAAGCATGTTTTATTTGTGGGCGGGGGGGGGGGGCAGAGCTTTGTGACGTCGTATTTGAGGGGGGGGGGTCAAAAATCGTCCAAAATCGCGTGACGTCATTTACTGACGGCCCCTAATTCCAGATCAACAACTTACAATTTCACATTGAGGTGGTCAAGCCAGAAGAAATCCGCGTCAGCAGGAGCGGAGTTCACCGCTGTGCGAAATATCATTGCCATGGAATCCCCCAGCCAGTGGGTCGCCTTGCTTTAGGGCAGGGGTGGGGAACGTCCGGCCCGCGGGCCGTATGAGGCCCTCGAAATCATTTGGGTCTCTGTTCCCTGCCAAGGCAATCGCAGGCGGAACTCGAAATTCAACAAATCTAGGAGAGCAAAAGCTGGAAAAGCAGCTGCGAGTAGCAACAACATCGTCAATAGCCAGCTAACATCATCACCACGCCTCGCCAACGAGAAGCAGTGCCAGCCCATCGCATTAGGGGCGAGTTAATTAAATGTTTGACCAAATATAACAGGCCAATTTTTAGGTTGATAATTTTTTATGGCCCGCGAATGATGTTTTAAATATCCAAATGGCCCTTGGCAGAGAAAAAGGTTCCCCGCCCCTGGTTTAGGGGATTCTAAGGGAAAACGAAGAACGGCTGGAGACGCCTCACGGGGAAGGGAGATGTTTGGTAAGGACAAGGAGAACCGAGTGAACCTTCCGGGAAGGTTCTAGAAGAAAGACGGGAAGAATGGGATGTGAAGGAGGACGAGAGACTGTCCCGTTTTTGATGTGAACTTCCCACGAGAGTGAGAAAATCGTTTAAATAAAACGTGCCCTTACCTGAATGTCACGTGTGTGGACTCACTTTCATATTCCCATTCGCAGCGTGGCTGTGTCCACTGTGCCGGTGGTGTCAGTTACACAACACCGCACCCGTGTGCTCTGTATCGGGTTAATCCTCAATATATCAAACAACGCCGACAGCTGTTTGTGGCTATAATTACAAGTGCTTTAATTAAAGGAAATCGACATCCGACCTGCACAATGTACCGGTCCCGTACTCTAGGTCAGGTCCATCATCAGCCATGTTCCATCCACTGTTGCATGTAGGCCTATTTTACAGGGGGTTTTTTGGTTTAGATCGCGTCAATATAAATGTGTCGTTAAACCCGCCACCACCCGACGCAGCCAATTAGGTTTGTGACGTTAACAGAACGTGGCAATGCGTTACGAGACACCACACCGGTGTGTTGGAGAGAAAATCCACAACATTTACAATCTGAGTACAACGTTGTACTCACATTGTAAATTGAAACGTCGTACTCAGATTGTAAATGTTGTGGATTTGTTCTCCAACACACCGGTGCGCTTGCACCAGTAACGAATTGGCACGTCCTGTTTACGTGACAACCCTTACTAATTGGCTGTGTCGGGTGGTGGAGGGTTTAGCGACACATTTATATTGACGAAATCTAACCCAAAAAAACCCCTGTATTATGGATGATATCAATTGCGAAAGCCTACGTGTTAAACTATAAACTATATTCTTTGGTTCTTTCGGTAAAGTCAAGTAGGTAGAAATAAAATAAAACGTGACTTTACCGAAAGAACCAGTAAAGTCGCGAAGGTAGAAATAAAAGGAAATAAAACACGTGACTTTACCGAAAGAACCAAAGAGTATGGATTCCTGCAGTCACGAAAGCTTCAACTTAAGATTATAAACTATATTATGTTTTATTTTAACAGGTAAGGCCCACTGAGCTATATAACTCTTTTTAACATGTAGGCTTTCGCGACCAATATTATTCATAATAAAGGTAAGCGAGGGCTTTACCATTCTGGCGAATTGCCCGATGATGCTGGATGTATTTACCAGCGAAACGTCGTACTCAAACTGTAAATGTGGATTCACTCTTCAACACACCGGTGGGCTAAAGTAGTGAATTATTTGTCTTTTTTGTCAACGTGACACTTTTTTTTGCTGATTGGCCGTGTCGGGTGGTGGAGGGTTACGACACATTTATAAATAAACGCGATCTAACCCAAAAACCTTTATTATGAATAACTCTTTTTGTTTGTTTGTTGTGGTTGCACCCAATTCAAGAGCCGAATGGCTCACAGGGCTATACCAAAATAAATAAAACTGAAACTGAACTAAAGAAGCGAGCTGGCCACAGACACCTATTCAGACTTGCCTACCCATAAAATCGATTTTAATATTTGTTCAACTGTCTTCGTTACTTTTCACCTATTTTATTAATGTTTATTTACGACTTACCTTTCTCGTGCCACTCGTTCAGTCGTTGTCAGCCGCTGAGGTCGTGACGGGTCTAAATTTTAATTCCTCTTGCTCTGTTGCCCCCCCCCTCCCTCCCCCCAGTCGCATTCCCCCGTTCCGCTGTAATGTGCAGGGTGGTCCAGATTTCTTGTGACCCCCCCCCCCCCCATTTAATTATCTATAACTTAATTTATGTTTGTTTAAAGTGAGATTTATTTAAAACATAAATTAATATGCAAAGGGCACAAAATGTCAGGTGTCAATTAAGCTTGGGAATTGACGACTAAATTTGAACTTATATCTTGACTTAAAGCTTTCGTGACAGCAGGAATGCATATTCTATGAGAAGAAGATTGCTTGTGTTGCGATCGCAACGTCGTGATATTAAAAAATATATATATATATACGTGGCTCTACCGAAAGACCCATAGAATATATTTGAACATACATGTTTTGTTTATCTTCCTAGACTGGTATGCAGGCGGTCCGGGGTTCGATCCCGACCCTGACGCCTGCTGTATAATTTGGAGTTTGCGTGTCTCTCACTCTCTCATAATCATCACGGTGGCTAGGAGATGTTAACTACCTCGCCTGGTATACAGGAGGTCGTGGGTTCGATCCCGACTGACGATGCCTGCTGTATAATTTGGAGTTTGCGTGTCTCTCTCTCATCATCACGGTGGCTCGGAGATGTTAACTACCTCGCCTGGTATACAGGAGGTTGTGGGTTCGATCCCAACCCTGACGCCTAGCTGTATAATTTGGAGTTTGCAGTGTGGGTTTTTTGTCCGAGTCCTCCAATTTATACCCTCCCCATTTAGAAACATTCATTGAGATTATTTAGATAATTTTGCTGTTATTAATGTCTAAATTGTAAGACTACTTTGTTGAGCTGTCATTTGTGGCCAGGTTGCTTCTGAACAATAAGTTAATATCTCAGTGGGCTTAGCCTGGTAAGATGGGGATGGTTTAGTTTTATTTGTGTGTGTTTGGGTGAATTGTTTACCTTTCTTGTACTTTGCACTGCTATCATGTTTTTGTACAGTTTGTTGTTGTAAACGTTCTTAACCGCCCCCTACTGGACGCCTGTAAAAAAGAGCTTTATAGCTCATCGGATTCCTCCAGTATAAATACATATTCTGATGCTGATAAATTTGGGGTCACAAGACATCTAGGCAACCACGTACACTGATGCCTACTTTATTGAGGCCGGTATTGGCACTCAAAATAACGATTCATTGATTTCAGCCTCTCTGCACACGAAGCTGAATTCGCTTCCCAGACTTCTTCCGTCCTTTGGCTGCCACTCCGTGGTGAGTCTCGACCATCGCCTATTGTCCCTTCTGGCCATGACGTGCCCTGCCCAAGCACCCCCCCCCCTCGGCTTTTCTTCAACACTCAATATAATTACGTGGTGAAGTATGGCCAAATTAACCTTTATTACTCAATATAATGCCTCTCTCTCTTACGAATATTCTCTGATCCACGTGTTCCTCCTCTCATGGTTTCACATTTGTTATACGTGTAATATTATATTTGTTGGAATTTTACTTATGTTATGGCATGTTTTTTTCTGGTATCTATAAAATCGGAGTGGTGGCGCAGTGATCAGTGCACTGCACTCTGAGATAATCGATTCTGGGCCACGACTAACATCAGTAGCGCGTGGTGATATCCGAACCGGGACCTGGGCCAGCTTCAACCAATCCACACTGAACAATCGTGGTGAAGTATGGCCAAATTAACCCTAACCCCCCCACACACACACATCGTGGGGTGGTCCTCATCCAGCAGTGGCTTGACAACGAGCTGCACTGGATGTTGTGTCACTGATCAAACACTCGCGTGTAGCCACGTGCTGACGTCTGTGTGCCAACTCTAGCGTGCCGGTGGCGGGGTGGGGGTGCTAAATGATCTATGAGCCAGTTTCATAGTTTAATTTATTTGGTATAGCCCTTGCTGTACATATTAACAACACACACACACACACCTCAACACATTAGCCATAACACTGTGACGTTTCGTGCAATGGCCCTTCTTCAGAGGCCATCAAAGAATAGTAGTGTTCATCATTGGAAACCTCATTTGCCAGTAACAAAATATGATCATTGTTTTTTTACCCTTTTATCTGGCAACAAAAGGACAGTGCCACATACATTATCAGAGTTGTTGTTTTTAGTTTGCGTTCCGACCACAGGTATTGTGGTCAATGTAAACATGACTCCTTGTAAAAAAAGGTGTCAGTTTTGTTGCCAGATAAAAGGGTAAATTTTTTTATTATATTTTGTTACTGGCAAATGAGGTTTCCAATGGTGTATATGCTTACCCTGAGCTCTCATACTCTGGTGGTGCATTGTCTTTGAGTTGTGCGCCTTTTGGCGTCTTCTGGTCCAACACCATGTGAGACGAGGCTCTAAAGAAAGCTGTCTCGGGTGTGGACCAATCAATTTCAAGGACAGTGCCACATACATTATCAGAGTTGTTGATGTTTTGTTTGCGTTCCGTCCGCAGGTATTGTGGTCAATGTAAACATGACTCCTTGTAAAAAAAAGGTGTCAGTTTTGTTGCCAGAGTAGTGTTCATGTTAAGACGGTAATATTGATGAACGTGTTGACTAACGTCTCTACTCGGAAATCCCCACCGCCAACGCGGCAACAGCTTTAACACGCGGGATTTCGTGACCAACATGATTAATAATTAATACAGCATGTATATCTCATTTATATGACCCCCAAAAAGAAAATATGACAAAAAATAATACGTGTTTTAATATGAGAGAGCGCCCCGAGGTGCAGGTAGGGCTAAAGCTTGAGAGAGATCGTGTTCTTGCCCGAAAGGCTGCGTTTAATTGCTACTATGTCAACATACAAGTACTTTGGGACCGTCCATAAATGACGTCACGCGATTTTGAACGATTTTTGACCCCCCCCCCCATCGTCACACGGCGTCACAAAAAGTCAGACCCCCCCTCAAATATGACGTCACAAAGCCATGCCACCCCCCCCCCCCCAAAGAAAAAATCAAACATGGTTCAAATTGCTTTAAACTATTGTCATTGTAGTGCGTATTTAATGTGGCGCTGCACTCTGATGTTGTAGGTGAAACTATTTAAAACTATATTTAATTAAGTAGAACGTGTTGTCTATATTTATGTAAAGTTGCGCATTTTGATGTGACGTCACATTTCTCAAACCCCCCCTTCGTCACACATGGTCACAAATGTCTGACCCCCCCTATGTACGTGACGTTATTTATGGACGGCCCCTTACACGTGTGACGAGGTATACATTTTTTTATTATTTTAGTTCAAAAACAGCCTCTCGAAAAGTTGCCCTATTTCGGGTCATCCCCTAGGGGGCCGTCCATAAATGACGTCACGCACCTAGGGGTGGGAGGGGGTCAGACATTTGTGACGATGTGTGACGAGGGGGGGGGGGGTGAGAAATGTGACGTCACATCAAAATGCGAAACTTTAAACAAATATAGACAACACGTTTTACTTAATAAATGTTTTCTCCTACAACATCAGAGTGCAGTCCAACGTTAAATACGCACTACAATGACAATAGTTTAAAGCGATTTGAAGCATGTTTTATTTGGGGGGGGGGGGGGGGGGGCAGAGCTTTGTGACGTCACAATGAATGAATGATCGTCTAATCTAGGCACGCTTCGTCGTCGATTTTCACTTTCGGTCGGTTTGTCAATTCCACTGCTGGTCGAGGGGTATCTTCACGCCGCTTCATAGCTCATCGGATTCCTCCGGGTTACGTAACGATCTGACGCGGGGTTGTTTGACCATACTTCACCACGCTGGTCGTCAGGTGCTGGTTTTGTAGGAAAGGGGTTCGGTCAATTGACTCGCAACTGTGAGCCGTGGCCAGAGAATCGAATTCAGTTCGGCTGGTTTGTGCACGGTGCGGTCAATTTTATAACCAACATTCACAATGAAACATTAATATAGCACAACGTTAACTGTAGAAATAGCGAAACGATCACGTGTTCATGGATCGGTTGCAACGACAAAAAAACCCACTTGGAGTGTCACAAATTCTCTCAGCTAACATTTAAATCAGTGTTTAAGAGATATGCATACCTATCAACCCGTTATCAGTGCCCTACCATATTACAAACTCAGATCTTATTGGTCACCCCGTGACCTTATAAATGTCGACGTTCATCCTACAAAGGCCCATCACAAGAGAGAAACACAGACAAATTATGTTTTTTTGTGGCCGTAATGAAACGGCTATGCATCGTATGGACCTGAAAACTCAATTGCCCTGTAGGAGAATACAGGAAAAACCACGGTATGGCTATGTTCACTTAAGATGTGTTTTTAAAATGAAATTGGCGACCAATCTCTTGGTGAGTTTTCACGATTTAAACCAAAAACTGTCAATCAACCCCCAGCCCCCCATGCAAGATGGCGCTGAGTTTTACACATCGATGTGACGTCATGTCCTTTCAAAATCATCGCCTTCCAAAATGGTGGAGTCCGTCTGTGGGAAGGCGGTGATGACGTCACCATTGGTTCGCTCCCTCCCCTCCACTGCGAAGTTGAGGGGGGGAGGAGTTGCGCTTATCAGACCCCCCCCCTTCTCTTGCAATGTGCCCAACGCCCATTGGTCGAGAGGCGCGTGCCTGTCCCGTCGGGGGCTGGGCTATTACGGAGGTGGGGCAGAGCGAGGCGGGGCGAGTTGGTGGCGGGGGGCGGGGTTACTGACATGGGTACGGAGCTGTTCCGACAAGAGGGCGGGATTAGATGGCTAAAAGGGGCGGGGGTTACGCGATCAGAGGGCGGAGTTATTGATAAAGAGGGCGGGGGCCGTCTGTAAAGGGAGGCGGAGTTACTTGGGGGAAAGGGGGCGGTAACGAAGGCGTGTCCACAATTTGCCGGCATCGTCCGTTCTTTTGTTGGAGGAAGTCCCTGGGCCTTTTGCGAGCAGCAGTTTTATTCGTGTCCCCTCTCTGACACAAAGGGTACAAGGCTCCGTCCGCGCCCGTGTGTGGGTATCTCTCTTAAGCCGCTACAGTCTTGCTGCAACAACCACTCCAGCGGTCGCCGTGCAATTTACTCGGCCCGCCGGTGCCTTGCTTAAATCTTCGGCTGCTATATCGCTTTGGTGTGTTGGCTCATCTCTTCGGGGCCTATATAAGAGACGGAACAGTGCCCCCCCCCCTCTCCCTTCAGCTCGCTATTGAATGCTTGCCGGGGTTTCTTGCTCGACTCCTCTCACCCCGTGTCCTCTTCGCCTCTGCTGCTGCTCCTGCTTCTACTGAACTCTGCGACAATGGACGCTGTGCTACCTGCGGGTAGCGAGGCCCCCCCTGCCTTTGGCTGGTGAGAGATGGCGTCCGTGTGGTTTGTGTTGGCCGCAACAACGAGTTGAGTTGTTGCGGTGAGTGGAGGTGGGCACACGGTCTGCAGGTGGTACATTCGGTTGAGCGCGTACAACCACCTGGGTTAATCCACTGCTGGATTGTGGCCCTCTCTTTCACCCACGACACGCCACGTGGATCGTAGGATTTGTGTTTGTATGAACCCATACTTCACCGCGCTTGTCAATGTTTAATGATTAGCACTGTTCGTATATTTGCACGTTTGTAGAAGCCACTTTTGGCAATCCATCGCGAGACGAGGACCTTTCCTCCCTACGTTGTTTAGGATTATTTTAATTCGACCATACTTCACCGGGCTGGTTCGTGTGAGGGTTGAGGCATAGACGTGGCAGCATAGAAAGTACTGTACAACAACGGGTGTGTTGCTGGACTGCCAACAACGTAGCACCAGAGCTGCCTAATTATTTCGATGCGAAACCGATGGTTGGTTAATTCCACGTTAACGTGACGGGAGCCGGTCCATCCATTGGGCCGACGATTTTTGAGCAATGAAATGGGTAATTATTTTTAATGATTTATAGCAATGTGTTTCGTTTTAACATAGGTTGCGGTACTCTATTTTTTAACTATTGGAAATGGGTGTAGTAGTTAATTTATCGAACCCCTAAGATGACGTTGATACTTTAACTGCATTTAAATTGTCGCGTTGTGCTACTTATGTTATCGCCCCCCCCCCCCCTTGATAATGTATTACATACTAATATAATGTATTCTGATCAAAAGTAAAGATTATCATTAAGCACTATCAATGTTGTACCGCCCTGAAGATTGACGTTTTGGTGCCATCACTGTTTTACCAAGTTTAGTACAGTACTCTTGAAGTAGTGCTCTATTTACCTCCTCCTGAGACTACGATCGTTAACAATTGTAACGCAAAGTGAGGAATTGTTTAGGGACAATGTGTCCCCCTTCTTTTTAAAATACAGTAGTCCAGTGTGAGTTTAAAAAAAACGTGACGTTGCAACAACCAAAAAAACACCACAGTTCAACCCTCAAAGTATAACAACACAGCACCACCGTTTCATGACAGCGTGGTCTTTGGGGGTGCTCGGTTAACAGAAGAATTTCGCTTCTGCGTTTGACCGAGGACTCTTTGTGGTAGTAGTTTTTAAATCCTTCTGGGTTCTTTCGGTAAAGTCACGTAGAATGGAGATACAATAATAATAACAATAAAATTCCCACTTATTATTTTTATTGTTTAATCTCCATTCTACGTGACTTTACCGAAAGAACCCAGAAGATGAATTCCCTGCAGTCACGAAAGCTTTAAATCGAAATTTAGTTTTTAAATGTACATAGTGACGTGGTGGGCCCCTCCATTGTCGCCCCGCCCCCATTGTCGTTTAAATCCACGACCGTTGGTGACGTCACGCGCGCCATGTGGGCCTCGCTTGGCCGTGCCAAGAGGCAGGAAGGGGCCTTCCGACCATGCCGATTATAAACTTAAACTCCTACCCCCCCACCTGAGCTATGTAGCTCTTAAATTTCGATTGAAAGCTTTCGTGACTGCAAGAATTCATCTTCTTTCGGTAAAGTCATGTAGAATGAGAATAAAATAATAAATTGATCAAATAGAATAACACAATAAAATTCTCACGACGTTTCGGTCACAACACAAGCGGCCTTCATCAGGTGAAGGTACGAGACTGTCTGGAGGACAGACGAGACTGGAGGACAGTCTCGTCTCTTCACCTGATGAAGGCCGCTTGTGTTGTGACCGAAACGTCGTGAGAATATTGTGTTATTTTATCAATGTATTATGTAGCTCTTTTTCAGAAGCGACCTGGTTATCGCAGGTCGCTTCTGAAAACGTAGATGGCTTATCACGTGAAATTTGTTGTTATAGCAGCCGAATGTTCGATCTAAATGTGGAGGGAGGGGGGAAGCTGATGACCCGGAGCAAAAATCCACGCGACCACGAGGAGAACATGCTAATTACAATGCAGATTATATTGCGATTACGAATTACACTGCCCATTGTCAATTACGTCCTCCCCAACGTTCGGACGTTGAACTGGTTTTAGTGGAATTAAGAGACTCAAGTTGGTTGGACTGGATAAATAGCCAATAGGGTGCGTAGTAACAGTTGCGGCTTTACATTGCGATGGCCAATTACGCATTGAAAATTATAAAAGATCTGGCCGTTTAACTGGTTTAGTAAAAACCATGTAGCTGAACTGGCTTGGTGAAGCAAGAACCAGCCTCTCTTCACTCTGAACATGTATAGCAGCTTTTTTTCAGCTGGGATTACAATTACGGTACATTGTGATTAAGAATTACAATGACGGCAGCGTTGTTAGCTGGGATTGTCCATTACATTGTGATTATCACCTACACAATTGGAATTGAAAATGACTCCCAACAGTGGCTGTTGAACTGGTTTAGTCAAATCAAGTGGTTTATCTGGCTTAGTAAAAGTCTAGTTCACTACCATTGCAGCAACATGAGCTCGGATTACAATTACATTCTGATGGCAGCGAGAGCTGGATCAGATCAGTAACATTTGAGCGAGGTTTGCCCGCTTAAAATAAATGCGGGTTGACATTTGTATCGGGCTCTCTAGGCTTATGCATCTGAAAACACGACTCTATTTTCCGTTTAAGTGGATGTGAATGACACGTGAGCTTATTCATCATTATATTACTCATACCACTCCGTTGTAGATTAGTCGCCTCTCACACCACGTTTTGTTCTTTGATGTGGAAATTTACTGCACAGTGTTTATACCTAACGACCCAATTCCACGTGGCGGAGAACTTAACCGACTTGGTTTAACCAATTTGACCATTGGAAACTAGGTTAAACTATTTCCCAAATACTTGCCAATTTGAAACCATCTCAAGGAAGTACTGCAGTTTAAAGGGTTTTCATTCCGGTTGTACCGAACCAGTGCGGTTAAGTTAAAATTTGCCACTTTTTTAAATTTGTACGTTGCAGGCATTGTAATGGGTTCAAGTCTTTCTGGAGCTACCATTCACCGAAGCGTTAACTTGGCGATTGTTGAAAAGCAACTCTGAATCGTGACAATTGGGGTTGGGGAGGCCATCATTATTTGTCATGACGACAATGATCGCGAATGTAAGACTTTTCTTTCGGTTAACGAATCGTTGCATCCCTCGTAATTAATTATATTCCATGTACGTGTAGAAGCCGTGGGGGCATTTGAAGGGAGCGGGTGCCAGATGGCTCTCCATGTGACAAACATAACTTCTGAATGCCCCTGCCATCTCCTGCCCCCCCCCCCACTGCCCCCTGAGCTAATTAATATTGATTAGAGCGCCTCTCATTATGTAACCCTCGGGGGCGGGGCATGGTGCTGATTCATTCATTGACTAAAATCGATTCTTCCATTCGACGTACATGCATAGAATTACTCTGGTTCTTTCGGTAAATTAAATAATAGAGAACGACGTTTCGATTGCAACACAAGCAACTGTCATCAGGTACAACTAAATTTGAGATAATTGTTCCATGAGAAACATTTTTTAAAGATGTCTGCACATATAAATATTAATTTACGTAATATGCCCTTCAATCAAATTGCCTTCAATGTCGCCCGATCTTGTTGCATCGAGCAAGCCGAGCAGTGATGAGTCTGGTTAGTACTTGGATTGGGTGACCGCCAGGACTTTCCAGGTGTTGTGGGAATACAGCAACGAGGTGTCTAGGAAATGGTGTTGCTTGAGTGTCTCTACCCCAACTCCCCTCCTCGCTTGCATGGTGGGTTTTCTCTGGCTTCCTCCCACATGCAGCCTTATTAATTGTATTTGACACGTACAGCCACACACATTAAGTAGAGATTTTCATGAAGTTCGCTAAGAACTAAAATCTAACTCGTGTAAGTGAATTGGTCAACCACCCGCTGGAGCACCATCAAAGAGCCTTGAGGCTCAGAAGGACTTTCATGTACGAGTACCGTGCATGCGGGCTATATGCGGGAAAATACGGCAATTAACATGTACATTTGGCGCAATATTAGGTCATAGAATGACCGAGATGGAGCAAACAAGACGCACAACATACAAGACTAACAATACAAATGAGATGCCATAAATGGGACGAAAATTTTGATTTTCAAATTACGACCCTCGAATGGTGGCAATTCGTATTAATCGCCATGCATTGCTGAATCCTTTCCATCCTAAGCAACCAGAGTCCATTCATTAATATTCGTGATGTGTGCCGTTATGCCACAAATTATATTCTTCCTCATTAAAATTAATGCCTTAGACACATCCAAAGATATTGCATCAAATTACTAAGCATGTGGTGTCAATGGTTGCATCCTTGACTAGAAGCCAAAATGAAGTAACCGCATGATAGAGGCAGTGTCGTGGATAGTTTACCGCACTGAGCCTGCCGATTTAAGTTTGATTCCCAGCCATGGCTAACATCAGCAATGAGTGATATTTGAACTGATCCTATGCTTCCTTCCCACCTTTCCCAACACACATTGACCAGTGTGAAATATGGTCAAACCTCATTGAAAAATTGCTATGGGGAGGCCTTTCTCTAGCAGATTGACAGGACAGTAGATTTTGTGTTCGTATATATGATCGACGTCCTACATGGAGAAAATACTGCATATTTCAAACATAAGTGGACTCAACCATCGATGAAGCCATGCACTTATTGTCATACGAATCCAAATTCCAAATTGCTGACTTACATTTAACAAGCCACTTATTCCGAAGTTCTGTGCACGTCTCCTTAATCGCGTTCTCTCCTTTAGCTGCCACTATCGTTGGTCTCGGCTGCTGGCCATCCCTTAACGATGTTCCCTGCCCAAGTCCGCCTGCTTTTCTTATCTGTCGATAAGCGTACGTTCGCCAATCAAATTTTTTCGGTGTAATTCCTCCAGTTTGCCTCTCCATGCTTATTTGTGCTTTCAATTTTTGCTCCATTTCTTTAGTCTGTTTCCCTGTTTCCAATACGAACCTTAGGTAATTTACACCGATTAAAAACGAAACTGTGCATTTGCTCTCTGTTTTCGGATTGTGCCGTATATGTGGCATGTCCACTGTTTCATGCCACGTGCAGGGAGTCATCTTCTTGGTTCTTTCGGTAGAGTCACGTAGAATGGAAATAAAATAATAAAAATAAAGCAATAAAATAAAAAATGTTTTATTTTTATTATTTTATTTCCATTCTACGTGACTTTACCGAAAGAACCAAGCAGATGAATCCCTGCAGTCACGAAAGCTTTAAATCGAAATGTGCAGGGAGCTTCAGTCAGAAGCAATAAGCTCTGTTCCTCAACAAGCTCCCAGCAGGTGGAGCGAAACGTTGGACACATGCCGATTAATCGCACGGTACAACCCAAAAACACATTGGAGCTACGCGCGGCACAAATGCGAACACCTACGCGGTAAATAAGCACGCTTTGCTCATGCATTTTTTGTACTGCTCCCACAGGCTAAACGCAGCGGACCCGCAGGTGTTGCAGATGCAGTACCAGCGACTGCTGGCGGCCGGCATGAGCCATCACGCCGCTGGCTCCCTCGTGTGGAGCGGCCAGCACTCGCCGGAGTCTCCGCACGGAGAAGACCAACCAGCGCACCAACCGGCTTACACGCAACTACAGAACGCGCAGCCGGCGCATTGCCCGGACTTTGCCGGGCGGCCACAAGCCGAAGGCACCCTTCCCGAGCCGGCCAACCCCGTTCCTGGTGAGGCCTTGCCATGTGACTTCGACTAAGAGGGCGCTTGATGAGACGATAACGGGTACAGTTTTTATTCGTAACATGCAGTGCAGGTCGTGGGGGTTGATCTTGCTTCGCCACGCTGAACAGGGTAGGTAGGTTAAGGTGCAGAGCCTAAATGGAGCATAGTACAGCACAAGAATACATTTTGTTGCACGACTTACAGCACAGCCCCGCAGCAGCCTACAACACCTGTTTTGTGCTTGACAGTCACTCCCACCACTGTTCATTTTCCTGTATTTGACAAAATTAGGGTCATTCACTGATTTCGTCATAGGCATTTCATGCAATAATATTATACACAGGTGATGGATCATTGCTGGTGGTGATTATTATTCATGGATTAGCTTACACATGGACCAACCAATTTGTGACCTTTTTCCAACATTGCAGGGGATCGCAGATGCAAGTTCAGATCCATTCTAATACTTTCTTTGCAGTCAACAACACCGTCTCATCTACTGCAGAGATGGAGTGGTGAAATTAGTTTGTATAGCTGCTTGTAGGATTTTTTTGCATCTTAGGAATGGGATAAATGTTGACGGTTTGGCGAGGTCTTCATCTAGCAGTGGATTTGTCATGGATGATGGCAATTCATGATCTAACATCGGTGTTCCCCAATTTAATGTAAATGCCACCTGCTGACGATAATTCATCATCGACGTCCCCTCGCGTGTGCCTTTCTTTAGCCGATGATTATGATGTTTTTGGTGTCAGTTGGCAGAGGACGCAAGAGGGCGGCTCCAAAGGAACCAAAAGCACCAAAGCCTCCGAAGGCGCCCAAGGAACCTAAACCCCCAAAGCCACCCAAGGAGCCCAAAGCACCAAAGCCCCCCAAGGAGCCCAAGCCCCCCAAGGAGCCCAAGCCCCCCAAGGAGCCCAAGCCCCCCAAGGAGCCGAAGCCGCCCAAGGAGAAGGGACGCCCAGGGAGGAAACCTGGCAGCGGCAAGCAGGAGAAGATCACGGACTCGTTTCAGAAGGTGAAGCGGAAGGTGGATCGATTCAACGGTGTCACGGAGGCGGAGCTACTGCTGAAGACTCTGCCAGACATCCTCACCTTCAACCTCGACATTGTCATTGTGAGAATTCCCACAAGTTCACTTCCTTGTGCTTCACAACAATCGTAGTCAGCGCTCACCACCCACCACCCTTTTCGGGCATTGAAGGTTAAATGTGGCAAAGCATTAAATCGTTATTTTACACCACTTTTCAACTGGCACATTGTAGCCATGCCAAGTTAGGCCGCTGGTGGACAGGATGTGCCATGTCTTTTTTCCCAATGCGGAAGCCAAGCTTGTGCTGCTGACATGAGTTGAGACACGTGTGGGTGACGTGTCCTCGGTGTACTGGCTGCTGTTGTCACGCTAATTATACGAGTCATTAAGTCTCACCCTGGTCTGGGCCCTGCTTTGCTCCAAACCGGATGCATATTAGCCAGTGTGTCACGGCTCGGCCCCGCCAAATAGCCATGCTGTCTCAGCTCAGATGTGGCAGTGAAGAGGTATCAGGGGACACGGATGCATGGTAGATGTGGGGAAACTGATTGTTAATTCAATAGAGGATTTTGTGGCACTAAAAAAAATTGGTTAGATTATGCAAAAATGTTATTGAAGTTTCACTGTATTACAAAAGTAGGGAGTTAGGAAGGTTTGCATACGTGATAGCATACATGATCCCTGTGTGTTTTGTATGAATACAATGATGATGATGGTTGCTGCTTTTCTCTCTAGATTGGCATCAACCCTGGCCTGATGGCAGCCTATAAGGGGCATCACTACCCTGGACCAGGAAACCATTTCTGTAAGGACCGACCATTCACAACGCCAGCAACAAAACTACTTAATGTCTTTTGTTGTTGTTAAGCTCATTATTATGTGAATTGCTGTAATTGACGAAAAATACGTATTTCTAGCTTTGGTAAAATAGAAATGCCCTTAATTTATCCATAAAAGACAAACTGAGTCTTGAATCACAGGCGTGCCCTGAGATATATGGATAATGAACTGAATGAGTGTTTGGCTTGTGGGAGAAAATGGGAGCACCCAGAAATCCCACGTGTGAGTAATATTTGAAGATCCGCAGTTTTATTTAACCCACCTTGCAGGCCAAGCCTGAAGTACCTGGTATTCCCTGCTAGATTCCCATCCAAGTACAAACTGGGCTCAACTTCAGAGTTTTTTAGAGTTATGCTCTATTTTAGCCTTACTCTGGAATCTATGGGTTATGTAAAATCCCCTAATAATATAATAGGCATACTAACATAGATATAAACTCATCCCTAGTGTCTACCTATTTTCTTGCGCATCTGCTGTTTCTCCACAAGATCTTCCCAAGTTTGTTGTAGACCTAATTTACCATATCCTGTCTTTCTTTCTAGGGAAGTGCCTATTCCTGTCTGGACTCACAGACCAGCTTCTCAACCATCTCGATGACAAGTCTCTGCCAGAAAAATATGGCATTGGATTCACCAACATGGTGGAGCGGACCACGCCAGGCAGCAAAGATCTCAAAAGGTACGAGGCCCTGTTGCCCGCTTGCTCTGTGATTGATATCCGCTTCAGCGGGTCGTCCTCCCAACACGGCTGCTGCACCGAGAGAGCTGATTGGTTATTTCGTCTCGTGACGTGATGCCGATGGCACAATCTGGTGCTGACATTGAGATAAAAAAAAATTGCACGTATGGTCACTGGGTCTGTAAAACGGTCCACGTCCACCAGTACAACATCGAAAGCCGCCTCTCCGGCCAGTGGGAGGTGAGCGTGTTGTGACGTGCCATAGTAATTTGGGAAGCAACAGGGCCCTTGGCTTTGCAGCACAGGCCAAGTGGTAGTATACACTTCCCACAATACCAGTGAACTGTCACCCGCCATAGCTCACCGAACTGAAGACAATCTGTGTTGCGTTGTATCGATTATAATCGAATGTTACGCATGGTAGGTAGCCTTGTGTCGAATAGCAGAACTGATGCTGTTTACTAGATATGCGCTGCATATATAGTGTTCTTGTGATAAAACTGACATTCACCTGCATGTGTTTGCTGTGTCGTCTGAAGACCAGGAATTTCAGTGGTGGATCTTGCAGCTTGCCCCCCTGGGTTTTAAATTTACTGTTTTATTCGAATGAAAACGAGCAACTGTACGCCATTCTGGCCACAACATTACTCTTGTGTGCTGTGTAGACCTTCATAGGTCTCCCAAACATCACATTCTCCAACGAGCTATGTAAACTATATGGGGATCTTTGTCTAATTTGTGTGTATCTACTTTATAGAAAATGTGTCCCTGTGTGTGTGTATGTGTGCGTGTTTTGATTTCAGTAAGGAGATCAGGGAAGGAGGGAAGATTCTTTTGCAGAAGTTGCAGAAGTTCAAGCCGACTATCGCAGTCTTCAACGGCAAATGTAAGCGTCTGAAACTTCACCGGTGTGTAAAAAAAACACGCTCGTGTGACTCATGTTTATTTTGTTTAACCAGGTGGCAACTCCAAGAGACCAGGATTAATTTGCAGAAGTGACCCTTGATCACTAAAAAAAGACTTGTGTTGTACGAGTGAAGTTATTTTTTTACATTGCACGTGCATCAAATGTGAGTGCCACAAGATCATTATAAAATTGAGTTGATATTCTTGTTCTCCTCAGGCATTTTTGAAATTTTCTTCAAGGAAGTTTTTGGAGAGAAGATAAAAAATTTCCAGTTTGGTGAGCAACCAAACAAGATCCCTGAAACGGACATTGTGAGTTTGTGATCAGTTTATTTTGTTTGTCACGAGTGTATTACATGAGGGCAAGCGGACGCTGCTGCTACAGTTACTGTTCTGAGCTGTTCCTCAGCTCCGAAGTAGTTCATGCTAGGCTTTGATAAACCCACATGGCAACATTGCTTCCCTACTGGCAGACTATACCCGTCCGTGAATCATTGCGCCTTCAGATGAGCCTTGCGCTATAAGAAAGCTGTGAATACCGAACGTACTAATAGTTAAAATCGTTATTTTACGGGCTGTGCAACGTACACAACTGCTGAGAAATGGGATCTGCCCATCGAGGAACGTTGTAAAACCCACCGCGTGTGTGCATGCGCGTGTCTATCTCCGTGTGTGCATGTGTCTATCTGTCCGTGTGTTCCTCCGTCATGACGGCAGATCGTGTACGTGATGCCCTCGTCCAGCGCTCGCTGTGCCCAGTTCCCGCGCGCCCAGGACAAGGTTCACTTCTACATCAAGATGAAGGAGCTGAGGAACAGCACGAAGGGCGTCACACCCAATGAAGAGATCCAGGAGACGGAGTATACCTTCGACCTGCACAAGGCTAAAGGTGGTGCCCTTCTCCAGCTATGGCTTCCTGGGGTGATACAAGTATTTGGAAGCTGTGGTTTAGAAAAAAATAATTTAATATTTATTGTTGTTAAAAGGACCCTTTTTAGAAGTGGGTAGATTGCTGCCGTGGTGTAATGGTTCGCACATTGGACTTTAAAATCCAGAGGTCATCACGATCTATAGTCAGATAGCCCCGTAGGTGTCCACTGCACATTTCGTAATTAATTTTTCCACTTTCACCTGTCTTGTGCCAGAATAGTCCCCTGACTTACGACGGTCCCCGACTTACGATATTTCGATCTTACGATGGCGATACGACAAAATTGTAAAATATTTTAAATTTCGCGTGGCAGGCAAACGCAGCAGCGTACGAGGTACGATACTGTGCGTTGGGACGCTGCTGGGATGTAAGCGTCTCCCGCCTTGTGTGGTGATGCCTCACTCTCACCAGCGCTCGGGTTATCACAATACGATACGTTCAATGCATGTTGAAAGTTTTTTTTTTATATAGCAGATAGGATTGCTTCCTGAAAAAACTTTCTATTAAACTGCAGTTCATATAGGTAGGCTAAGATTTTACCTTGTTTTTTTACTTTACATTTTTTCTGTGCAATACAGTATTGTAATTAATAACTACATACAGTATATAGTTTCTACAGTACGGTACTGTAAATTGCTCTGTTTTGCTAAATTATCACCATTCTTTAAGACTCCTGGGTAGGCTAGGCCATCTTCGACTTACGATATTTTCGACTTACGATGGGGTCGTCGGAACGCATCTCCATCGTAAGTAGAGGACTACCTGTATGCGCAAGTAGTCCACATCTTTCTGGCACCAATCCCCCATAGTCGTCATTCTCTGTTGGGTCTTTCTCTCTTTTTAGTTCCTTCCATTTTTCAGAACAACACACTTTTAATTTCGATGTAGCTGGTTCAATCTCCTGGCTTGGAAGTTGAAACAATGGTGCAAGTATTTCAAATCCCAACCCTCCACCACGTTTATCCGATCAGCAGGGTGCGTGTGGTGGGGTAAAGTGCGGGTATTCAAATGTCTTGTACTATGCCTGACCAATGTGGAAGAGTAGGCCAAAATATCCTCGAGAGGCTGCCTGGTTCCCTATATTCAAGACCCTTCTGCCAGCAGTGGTGTAAACAAGGGAGTTGCAGAAAGCAGTGCAGCAACATCCATTGCTGTACCATACGTCTAAGCTCTGCCTTCAACCAACAGTGCCCTGCATTCATAATAAAGGTTGTTGGGTTAGATCGCGTTATTTATAAATGTGTCGTAACCCTCCACCACCCGGATTACTAACGTAGCATATAATCACAATAACACACATTACAACTGATTACTAATCAACAACTCATTACTGATCATAACCATTGACTGATTACCAATCGATTATATAATTACAATACCCCCCCCTCCGCCTAAAATCGCTGCACCTGAATACGTTAAATGATGACGTCACCCTGCTGCTCTATTTAAGACCGGGAGCAAGTGAGGGCTTTACCATTCTGGCGACTTGCCCGATGAAGCTGGATGTAATTACCAGCGAAACGTCGTACTAAAATTTTAAATGAAGTTGATTCACTCTTCAACACACCGGTGGGCTAAAGTAGTGAATTATTTGTCTTTTTGTCAATGTGACACATTTTTTACTGTTTGGCCGTGTCGGGTGGTGGAGGGTTACGACACATTTATAAATAACGCGATCTAACCCAAAAACCTTTATTATGAATAATATTGGTCGCGAAAGCCTACGTGTTAAAAAGGTGCCCTGCATGGTGACGTATCTTTAAATAACCCTCGCTACTCGCACTGTGTCGATCCAGCAGTAGATTGATAAAGGGCTGAACGTGTACATGTATGTACATGCAAAAGAGGTGTGTACTGACTTCCTTGGTTCGGCCTTGTGGCTCGCCTTTCACCGAGCTGGGTAGCATTTCACTAATGGGGGCCTGATGACGAACATTTTATGCCTGTGTGTTTGCAGAGGATGCCAAGTTGATGGCCATCAAGGAGGAGAAGCACGACCCAGGATACGACGCGGCTTACGGGGGAGCACCTAACGAGTCGGAACAGAGCACGTCCTGCAACTACGCTCAGCTTCAGCCAGGTACCACGAATGGCGCTCCATTAGTCGCCGAGCGAGCCGTGTGATCCACCACTTCATATTGCCATGTTAAATATACACGGACAAGGGATGAACAGTGGCGCAGTGGGTTAGTGCACCGCGCTATTAGCTTGGCGGCCATGACTTCGATTCATTGCCATGACTGATGTCGGCAGCGAGTAATATTTGGATTGATCCTGTGTGGATCCAGCGGTGGATTGACAAGGCTGATAATGTGCATGTAACGGCATGCGCAAAAGAGGTTCACACCTGGACAAAGCCACAGTGACCAGCACGGTGAGGTGTGTGTGGTCGAACAAACCTCAAGAACCAACACGGTCTGGAGTGGATTGACACTGCGTGCTGCAGCTTCTCCAATGCAGAGGGTTACATTGAAAGCACTGGTGTTGCTTCGAGGGAAAATTGCCCTCTTGCAAATCTGCCACGTTGCTCAAAGCGGCTACCCAACACTTGGAGAGACAAACCTGGGCACAAAGGACTCTATGCAATTACGTAAACGTATTTTGCCCTGCCAGCTGTCGGCCTCCTTACTATTTTTTACTACTATAATGAGCCAAGAATGTCTGTCCTGCGCGTGACGTCACTCCACGTCGGCCAGCCCACCTCATTAATACTCATGAACATGTGATGTCCTCCACATGGACCCCCTCATTAATAATCATGAACGGGTGACGGCACTCCACGGGGGGGGGGTGGGGCGAGGCACCTCCTTCCCCCTCCTTGGCGTCAACTTGCAACCCTCACTACAAAGGCAGAACCCTCACATCACGCGATCTCCGTAACGCTGTTGAGACATAGAAGTAAAAAGGACGCCATGATGAACAAGGGATTATAACCTTCAAATGAAATAGGTCTCTGTCACCGCGGCCTTACAAATTGCACACGAATTGATGCAATGTATATCACGTCGCGGTCTGCTTTTCGCTTGCAAGTTTAAGATTTACTGAAATACACCCGTCCTTGGACGGGAAAAAGGCTAGTAGTGACAATAGTTCCGAAGACATGCTTGGAGGGAAAGCATTGCTCAATCCACGTGTATGTGTGATTATTTTTGTTGTCCCAACTTTATTTTTTGTTTTTTTTTCCCCCGTTTACAGCGGACATCTCCATGGACTCTCCTCAACAAATGCAGGACGATTGCCCGGGTGGCGGCTGGATAATCCCGCAGTTCGAGGGGCAGGGCATGGACGTGCCCGGGCTCCCGCCTGCCCCGCAAGCCACCCCCCAGAACCCAGTTTGACTCCCGCTAATCCAGGTTACTACTGCGGCTGCCTGCGTAGTGACCAAACTCGCCGCAGAGGGGTGGGGAAGGGTTGGAGGAGGGTGGTGGGGTGATTGGAGGGGGGGGGGGCCCGTGTTCTAAATGTTTTGTCGATTGAAAGAGGCTGCGACGTTCACCTGCAGCATAAACATTTCCATGCTCTCCCTACTGCTCGGGCCTTGGCTTCATCGACGAGCGCATGGAGGAGGGGGAAGTGCTGCATCTTCCTTCCTGGAGAGGGGGGCTGTTACGGGTGCTATTGTTTTTACCCCCCTTCAAACCCTCCGCAGGTTCACGTGAAATGTTACCGAGCAACTTTTATTATTATTTTTATTGATCGCGACTGAGTAGATGTTTTAGCATGTGAGGAAATTACCATTGTTTACAGGCGTCAAACAAACAAAAAACTATCTTAAACTACCGGTTGGGTTTTCGCGGTTGTGTGCTGTATAGCTTTCCAATGTTTTTCCATTTCCTGAATAATCTCCCAGTACGCGCGAGTGAAACATCGGATGTCGTGCCTAACAAACACGCATTACAACATGAAAACACACTGGAGAGCTTAACTTATTTTGAAATTGCACATAGGTCTGAGGAATGCGCTTGCGTTAATTCCGGAAACGTCCGATGTACCTTGTGTTTTGCATGTACATTATTTCTGAAAGTATAAATTGATGTCTTTTCCGCCGTACAGTGATGTCAAGCCTGAAGTGGGGCGGGTGACCCATTTATAGATACCCCAGTGATTTCGAATGACCTCTACTTGCACGTTGTTGAATGTTGTAAGAATTTTACATTGGATTTATTGGATGGTGTGTCAGGAGACATTGCTGGGAGATGAACATACAAATCTGGTTAAAATTTTCTCCCGAGTTGTCTATAAATGGATCGCCCTGTCTGAAAAAATATTGATCACGCGATGGGGGTTTTTGGTAGCTGGGTGCACACGGCTGCCTGAATGAAGTGTCCGATGGTTTTTCAATGATCATCAGCTCTTCGCACGGATCATTGGTACTCGGATAGTGGCTCCGAAGACCGACCTTTTAAAACACTGCAGCAACGTTTTCTTGAATTGTTGTATAAAACGCACAGAAAGGATGGAGGAATCCTTGTATACTAATTTTTAACCTCGGAATCACCGAATTCGGTGGTCTCATTTTGTTGGTACAATTTGAACCCAAGCAAGTGTGTTGTAGGATTTGTGACCATATTAGAAGTTGAAAGTATTCAGTTGACTTTTAAATTGAGGATTGAACTAAAATAATGTCATCACTATGACAGAGTACCTCGAGTTCCCCCAGTTGAGTGTGGCTTGCCCACACGACGGTGTGGCCTTGTACATGCAGTCTGGCCCCTGTCTCTGTGAGATCCGCTTGGCCTACCTAACTGCATGTGGCACAAATCGGTGCAGCTAATGAGAACGTTCGGGTGCAAGTGTCGTCTTGTGGGTTGGGCTGTGGTGAACATTTCTCTCAAGATTTTGCCACCAGGGGCCTACTGCAGGCATCTTCACGAGTTGAAGTGCAGAGCTGAGATGAAATGAAGTTCAACTCCTGAAGATGCCCGCAGCAGGTGCGTGGTGAAAGTTTTACGGAGGTTTCACTGGACCACGTAGCTTAACCCAGAAGGACCACGCTCAGATTAAGTGGCTGTGAAAACCTATGTGCGATTGAGAACTCGAGATTAAGCAGCACTTGTGGTGATTTGCGGGATATGGTGTGATAGGCTTGTTCAAAATGCTATCTCTGGGCAGCTATGGTTAAGAATGCGTGCTTGTCACTTGAATGATTGAATGGACACGATAGTTACCATGGAGGGCAATAATTGGGTAGTTATCGAACACTATTTTCTCCAAATGGAAACCTAAAGGGGTGGGGGGGGGAGTGACCTGTAAGTCGCACGCACGAGAACACGGCGCAAATTCCACGAATTCACAGCCATTCACTGCCACCTTGTGCTTGCACGTGCACGCCTTGCGTAACTCTCACGTCCAGTTGCACTCGTGCGCACACGTGTGCTTCTTCATGGCCCATTACTCTTCAACGTCATGGCCCCCTCCCACATCCACGCCAATGCAATATTTCAGATATTCGTGGCAGTGTCGTGAACAGACTTTTTTTCAACATAGTTGCCATCGGCATCCGAAGTTTATTTCCCCCGAGTAAAACCACTTGAGCTATATAGCGCTCTTTTAGGATAAACTTGTCACTATTGCAGCACTTGTGCCAATGTGGAACCAGGCCAGAATTCCATACTGGTTAAATGATTCATTGGTGTCTTGTGTGACAGCCATTCTTCAATATGCTGAACAGATTAAAATGTTGAGTGCCAGATCTGGGATGTGCCGTGGATGGGGGGGGCCAACAGAGTCCATTTGGACTGCTATGGTCTCTGATTTTCTCAGGCTCCTGTGTTGGCCTGGAATTGTGTTGGAGGGCAGCTGACAATGTCGTGACATTTCCATGAATATCTAAAATTGTGTATATTGCCTCATGAAATATAAAGTTAGAAAAATATATAGCAGGCATCATTACTTTTGGGGAGTTCTTCGTAGTCTAGTGTAGTGGGGTGCCTGTAATGACTGAATTTCACCATTCAACTGTACTGTATATGGTGCTACTTAAGAGTGGATTTGTTGATTTAAGTTGCGAGTGTAATTTTAATTACTCTAATCGCAACTTTGATGCCGGTTATTGGTGCTAAACTTGTGTGTAGGTATTTGCTACTTTTTTTTTTAGAATGGCCAGCTTATGGTGTAGTTTGAGTTGCTATCTTGCCACGCAATAGCTTACGAATAGCCTGATTTTTTTGAATGCCTTATCCAAGGTAGGGCCAATTTGGAGGGGGGCAACTTCATTGGCTAGGGCCCAGTGCTGCTGCATACGATTACGCGGCTGTGCCCTACAGCTCTGATGCGTTTGTCGGGTTATACCGCATGCTGTTCGGCATGTCTGACTTTTTGTTCCGCGAGTTGGGAACAACTTCCAATTTGGGAGTAAAACATCAGACGTGCCGAACGGTGCTTGGCACAACCAGAAAACACGGCAAGCTGTGTAGGCCCAATGCTCTTTTTATACACTGGTGGTTACTTGGCACGCAACAATTCACCCCACCCCAGGGATGTGATGAAGCGTCACGATTCGGGGTCTAGATTCTGTTCAAGAATCAATTCATTATCTCATTCTCATCACCTTCATTTGTTATCGTTTCTCATTTGTGTTCCGTCTAGTTTGTACAGTATTGTCTGCTGCATTTTCCTGAACGTCATGACGTCGGTATATGATGTGCATACAGTGACGGAAATTGCAAATTATTCTCGCACGCGCAACTATGAAGTTACTATCGTGAGATCGTGAGTGTAAGAATCGATGTTGAGCGATGATTCGGTGCATTTCGTTATGCGTATGGCAATGAGAGGCCAGCCCTGTGCATGCTGGATCATGAAAACAGGCTGAACACACCTACTCCTTTCACCCAGGATATTGTGACTTTTTAGCAGTGGTTGGGTTGGTTCCTGGAGAAGCCACGGGTCCGTATTTACATCCAGGGCCCAAGCCATGCATTTATACATTTTGCTCAATGGGGAATAGCTGTGCAGAACCTATTTGTACAGCCCTTTTGTCACCACTGCTGGATGAGGGCCTCTCCAAGCTGCGTGGGTTGTGGCAATTTTGACCGTGCTTTGGTCCGTGTGGGTTGCTAAAGTGGTGGGAGCTGTAAATATTTTGCTGTGTTGCCCACAACGTAGCCCTGTAGCCGCCGACAGCACATGTTTTATGCACGGTGGTCCTCCAAACGCTACCCTCTAGGTTGCTTGGCCTCCGAGATCTGACGAGATCGGGCGCATTCTGCAACAGCATACAGCAATTTTACTTAGCAGGGGCACTCTTAGACAATGTTTTAGATGTATTTTTAAAACAATGTCAGAATTATCCTGATGGTATCTGTGGAATCTTGATCTCTGTATTCTAATAAAGAAATGGATTTACAGTGTATACCAATATCAACGCAAGAGTGCATCATGTATGTTTAAAGCCGTTTCACTTAATTCTGTTCTTTAAAAGAGCAGGTTTTAAACTTTCAGCATTGGCAATTTTCTACGCTGGATGAAGGCCGTCCTACACTGGCAACCATATCTCTCGGTCCTGCAGTGTTGTAAGGGCAGCTTACAGCGGCGCTTGAACTAATCTCATTTGCTCCATCTCCACAGTGGTTGTTCATTTTGAGGCGATCTCTCCTTTGACCGCCACTATCCGCTGTGTTTATTGGCAATCGTCCCTTCTCATGACGTGTCCTGCCAAGCCCACTTCTTAAAAGTCATTGTGTGTTCCCAGGCCAATGTTGCTCCTATTGGTTTCCCAGTAATCTCAAGCAGTGTGTCAATGCTTTGCATGCTTCTCTGATGCCTGCACTTTCTTTGCAGTCTTATATTTTCGATCCGCAAGTTGATGGCAGTAATGTCTCCAAGCAAGTATTTTTTTAATTCCTTTACGCTATCAACTTCATTGTTCCAAAGAACACGTCATCCCGATGTTATTTGCCTTTTTGGTTTAATCTGTATTGAGTCTTGATCCACTGTCGGTTGAAAGATTCTGCTTTGTCTGCATTAAGTTATTTCAACGCCAAGCAAAATTGTACGCGATTTTTGCTTTGCTCGTGTATTTATTGGGTCCAACATTACAACCTTTAAAATATGTTAAATCATTGTAAATGCATTTCCATTGGGTAAATCTTGTTTGTAAATATGGAACGAGTTGATGCCTATTTTTTTTGGTCATGCCTTCACGTTTCCAATATGTCTGGGAATATTTGATTTTACTTTGCGGAGGAAACAACCCAGCATTGGTGAGAGCACATCTTTCCCCACACCCCCCCCCCCCCCACTAATTTGTACCGTGCTGCACTCTCGCAGATCCCAGTGTGGCGGTTTATTGTAAATGTTTTTTGACGATTTCTGTATTTTACCAAAAATTAAAATCCAGCTTTTCAAAAACACAACACTTACCCCCCAGGGGCTTACATTTCGGCTGGGTCTGTGGGGGGTTGAGCATTCACTTTTCCACACTCAGAACACCATCCAGTGAACGTCTCTCTTGCTGTGGGGCTACACGTCACATGCCTGCGGCAGTCTTCCAGCCACCTGGACAGTAATTGGTGAAAACTTCGAGTTCTGCTGTTACCCAAAGGCTTTGCTGAAGCTGTCTCCTATTTTAGTCTTGGTGTTTTGATCCATCCAGTTCCGGGATTCTATAATTCTGCAAAATACCGTGAATGTCTTTTTTCGCCTGAAGTCTTGGCTTTCTGGTTCAGCCACTCCCGAAACTCCGCTCCTTGTGATGAGATGCAGACACTTTTAGTTGATGGCTACTTCAAGGTCTTGCTGTAATGCGGGGTGGAGAATCTATGCTATGCTTCACGGGCCCGAGTAATTGATCGCAAAAGTAAAAAAAAAACTGAGTCGTGGAAAGTGCTGCCTCTGCTGTTGTGTGCGTCACAGGTCACAAAGTCATCCCAGAGGTAGCTCTTTGAGGTCCCCATTAAGCGTACGTTGGGCCATTGCCGGACTGGTTCGAACCGTCGCACCAACATTGGGCAACCGTGTTGCGTGTATTGGTGCATTCGAAAACATTCGGATGTAAAGAGACGTCGACGGCTATGAATGAAAGTGGCCTTGGGCAGTGACATCACGAGAAGGAATGGATGGTCGTCGTTTGAGACTGATGGAATTCGGTAGCCCATGGCACGTCCACCGCGGAGATGCAGCGATGGGATGAGCTCAGGAGCGAGGAGTACGTTCAACTTCTTTCGCACTGCACGTAGCCAACCGTGCTCATCGGAGATAGGGTCGTGAGGTCGCTATATTCAACGATTAAAAATACGTAGAGTAATCAAATGTTTTTAATCGATATTCCCCCGCCCATGATATAATCGCACTACACAGTGGCGTCCTTGACTCAACGTTTGATGGCATTGGCTCGAGGAGGCGCGGGATATCTCCTCCAGCGAGCAAACTTCACTCCATCTCCTCGGGGGGAACGTCCTCTCGGGCAGGTGACCACCTAAACTAAAAAAAAAATTACACCACGGAAACTGTTTTTTTACGTATTACAGGTAGTCCCCGACTTACGATGGTCCCCGACTTACGATGGTCCCCGACTTACGATATTTCGATCTTACGATGGCGATAGCGATATGACAAAGTTGTAAAATATTTTTAATTTCTCGCGGCAGGCAAACGCAGCAGCGTACGAGGTACGATACTGTAACTTTATCATCGCCATCCTCCTCTTCCGACAACTAAGTTAATGTAGCCATCAACAACCTAAACATCGTTCAAGTGTGCAGACGACGGACAATCTTGGTGAGTAACAGTAGAACATGATACTTTACGATACGTTCAATGCATGTATGATATACATAGATTTAGCGATTTCATTTTTAGGGTTACCACGATACGATGCAAACGTTCAATGCATGTTAAAAGTTTGTTTTATAGGAAATAGGATTGTTTCCTGAAATTGCAGTTCATATAGGTAGGCTAAGAATTTACCTTGTTTTTTTACTTTAAATGTTACTGTGCAATACAGTATTGTAATTAATACATAGAGTATATAGTTTATACAGTACGGTCCTGTAAATTGCTCTGTTTTTGCTAAATTGTCACCATTCTTTAAGACTCCTGGCTAGGCTAGGGCCAACTTCGACTTACGATGTGGGGGGCGAAGTAACGCGTCTCCGTCGTAAGTCGGGGACTTACCTGTATTTGTGTAATCAATAACATCACTTTTGCACGTTCCTTTCCAATTATTTGGCGAGAAAAAACCAACCGGGGGTGGTGGGGTGGGGGGCTCTCGGTACCACCTTCCCTCTTCATCAAACGTGACTCAATATTGACGTCGCTTAAGCTAGTAGATTTATAAACGCGCAGTCGTTTTAATTTATTGGCTCGTCTGCGACAGTGCGATGTAGCGCTCTCCATACCTGCCCCCCCCCCCTTTTGTATTCGAGTGCAATTCAATCGCTCCATCTCCACGAAGAATGTTCTATGCGTGGTGGTGGTGGTTGTTGGGGGGGGGGGGGGAGGGGGTGTCCCCCTTTCTCAACTCAACATTGACGTCACAATAGCGCCGACGTGGTTAAGGGATCGGAGATTGGGAGGGGAGATTGAGAGGTGGGGGGGGGGAGATTGGGAGGTTGGGATGAGGAGGGGGGGGGAGATTGGGAGGTTAGGATGAGGGGGGGGAGATTGGGAGGTTAGGATGAGGGGGGGGAGATTGGGAGGTTAGGATGAGGGGGGGGGAGATTGGGAGGATGAGGAGGGGGGGAGATTGGGAGGTTGGGATGTGGAGGGGGGAAGATTGGCAGGAGGAGGGGGGGGGGGAGATTGGGAGGTTGGGATGAGGAGGGGGGGAGATTGGGAGGTTAGGATGAGGGGGGGGGAGATTGGGAGGATGAGGAGGGGGGGAGATTGGGAGGTTAGGATGAGGGGGGGGGAGATTGGGAGGATGAGGAGGGGGGGAGATTGGGAGGATGAGTAGGGGGGGAGATTGGGAGGTTGGGATGAGGAGGGGGGAAGATTGGCAGGAGGAGGAGGTTGGGAAGGGGAGATTGGGAGAAGGCTGGGAGAATGAGGAGGTGGAGTCTATTTCCCCTCCGCCTGACGCTCGCTCTTGGCAAAGCGAACATAACATGACTGCGCTCATGACATCACCGCGCTCATGACATCCCCGCGGTCATGACTTCACCGCGCTCATGACATCACCGCGATCATGACATCACCGCGCTCATGCCATCACCGCGCTCATGCCATCACCGCGATCATGACATCACCGCGATCATGACATCACCGCGATCATGACATCACCGCGCTCATGACATCACCGCGATCATGACATCACCGCGCTCATGCCACCACCGCGCTCATGCCATCACCGCGATCATGACATCACCGCGATCATGACATCACCGCGCTCATGACATCACCGCGATCATGAGATCACCGCGCTCATGACATCACCGCGCTCATGACATCACCGCGACCATGACATCACCGCGACCATGACATCACCGCGCTCATGCCATCACCGCGCTCATGCCATCACCGCGCTCATGCCATCACCGCGATCATGACATCATCGCGATCATGACATCACCGCGCTCATGACTTCACCGCAATCATGACATCACCGCGACCATGACATCACCGCGATCATGACATCACCGCGCTCATGCCATCACCGCGATCATGAGATCACCGCGCTCATGACATCACCGCGCTCATGACTTCACCGCGATCATGACATCACCGCGCTCATGACGTCACTCGCCTGCGTCATTGCAACCCCCCAACGGCGCGTCACAGCCGAGACCCGATTCCGCACTGCCACAAGCGCGACCCTCCGCCTCTTATCCCACCAACACACACACACGCGCCGTGCTCTCTCCCCCTTCCCAGCCTCGCTCACCACCACCACCACCCTCCTCTTCCTACAGCTCCCTGCACTCCATCCTGGCACCACCCCCATCACCACCACCACCACCCCCATCACCACCCCAACGCAAGTGCGCCGCTGTGAGCTGAATCGGCCGGGTGAGTCTTGTGGGCTGTGCGTGGTGGTGGTGTTGGTGGTGGTGTTGTTGTTGGTGGTGGTGGGTTCGGCGTGAGGGACGATCGCGGTTGAGAAATGGGCTGTCAAACCCGTGGGCCCTCGTCACACGAACGCGTGCGAGGTGTGGGCGAGAGGTGGTGGTGATGATGGTCCTCGGACTTGCATTGAGAGCGGTAGGCGGCGTTGGCAGTGGCGGTGGTGGTGGGGGGAGATGAGGCGAGGAGATGGAGCGATGAAATCGGCGCCTCCGGTGGGATCGTTAACATGGCGGATTGCGGGGAGGCTTTCATCCAGCAGTGGAGTTGGCGGCATCATCGTCGTTGTTGTTGTGCTGCTGCTGCTGGTGGTGGTTGACGGTAGCACCACGACTACCACCACGGCCAGCAGCAGCAGCAACGACCAGGCCGACAGCTGCATTAACGCGTGCAGTTCCCTATCGGTGTTGTTGTCGGTGTTGTTGTTGTCGGTGTTGTTGTTGTCGGTGTCGGTGTTGTTGTTGTTGTCGGTGGTGTTGTTGTCGGTGTTGTTGTTGTTGTCGGTGCTGTTGTTGTTGTTGTCGGTGTTGTTGTTGTCGGTGTTGTTGTTGTCGGTGTTGTTGTTGTCGGTGTTGTTGTTGTCGGTGGTGTTGTTGTCGGTGGTGTTGTTGTTGTCGGTGTTGTTGTTAAACTCGGCTGTTCCGTATTCAACCGCGCCGTTGAGGCAGTGAAATGTGTTTGGTTCGACGTGAGAATCAATCGATCACCAACATCAGCTATGATTGATCCTCTGCTGGATGAAGGCCTCCCTCCCGAGCAGGTTCCATCCAAGCCCCTCGCGGTTCTCACAATCGCGACCCCCCTCCCACAATCCCACATCGCCTGCTTACAACGCGAGTCGGATTTCATCAAAACTCCGTCTCCCTTCGGACGTCCTTCCTCTCAATTCGCTCTCGTCTCTCTCAACTCTCTCACTCTGTCATCTCTCTCATCACTCTCTCTCATCTCTCTCTCTCATCACTCTCATCTCTCTCATCTCTCTCTCATCTCTCTCTCATCACTCTCTGTCATCTCTCTCACTCTCTCATCTCTCTTTCTCATCACTCGCTCATCTCTCATCACTCTCTCATCTCTCTCTCTCATCTCTCTCTCTCTCATATCTCTCTCTCATCACTCTCATCTCTCTCATATCTCTCTCACTCTCTGTCATCTCTCTCATCACTCTCATCTCACTGTCATCTCTCTGTCATCTCTCTCACTCTCTCATCTCTCTTTCTCATCACTCGCTCATCTCTCTCATCACTCTCTCTCATCTCTCTCATCACTCTCTCTCATCACTCTCATCTCTCTCTCATCACTTTCTCTCATCACTCTCATATCTATCATCTCTCTTTCTCTCATCTCTCTCTCATCT